TATTTTTTTTTAATTTCGTTTTTTGAACTGAATTCCCCATTTAATTGAGGTCTGGAAAAAGTACAAAAAAGGTTTAATATGTAAATATTTATTTTTGACATTTTTTGCTCTCCCATGGAGAATCGCCCGTAGGCAATCAAGTGCAGTCAGCATGTTTGCGAAATGCAGTGAGGTGTCAGTAAAATTATGTCGTCTTTATTTTATTTTTTACAGTTGGACATAATTTGTTGACAGAGTTCTAACATCTGGGATCACATTCATGCTAAGCACATATACATCACTTTATAGCACAGAAAAGGTTTGCTTAAAGTTGCATCACCTGTGCTCGAGCTTCAACAAATTTGATTTTTTTTTTCATTTAATAAATTTTAAATTTGTGTGTCACTGTGCTCTTTATATGCCAACTCTCTAAAAAAAATCTCCCATTGTTATTTTTTGGGGGGGAATCTGCAACCCTCCGCAATTTTGGAAAGAATGTTGCAACCTGACGCCATTTTTTTCTTCATATCAGTCATTGCAAAAATGATGATAAGACATGACTTTGTACACAACCACTGAAGTGGCGTCGGGTTGCAACATTCTTTCAGCAATTTTTTTAAATTTTTTTTATTCTGGTCACAAAAATGAGCTGCCTTACCAGCAAACTGGTTCCCGGTTGGTCCGTACATTATCAATACTGATTGTTGAGTGGGAACCAGCCTAGAGCCTACACAACGGGAATGGAATTATTGTCGGGCTACAACTTTAGTGAAAGTAATTCAAAATATGTTAAGTAATATTTCAATTTAACTACATGTAAAAGCCCCCGTGGATTTTTTTCGGTCGATGTCTCATTCAATGAGACATCGACGTTTGTATGAAAAGTAGCAATTTATAAAAGCTTTTTTTTTCAGGACGAAATTCAAAAAGAGCGTGCTAGGAACCATCCTCAATCCTCCAAAATGGTGCACTAATGCACTTATGTTCAAATGAAGGATGCCCAGCACCTCAATCCTCTAAACTTCTCAGATAGCCCTGCCTCTCAAAATGCTTTCATCCTCAATCCCTCAAAATCCTCCTCTTCTTCAAATACCATTCATTCTCATACAGTTTGTATCCTTCAAAATCCTCATGTGCTTCAACGCCACTACCGGTAATCCTCAATCCTCCAAAATCTTCCTCTTCTTCAAATACCATTCATTCTCATATCCTTCAAAATCCTCGTGTGCTTCAACGCCACTACCGGTAATCCTCAATCCTCCAAAATCCTCCTCTTCTTCAAATACCGTTCATTCTCATATCCTTCAAAATCCTCATGTGCTTCCACGCCACTAATCCTCAATCCTCCAAACTCCTCATGTCATGCATGTGCTTCAATGTCATTCATCCCCAATCCTCCAAAATCCTAAAAAATTGTAGATGCATTCACCCTCGCTCCTCCAAAATCCTCCAAAACAGTCAGGAGGATTTTGGAGGATTGACAAGGGTTTTAAGGGTTAAGATTATCAGGTTTAGTGGCCACAATGTCCTAAGCAATAATATGTGTACATTTATAGCAGTCCTTTGAAGTTTGGTCCCAATTTCATGCCAATCTCAGTACAATAAAACATTTCAATCTTTATAAAACCCCATTTTAAAATCTCTTCTAATCACCCTGCAAAAGTGTTATCACATCTAATTTAGAGTAATTATTAGATAATTATAGTAATTATTGGATAATAGGCCACCTAATACTTCAGAATTACTGATGTTTATAGCAACATGTATGCAAAACATCATCTCATTAAACGCTTGTTATTTTTTTTTATGTAACAGTAGCAGCACTGGCAGATTTTGTCAAATTAAAAAGTTACACTGTAGTGTTTCTCATTATTCTTAAGCGAACGGTCTGCTTTCAGTAATTAAATTCGCACAATGAGGTATTAAGTGCCATTCTACAGTAGCGGCCTGTTAACATGAACATACATGCAACGTGGCCACAAAACAATCGGTATTTGTAGAAAAACTTAATTTTCTCCAAATCGAAGGTTTGGCATAACATCAAAAGCCATTTGGACTTTATCACCAAATTTCCCTTGAGTGTTTAAAATTCTTTCAGATTCATGTAATTCACAAATTAAACGACTTCTCCCCCATATAAAAATTTGACCTTGACTTTGGTATGTTTAGTGTGTGCAGTGGCACATAAGCATGTTAATTTTAAACCTTGAGTAGGGCCAATGGTTTTCCGCGATCGCGGAAAACGGACGGAATTCGCGGAATCTGCTCCTTGAAACGGAAAACGGAATTTGAATCTGAAGAAAAAACTTCTGCAATTTTATTGATAAAAAAACATAATTTCGTTAAATTTATTGAGTCCAAAACGAATTGTTGATGATTGATTGAACAAACGAGCCATATAACAAATGAGCGGTGTTAAACTATCCTAATTTGTCGCTAACGTTAGCACAAAAACAAAATGGCGGACATGAATTTTGCTTCGGCCAGCTGATGTGTGTGACGTCATCGGATTGGCCTGAATGCGAACGGCTGTTGTATGTTTCTTGGGTGTGTGGTAGTGGCGGTGCAGTATACTGTGGTGAAGTTAAATACTACGTCTGTACATTGATTGGCCGTTGATAAAATAGCAATCTTTATTGGGGCAATTTTCCCGCGTTCCAACCAAACGACTATTTCATTATCGTCTTGGAATAATTTTGTGTGTACATGGTAATTGGTTTGTATGTTTAAATGCCTTTTTGTGTATTGAATAAATGTGAAACAGAATTTTTCAGCCTGAAATGGAATTTAGGATTTTTGAAAACGGAATTTGCACTTTTCTGAAACGGAAAAACATTGGCCCTACTTGAGTTGTTCCCCCCCCCCAAAAAAAATAGATATAAAAAAAATTCATTTGACTTCTATGCATAATCTTACATGTTATGTAGTTCATGACCAAACATTGCTGCATATTGGATGGTCCATTAGCCACAGGACTCACATGATGTGCACGCCCCATGACAAGACAATCTTCAAGATCAATTCATTGTACAGTGTACAAACCGGTAACGAATGGGCCAAATGGGCGCCATGCGGACAATGGGGGGGGGGGGGGGGAGAGGGGGAGGGGAGAGGGCACAGGCTTGATTAGAAATTCCAGAGACTCCAAATGCTACATTTCTAAGAGCATCGAAGTTTGAATAAATACCCTGTATTTATTGTTTTGCCGAGAACGTCTCGCACGGGATATTTTCTTCAAACCCACAGCAGGTAACCTTTAGAGATTTTATCGTCGGCAATTTTTGGGGTTTTTTTCTGGGGGGGATGTTCATCTACATGAGTGGTACCTACTAAAAACAAAACACGTTTGACTGGGATCCGTGGGCACAAATGTCAAAGAATTACTTTTAACCGAAAGAATATAATCCTTTAAAAACGATTCATCTTGCCGAGAAAATACAAATTTATTTGAGACCCACAATGGTCTGTAAAGTCCAACTCCACAGAGACTTAATCCATGGGGGCTTATAAATGAGCAAGCATTTAAGCACAGGGCTTGTAAATGTCTGCATGCAATCCGAACAAAGACTGACGGAGCCGAGTGGGCAGTTTCTTGTTTGAATGGCAAAAATCGGATTACATGCGTCTGTAAAAACTAAAGCCCCCCATGCAATGCACGTGTAATCCCCCAAGTGCTGCGATAAAAAAATTGTACGCAATTCGGGGTCTTATACACGAGCAGGTTTGCAGACCCTTGTTGGATGCTGTGGAAATGTACAATGTCATTTGGAGTTTCAATTTAGCCAGTTCGGAATCTCGATGAAGTGGCCTAGGTCAAAGGTCATTCGGGATAAAATCGCTGACGCGATGTTACGTTGTGTTACCAGAACGGCCATTCTGCTCGTTATTAACACGCGAGGGTCACGCAACCTTCTCCTTCCACATTTGTGCGCCTTGGATGAGTGTTCGATGAATCCTGAATGACTGGTGACCTACATCATCGTGAAGTACCGTATTGGCTTATTGAGGGCTTATACTGTAAACTAGGGTTGCTGACGGCTGGTGGATGCTGTGGAAATGAATCATGTGATTTGGAATTTCAATTTAGAAAAGTATGTGCTATTGAAGCTGTAAGAACAAAAAAAAAGAAAAACAATTCTGCTTCTGGTTACCCTACCTACTCTTTTTTGACAGCCCCTACCCCGATTCTTTAAGGGGAAAAATGAAGAAAACCTCCCAAAATCATCAATTACTACCTTTTACACTTGACTACACACCAACACCTCCATATGATCGTACACAAAAAAAATGCCCCCAAAAATGTTCTGCCTACCTACCCTATTTTCAAATGACATGTAATCGGATGCTGTACTATTCCTTTTTTCACCTAATATTTACAAAGCTCATTGTGTGAGACACCCAGGGCACTGGACCATTTCATGCCCTATCGACGTTTGCAAATTGTAACCAGTACATGCGCATGACTGGCGCGCTGGCATAAATGGCGCGCGCAGTTTAGGCTGGCGCATGTAAATTTGTTTGGTGCATTTCAAAGAATAGGACATTCAACAGAATTCCAAGTTCAAATAATCGAATATTAACCCTAACTCCCTGGACATCTCTGCAGCGATGCAACCTCGATCCCGCAAAATCCACCAACTGCCTCCACGTAAAAATTGCATACAGCCTCAATCCCGCAAAATCCTCCATAATTTTTTGAATGCGTTCCTTGGAGGGGTGACCACTGCCTCAATCCTGCAAAATCCTCCGGCAATCACTGTCAATATGTTGAGGCAGAGCCACTGACATCGTAGAGCAGTGCGGAGGATTTCAAATATAATCTACATGTAGGCCTACATTAACGCACGGCTGAGCATAAACAAAAAAGACCGGCCAAAAACCTTGACACAGTGCATCCTCCAAAATCAGCAACACATTTTTGCCATGTGGCCTCAATCCTGCAAAATTCTCCGTTTTGTGCAGAGGATTTTGGAGGATTTGGGACGGTTAGGGTTAAATTATTCGAAAACGCACAACCTTACCTTGAGCATCTCGGCAAGACCCCTCGTGCTCTCGATGGTCATCACGTTCTGCACCTTCTTGGGAAGTTCCTTCAGGATGAGATCCTCGGCTATCAGGGCCCTGAAGCCGTACATGTGGACAAGGTCGTCCACGATGCGACCCTTCTTGGAGCCGGGACCGCCTGGATGATAAACACGAAAAAATAAAACCAATTAATTTCTGTATTTTTACTATTTAAAGCAAGAATTTTACTACTTCCAAGCAAGAATTTTACTTAGTTTTTCAAGCAAACATGGTTAAACCAAGGATTCCTCATTGGCACTATAGATCACAAGTCTGAAGAAACCTGTAGACACACATGGTAGAGAGAAGAAAAGTATACATTAGGCCAAAAAAAACCACTTCTGTTTCCGATTACATGGCATTCGAAAATAGGGTACCGGTAAGTAGGTAGGGAATTTTTTGTTGGCAATTTTTTTTGTGTACGATCACCAGGGCGTCTGCGTGTACATACATGCAGTTGAGGGTAAAAAGGTAGTAATTGATGGTTTTGTGTGTTTTTTCTCATTTTTTCCATAAAAATATTAGGATAGAGGCTGTCAGAATAGGGTAGGTAGGGAAACCGGAAGCAGAAGTATTTTGTTTTGGGCCTTATGAATTATTATTTTATTATTTGTATTATTTTATTTCTGGTAATGAAACCAAGGATTCCTCTAAAGTGACCTACATTGTAGGCACTGTAGCTTGCATGCCCAAGGAAACTTGAGAAGACAATGAAGAAATTACAGTTATAGAGGTGGGACGAAAACCCCACAAGACTTGGGAAACCCACATCGTCATGTAGGAAATGACACGCCTATCCACTTGTGGACCAGTGTCCACAGAGGTGGAAGCCTAGATGGGGAGGACAATCACTGCACCAACCTGACTCCCCCAGGCAGTATCCGACGAGTTTTGGGGAGGACGGGCCACCCTTCTAAAATTATACACCAGCCCGCTAAAATTTTGCTGCCCATCCTCCTCAAAATTATACTCTCAGAACATTTCATTTTACATCTTGCACTTCAAAAATGTTAATTTTAGGGATACATTTTTGTTATACAGCAGCAATCTCATCACTTAATGTCAATGTCAGCCTTCAATAAATTTCTGAATATTTCATAGTACTGATACATCTTATCAGCCATTCCATGTAAGGGTCATCACCAAACTCAAAAATTGAAGTGAAAGGAATAAATTTTTGTCAGTTATATTTGATAAGAGGAATATTGAAACCATCTACATCTCAAAAGATTGTTTAAAATAAATCATTTGAATTAAAATTTCAGCCTCCTGAACATGGATGAATTTTGTGGGCGAAACGGAGGGTCAGGGGTATAAATCACAAACTGAGGAAGTAATTGAAGCTCATTCATAAGATTGTGCTTTATCTGCATACATTTGGTAGCTATTCCAGTCTATTTGATAAAACATTGAGAATTTTTCGAAATGTCTTCAGTATTTTCCCACTATTACATCGTGAAAACACCCTCAAAAATATGTCACGCGAGTCACAAAAAAGGACTTTTTTTTCAGATTACTTAATAACTAGAGAGGGATTCAGCTAGTGTTTGATATTTGTAAATGAAATAGTGGTGGTCTATCAATAACAGTATGAATATTCTTATTTGCTCTACATTCCTTGTAGAAAAAACTATCTCAAGAATGTCACGCGAGTCACACATGATGTATGTCACGCGAGTCACCAGGGGTGGATCCAGGAATTTTCGCAGGGGGGAGGGGGGTTCATCAGCCAAAAAATCTGAAAATGTACACACGTTTTTTTCTCTGGACACTCGCTTCCGTAAAATAAAAAACTGAAGGGGGGGGGGACTGGTACCAATTTCAATCGGCGGCGCTGTTCAAATTCGACGATTATTAACACATTACAGAATGGTGTACCGTATTTTGAACAGGCGGACATTAGACCAGTATAATGTTTTTGGGGGTGTCACGCGGGGGGGGGGGGGGGGGGGGGGGGGGGGGGGGGGGGGGGGGGGGGGGGTCGACTTATTCTTCAGGAATTTGTATGAGAATTTTTTTTTTTGACAGAGCTGGGGGGGGGGGGGGAGGGTTGACCCCCCAAAAAAACTTTCTGGATCCGCGCCTGGTCACAAGCCAGGAATGTTTCATTTACATGTAATACAAAGAAACAATGCCATAGGCCCTATTAAATTATAGAATTCGAATTAAGTCTTTAAAAGCATTAGTTATGTAACAAGAAATTGAATCAGTTTTTTACAAATGTATGTATACAGTCGAGTCTCGTAAATACAAACTCGTTCGGACCTAGCCAAATTGTTTGTTATATCAGAATTTTGTACTAAGAGGAACATCAGTCCCATTCATTGTGCACATAAATGCACAGTCGGGACTAAGGCTTTATGTTTGTTATAACCAGAATTTTGTATTAACAGGAGTTTGTACAAACGAGATTTGACTGTACTGTATACGTTCCGATACAACTGCATCATTAATTGCAGCTCGATCTTACCATTTAAGGAAACTGTGACTCTACATGACCAAGAATTACAACTGTTTTCCTGAAATAATCACCCGTGGATTGATGACATCACTTCGTAACTAAAATTCCAAAACATTTTTTTCTCTCTATGTCATTGTTAAGGATATTGTGTTTAAACCAGATTTCCACCCCCAACATTTGCCAAAGTAAAGGGATAAATAGCAGTTTTCACACTCTTTCATAAGGTATTCACAGGTAAATCATTTTTATTAATATAATATTATGATTTGATTCGTTATACTAAAATTACAGTTCTAATGTGAAAGTGAAAAGCTACTGTGTCACGCGAGTCACGCATTTGTGTCGCGCGAGTCACATTTTCTTCAGGCCATTTCTTACAACAAGGGATATTTGGCACAATACAACTTATGCATGTATTGGGTGAGGGTATTAAGTTCTAAGTTCTGTAAGAATAATTTTTAGAACACTGGTAGATCCATAGGAAAAGCTATTTGAATCAAGGGATGTCAAAAATCCCTTTTTCTATCCTGTCATGCGAGTCACGTCAAAGAAACTGTGATACATGAAAAAATAGTGATTTTAAAGTAATCATATAAAGACTAAACTATAAATTCACAATGCCCTGACTCAAATACATGCTAATTTGAGTTGAATAAATGCCAGGTTAACAACAGTAATGCATTAAAACTTTACATTTTGTTCAAATGTCACGCCAGTCACCATGGAATGGCTGTTATGTTAAATGCAATAAAAAATGAATTTAATTTAATGCTAATTGTTGAACACATGTACCACAGAGATGCATGTAGTGACATTAACAAAAAAAACTTATCCACAAATTACATAAATTTTGATTCTGAAATTGAAATACCACATTACGGTCTACATTTTACATACATAAATGTATGCACACCTGTGCATGGGATTTTGTCGAATGCAATGCATGGCATTTCACTTGATGGAATTTAATAATGCCCTGTGTTTCAAGGCCAACAGACATGACAGATCCAGTCAAATTTGCTCCAGACACCCGCAGATGAATCTGGGTTGGACTTGGTGTAATTGGCATTTGATTATCTGCCCCACCGTACACGTACATTATGTGTACATATTTTCCCTGAATACACTGTATGGTGTGTGCCAGTACAACTCCATCAGTCTGTGAATGTAGCATGATGCAAAATGAGTATCATCTAATAACTGTACATGCACATGAACGAAAAATGTGGCCTTGTCTATAGACTAATTCGGCGACAGCCACTTTCCGCGGTGGCACCAGACTCGCGCGAGACGAGTCGCGCTCAAACAATACGCACCACTCCGGCTCCTTTAACCATAAGGGCTACCAAGATACGCACGCGCCTTGTCTTTAAGAACGTATGCGGCATGCATGCGGCGTGGTACCACTGCAAAAAATGGCTTCTAATTTTGTGTGGTGAATTACATTATAAAATGCACTGCGCATGCACTGCAAATGGAAATAAAATAAGATTTTTTAAATTTTTTTTAAAGATACATACACACAATACACTCGACAGATTGGATGGCAGTACTGCAACAATGTATGCTATTTAAAGCTCCTTTGCATAATATTGACATGATTAATTAATGAGGACCCTTACATCTGCTTCGTACAAATCGTTATTCTTCATGTGTACATACATGTACACAGTGTCAGTCGGTGATTTTTTTCTGTTAAAAATTTAAACAGCAAACTGTCGTGACTTATATTTTATAAGATGTCAAGAATTAGCATGTGTACATGTATGCAACTTTATTTATGCGCTCTTATTTTTGTTTTATGTTAATCCTTTCGTCCTTCATTTTTTACATTTCCTGCTATCTTTTCCCCTGCCTAAAGACAATCTCCATATGCCAATGCCAAGATAATACAGAGATTCTACCTGGGGGTGGGAGTATGAAGGTCTTGTGATACATGTACAATGTACATAAATAAAAAGGCTTTGGTATTTATCATCGTTACATTTTCATTTCCTTAGGATCAACTTTAAAGGAAAAATACAACATTTGCAAACATCAAAAAATAAAACTACCAAATCACTTTGAAATACCTTGCTGGACTGTTAGTGAATGACAGTGTAAAGCATCCTGTAAAATCATGGCACCTGGTATACTGTCATTTTCAAGAAAAGTGGTATTTTGTATCAATTTCCAATGCTGGTCGGCCGACCAGCGTTGGAAAAAACTGGCTTTTTTCAAATACTGGCCCCAATTGACCATCGCACTTGTTTGCAATCGATTACACACCTATGAACGGGTACAAGCCAGCTAGACTGGTTCCCTGACCTTACAATTCCCCAATGTATGTAAACTGCTCTGTTTCTTCTTATATGGAGTCAGGGAACCAGACTACAGGAAAATGATTGTTTTTCTTGGTTTTTATAGCATTCTCGAACCCAAAACCTCAAAAAAGTCAGTGTAACTATATTTGCTATATATTTCCAACCCCCCAATTCCATCCATTTCTGAAAATTACAGCAAAATCAAATGATGTATATTCCCTTTAAGAAATTTGGCTCTTTAGTCATGAATCACACAAACGTCAAGTGCTGAAATACTAATATTTGCTACAACATTCTGGATTTCATGTACATGTATCAGGCCTGTATTTTAATTCATGTGAAGAACAAGCTCGAAATGATCTCAGAGGCTGCGGGCCAACGCATTTGTGTTCATGCATGTGTGACGTGATTCTGCCATGTAATTTCTGGAAGTACCGTAGTGTCGTCAGTACAAACATCAGGTTTTCGACCCTAGTGACCCAATTTTCCAGGCCTGCATAAATTGGTAGGCGGTCAGTGGAGACCCATTAAAGTGAACAACAGAGGGCCGGGCCTGAGGGAGGAGTTGATATATATACCCGGGCCTGAGGGATGAGGTGATTGATAGCCATGCAAGGCTGTTGCTGATGTTTGTTACTAACTAACCGACTGACCAACGAAACAGAGAGACACGACCTTTTGTTGAGCTGCTGTTCCGCAGCTAAAAACCTAGTTAGCAAGACGAATGTAGCCCCGCCAACTTTGGAAAGAAAAAGAAAAAAGGAAGAACAAAAGTCCTCTCCTAAATGTACTACCCATTACTCTACCACACCCCTTATAATTCTGAAGTGGTGCTCAAAGTGTTTGAAGTTTTGGTTAATTCACATTTCTTCTTTTACCAAAAACATCATCAACATAAGAGATGAATCAAAAGAAACAATCTAAATGTCAATGAGGCAAGGAAATAAGTGATCAAGAGAAAACTAAATCAACAAGCTAGTTGGGTAATGGCTTTTTAGTGGTGGAGCAAACAATACAAAAGTGGTCTGCAAAATAAGCATTTTTATAAGTAACGATAAATAAAGAAGTGATACGTTATGTTGAGAAAGAGAAATAATGAGGGGAAACAGGTTGTTCAACAGAGTCGAGGTGATTGATAATCTGGGGAACGAGGGAAATGTAATCCGGAGAGTCAATCCAATTAGGGATGTACTTTGAATAAAAGATGACGGACAATGAGAGTAGGGCTGTTTTAGACACATTAACCGTCCTGTTATCTGAACAGTCGCAGACAGTCAAAAAAAAAATCCTCTTCCCTGCCATGCCATTTTACACAGACTAGTCATCAACAGTCAGATCGTATTTCAAGCAAGAACTGTGACTAGTCAAATTCAGTTAACCCGATGACTGGAAAATGTTCCAAGGACATACATGTAGTCTCAGGTATCATGAATGGCCACTGCCTGACATTTTCAGTGGTGGAGTGTGCCCGCCAGACATAAAAAAAAAACCTGTACAGGAGGGGGCGTGGCCATAACCCCTCCCATTTCATTTCACTGATAGTTGTAACGCGACGATATAGACAAATTTTAAAACTGGTTGTATTTAGTGCCTTGACGCTTGTAGAAAATAATAAAAGTGTAACTTAAAGCGTTATTTAATATCAGACTAATTAATTTAAGAGTGGCACGAATAGCATGGAGGGGGCGGGGCCGCCACCCCCTCCAAGCACATTTTCCCTTATATCATCACAACGTGTTCTTTTTATCCTGTCAAATTTTCCTGGCATGTTTGCCAATGCCTTTTGGCTATTTTTAACCCATTTCTCAGTCCTTCTGTTTTGAGGCGTGTGATCACACCCCCACGCCATCACACGCCTAAATGCTTCCTGAGAAGTGCGAATAATCGCACGCCTGAATCCCTCAGTACCGCACACCTCGGCATACATTTACGGCATAATTACACTTCATAATTTGTGAAAAATAATGTCAGTGAAGAGAAAATGGCTTTATTGTAAATCAAGATGAATATTATGAGAAAAAAAAATACCAGATTGTTCAGTCCCAACTTGGACAACAGAATCACACACCTAGAAAAATCACACGCCTAGAAAAATCACACGCCTAGAAAAATCACACGCCTAGAAAAATCACACGCCTAGCAAAATCACACGCCTAGCAAAATCACACGCCTAGAAAAATCTAGGTGTGCGTTTTTCCATACACCTGTGATTCTCAAATCAGAAGGACTGATTTCTAAAAAATAAAGCTCTGTTCTTATCAAATGTCTATTTCCCGAAACAAGTATGCTATTGACCATGTTCAATATGTCCAGTACATGTACATAATGTACAATATGTGTGGTAAGGCCAAAGCTTAGTGTAAAATAAAGGTACTGATAATAAAAACTTACAAAACAGGTGTTTTTTTTTTACATCCACTTCCCTTGTTTGTTATTCTTTGAAATACACTTGGACATACGGTAACATAATACATGAAATATAATAATACATGTTCGTACATGAAAACACTTGTTCTTTTCACTCTTTCACTATTTTCACCCCAAAATTGATAAATTGCACTTGCACAAAGTTGCCATGGTTGCAGCCGGTCACACACCATGGCACTACACATTGACACACCACGGAAAGATTCCCATCCCCATATCTGGCCATCACACATTTTACCCTTAAGTTCAGTGACCTATCAGCCATCAGAAAGTGACAATAATGTCCTAAAAAGTCCAATTTAGCATGTTTAGCTGGGAAAATATTGAAGTAGGCCTAGGCTTATTTACTGAGAAAACACTTAGAAAAGTTAACAATTTTCAGAGCAGTCTCATGCGGTTTGTGCACAGGGTGGCAAGTGATGATGGCCACAAATGGGAATGTTTCCCAAAAAATAATGTAAAAATCAAGAAAAAGACAAAAATCTGGGACTGAGCATGCTGAGAAGCATTTTCAATTTTGTTAGAAAATAGGGAGTGGATATTTAGCCGGAGACGGCAAACCTTTAGTAAACGTTAGCTTGCCGGATATGCACTGAACATGCGCAGTAACTGTTTTTTTTTTACTTAGACATTTTCCGGTGACAAATTTTAGTCTGGCTCCATGCCAACATTATTGTTGTAACTTCGTATTCACAAGATGGGAATCAGACCATTTTACAATTTCGGACTTTTGGCTATTTCCCTTTAAAAAAAATCGTCCAGAGCCACAAATCTGAAAAAGAAAATGTAATACTCTGCAATAAAATGTTGACACATGTTAAAACATGTAAAATAATAAAAGAAGAATATTCTTATTTTTGGGGGATGTAGAAAAAAACCTTTGAAATATGTCGCCAGCGGGGCCAGGGATCGAACCCGGGTCTTCCCACTCATGAGATCCATTGCTTATCCACTAGACCACAGTTGATACACAACCGTTGATGGTAATTAATTTATCTTATAATTCAGGCCTATCTATGAGAGTACAGAGCCCTCTGTTGATAGGGATTGCCGCTGGCAAACCTTTAGTAAACGTTAGTTTGCCGGGATTACCACCGGCAAAATATCCACTATCTAGAAAATACTTACTTTGAAAATGCACTCCACCATGTCCACTCTCGATCTCCATACTGTCTAACAATTACTTTGTACACAACCGGTCAAAGGGAAAAATGTTGCAACCTGACGCCACTTTTTTATTATTTTATATCACATTGTCAATGTCAATGTCAATGTCATCTCATTCTCAATGAAGGTCAGTCATTGCAAAAATGATAAGACATGAATCTGGGACTGTGAAACATTTCAAATTTTGTTAGGTTTACTTTTAGGAAAAAAAATCTTGACTCTCCATCATGTCCATAGACTTTGTACACAACCCCTGAAGTGGCGTCAGGTTGCACCATTTTAACTTGCTTGAGTAACTCCAGCTGACAATTGACATGCTCACTCATATTATTCATTCACCATGTTCACATGTAGCTACATCACATGCTGACATGTGAATGAATATGATTATGAGCATGTCAGCTGGAGTTACTTAAGCTACATTTTAACTAAACTAACGACCCAAAATCTACCGAACATGCCGAAAGAACGCCTTTAAACGAACTCACCAAACACGAACACAACGAGCGTTTCATCCTTGGAGGTCTCCTCAACGTGCTGTCCCACCCGTATGCTCACTTTCGGTCGGCGGTGAAAAAAGCCGTGCTCCTCCTCCTTTCGTCCCTCGGTTTCTGAGCTATTTCCGCAACCCATAGCTACAATTTCTCAAACTTGGAGAGCAGAAAACATCCCTTACTAGCATGCAGGGTCAATGCAGTGAGTGTCTGTCTTCAAAATGCCCCAAAATTCGGCCGTGTAAGCAGACTGTTTAGCAGTAAACACAGCTCGTTCAGGCAAATTGTTGCAGACGGATAATTTTAATTTTTCACTGACCTATTTTCCAAAATGGCGGATGTTACTACGAGTCTCGTTCCGACAAAAGTAAAACAACTAACTACTGATTTAGATTATTTATTAATAATACAAGCATATTTCAAAAAGAAATACTACATATTTGCAAACATATTTATGTCGAATTACATAGGATTTTGCGCAAGCTGTGCTAGTCGAATTCATATTATTCCAAATCATTCATCTGGAAATAATTTAGAAGGCGTTCACCTTTAAGTGGGCGAAATCATTTGATAATAGGGGTGTCGCGTTCCTGCCAAGGGCGCTATAAATAATAAGAAACGCAGACATTTGCTCCAAAATGCATTAACATGTATTTTATAAAATCGTTCTAGGTCGAAAGACAGTGAAACTTTAAACCATGTAACTAGCACTTAAATAATTTAACCGTGTTATTTTATTTCGGACTCCGACAACTTCCGTACAAACCGATGGACCGTACCTGCATGTGTGGACTATTCTCAGTAACATTCAACCAATTAGAGAAACGAAATTTTGGCAGACGAACCTTTTTTGGGCAATCAGCCAATCACTGTCAAAAAACAATGGCCGGGCCATTTCTCAAACTTCGGATCAGTCAACGGCGGGCGGTTCGCCTCCGATCCCAGAACCTCTTGAAGACATTTGATGTTAAACAAAATGGAAAATCTTCAAAATGTTGGCTCTGCGTTATAATTTGATTCTCTTTCCATAATAATAACCACACTAAGCTTAAGTTTCCAATTAGTCAGCAACCCAAAACATGTACTGCCCTTCTATTTTCGAGTTTCACCTTCGAAAAAAACTATAGGTTTGAACATTTTTGGCAGTATTACAAAAGTCATTCATATTTAAAGGGAAAATACAACATTTGCAAACATCAAAAAATAAAACTACCAAATCATTTTGAAATACCTTGCTGGACTGTTAGTGAATGACAGTGTAAAGCATCCTGTAAAATCATGGCACCTGGTATACTGTCATTTTCAAGAAAAGTGGTATTTTTGTATCAATTTCCAACGCTGGTCGGCCGACCAGCGTTGGAAAAAACTGGTTTTTTTTCAAATACTGGCCCCAATTGACCATCGCACTTGTTTGCAATCGATTACACACTTATGAACGGGTACAAGCCAGCTAGAATTGACCTTACAATTCCCCAATGTATGTAAACTGCTCTGTTTCTTCTTATATGGAGTCAGGGAACCAGACTACAGGAAATTGATTGTTTTTCTTGGTTTTTATAGCATTCTCGAACCCAAAACCTCAAAAAAGTCAGTGTAACTATATTTGCTATATATTTCCAACCCCCCAATTCCATCCATTTCTGAAAATTACAGCAAAAGCAAATGATGTATATTCCCTTTAAATGAAACATCAAACAACAAAATCACCCACATTCAGTTATGGAGTAATTACATTAGAAATTTTGATTTTTTTTGTTAACATCAATAAATCAGTTTTCACGGATAGGGAACTAGTCTACTGCAGGGCTATTCAAATAATTTGATATTCCATTATTGGAACTTGATTTATTTGAATATTTGAACATTGACATTGAGGCAAAAACTGTTTTTGATGATTGTAAATTTGACAGCTTTGCAGAAGCAAATTTGGACTATAAAACAAAACTGATGCGAATATATTTACGTCATGGACGTTTTTTGCCACCTTTTCTAGACAGGTTTACATTTTCTTAATATTTGATAAAATTCTATTCGGTGGATGATCAGATATTTGGATATTTGGTATTTTTTGGCTCACTCCTATTTCCAGCAGGTATTTGGTATAACATAATTTTTTTGTCCTCTAGCACAATTTTTAGCCTAAGATGGCGCTGCGGTGATCAATTACACCTACAAGCAGGAGGTCGTGGGTTCGAGTCCTACCCAAGTGATTATTTTCTCACAATCACTCGGGACCGACAACACCGAGTATACAGTGTTTATCATAGAAATACGCCAGTGAAGGTCAAAGCCCAACATTGCAATTACACCTATGGGTGCACACCTGTAAATAGGCCTAAACCCATCCGCCGAGCTCATGAATAAAAGTTATACCCCTCAAAATATTCTATATTAGAGAGTTCTGAGAGCCATAACATTGGGGAATTGAGGAGATATGGCAATGAACCTCTGGCCCGGACTCTGGGCTTCCAATTCTGAGCATTTTGGATACAATTGGGCTCGAAAGTGGCGCTATTTTGTTTTTCAAGATGGCTACCGTTCCGCTTTGGGGAAAATAGGGGTCGTCTTCTTTGGGCGAGAATTTCTCGAAAAGTCAATGGTCAACCCACCAAAAAATGAAAAGAAATTGAAAGATGACATGTCGATCATCATTTTTCTGTGTAGCTTAAATACCTGGGTATTTTTAAACAATTTTGAAGTATGGGCATTTAGCACTAGTGGCTATGGGACTTTTTTTGCACTGTTGCACCCCTATGATGTTGGCTGTAGATCACATCACAGATCCTACACACAAGGATGAACGACTCGGCCAAACTCCTTGTTGGACACGTGATAACGGCCCGTACAGGTGGCAATTACCACGAATACTTGTCAACAAAGACCCAGACAGCTTAACCGCTTCACTGCACGCGGCGGCATTCAAATTTGCAGGGCTCTGCGCCCGATCTGTTAATTACATTTTTGAATATTCATGATCCTACATTTTTGGCCTTTATTATTGAATTCTAATAAGTGATAACTGCATGACCATGTTAACGCCAAGCACAATATCTTTAGCTTTAAAATGAACTATGAAATGTCGCATTTGTTTCATCGGTTCGGGACCACATCTCTCTAAAACTTTCTGATTAAAGCCTTATTAAAAACGAGATTTGGGTAAACGGTGTTCTCCTGGAAAAAGGTGTTACATTTGACGTTTATTTCCCGGGTAAATACTTCATCTATGACATCAAAAACTGCACATCATCTGTTTTATCCTGAAGTATTGATTTTTGAACAATTTAGAACAAGTTTATCTTACATAAGGAGTGGTTTTGCTTCAAGTTTTATGAACATTTCCGTTTTAGATGTCATGCGAAAAAAACGCAATATGTCACACCTGGAACATTCGCGATTAACATGCCAACTGATATTAAAGCCCGCTTTCACATGTCCAACCAATTAAGATAAATCCTCAGTGCATTTTGAACTGGAGCTCAGTACAGTTGTTCAACCTTGTGTGTAGGATTTGTGATCATAAACATGCATAAGCACTCTGAAAAAAAGAGACATAATTCCCTCTGGTTGTTTACGTTCACATTGAGCTTTTATTGGTAAAACGTACAGAAACTCTTTTCAACTCGACCACATTCAGTACCACAAGGACAGCTGATAAATTTCCCAAACTGTCAAGTGTTGAATGTCAGATTTACACTCAGTGGTGGCTACGTTTTTACAGGGCTAACTGGGTTTCAGAATGGTTACCATCAGTTTCACTTTAACGTTGTGATCGTCACATGATTTTTGGGATCACATGAATTCTGTGTTGGTTTAATACCGTGTGGCCCATCTCAATTCGGGCGATTCACAATGCAGTGCGCCACCAAGAGTTTGCCATGGAGAGTCAACTTTTCAAGTTTACGGTCAACAAAATATGGCCCATTTTAATGAGCTAATTTACTTGAGCTAATTTGTCAGTAGACACTTGAGCTAATTTGTTATAGATTGGGGCATAGCGTTCTGCCACCTTACCAAAAATCACCATGTTGATACAAAGAAAAGAAAAGGCCAAACATATACTCGAATCATACGCTTTAATACGAAACTACTGACCGGGAAAAAACGAACAATTTCAAATGTACCGTGCTGCGAATTTGTCGACCATCTCCCACAATGCACTGGGAAAAATGAACTCTCTGTGGCAAACTATTGGTGGCACTCTGCATTGTGAATCGCCCGAATTCATATCCAGTACTAGTTCCGGACAACTTGTGGACATTGCATCAGGTATAAGTTGCAGAATTCCTAACAACTTCCCCACAATGAAGTTATCAGTATTGGTGATTCAAGCAGTTGCTAATGAAAACTCCCCCGGAACATGTCCGTGACAAATACGCAGCTTTTTCCCCGACAAATTGAATGATTCTACCCGCAATTTGTCTGGAACTCTTCCCAGATATGAATTGAGTTGGGCCCTTACTGATACAAGTACACGTTAAACATTAAATTCTCATTCTGTCAAGTAATTGCAAATGTAGAAAGTCTCGTTCTGTCAAGTAATTACAAATGTAGAAAGTCAGCGGGCACGCTCAGTAACCATGTATCTAAGGAGAACGGCCACAACGTGAACATTCAGGCTGTTGCCAAGGCAACGGTATCGCTGCTTTCTAGTCAGCTCGGCTGGAAAAACTGCAACAGATACAAGGAACAAGAAAAGGAAAATGAAGTATTAAGTACGGGCCTAGACGACTACATGTACTTTAATATAGGTTTCTCTCAAATCACGTCATTTCCTACAGACCAGCCAAGTGCACTGGCATTTTGAGCGTCAGCTTGCTTAACGCGCATAGCAACGCGTCGTATTTTGAGCACATTTCGAGCACAAGCGCGCGTGTTTAGAACATTTTAAACATTGCCAATGCGTGCTAAAACGTAAAACACGCAGTTGAGCTTCTTCTACAGAGATGGTCGTCTTTGAGAGAGACCTACATGATCCTCCTTTCTCAACCCTCAATATTAAAAATGTTGGTGAAAATTGTATCCCGTATCTCAATAATGTCTTGCGTGGTTTTAGCACCTTACCAAACGCTTCTGGAAAGTGATGCAAGTTGGTTATCTCTCTCGGGGTGAAATATCGGATTCTAAGACACTTCAGCTGGTCAAGGTACTTCTCCGTGATCCTCTCAATGTCTTTCTGACAATGCTTCAAGAGAGATGTCCCCTACAAACAAATGCATTAGTTTAATATTACAGTTTTTAAATTTAAGTGCCTCTGGTGTTTTACATTTTCATAATTCGTTGCCGAGAGTAAAAGTCTGGACAAAATAATTCAGACTGCCATAAAATCTTGGATTTTGACAAATTCCAGGAAAAAAACTGAAAACTGAACTCACTTTTGTGGTAGTGTTCATTTGAAGCATGGAACCGGTGCCTTCAACATAACGACCATATCTGTTGAATATAAGAGATGAGTGGTTATAGTCATTTTCTCAACTCTTTTCTTTGTTCCCTTTTAGTCTTGGTCGATGACAGGCTTGGCCTTTTCCCCCTAATTCAGCCTGTCCCTGGCACATGCAGTCAAGCCACTGCGGCAGTAGAGATTACAACTATGACGAATCAAGTCCAGCCTTGAGAACTTTGGCAGCGCTACCCAGAAAATTCCAAGCAAACCTCACACATACATTAGCTTGGATTCAGGGCGTATCAGATATGGGTAGCATAGCCATATGTGTCGCATTTCCCCCCCCCCCTTTTTTTTTAACCTAAATTTTAATATCAATGTTTGTTAAAAGTAAATTTTGAACCTTAGCAACATGAAAACTTGTGCAAATTACCTTGGATTCACTTATGTTTTTACCCATTATTAGAGGGCCCTCATTACCTAAAAACTTTAATTTGAATGAAACCTTGCCCCTACAATTACTGTTAGGTAAGTTTTTACTCACGCCTTTGTGAAGCATCTCGTGCGGCAGTCGGTCGCCGTGACGACGTCGACGATGCGGGCGAACCTCTTCAGCAGTCGGTCAGGAAGGAGGAGCTGCTCTACCACCTCCGCTGGGAGATTCTCCACATAGTCGCCCACAATCTTGCAAGAAAACTCCTTTTCATCGTTCGTTCTTTGAGAGCTTGGCTCATCACACTCTTTGGGTTGTAGCGTGAGCAAGCAAGCTTGCGCAGCCAGGGAACCTCTGTCAGTCGTACATTGAGCAATCTCATCACTGCTACCCCGATCTGCTTGTCTCTCACTTACACATTCACAACTGGATAAACCAACATCTTCCTGACAATCTTCTGTCGAAGGACGAGTGGAAACCGCTACAACTCCAGCTGAACTGTCCTCTTTGCTGTTTGAAATTGTATCTGAGCGACTTCCTTCGTGACCCGAAATGTCTTCGCTCACAGCCTCCTTACAAGATGATGTGGATTCTTCGCAGACAGCTTCTGCTCTTAGAAGTCCAGAAACTGGCCCTGTTTGGGGACTACTGGGTACTCTTCTGTTTGTGATTTCACTTGAGCAACTTCCTTCATGATGACCTGAGATTTCGGATTCCTGCGCTTCATATTTGCAAGTGTGGGTTTTCGACCCGGTGTCGACAATGTCGCAACATCTGCAATGTTTTCTTTCACGTTCATCTACTTCCAAGTGGCTATCAGAGTTTGAAGTCGCGGCAAATCGTTCATTGGTGCCTTCTTCGGGACTTTTACTTCCAAAATCCGAAACTGGATCACAAGTTTTAAGCTGTTGCTTTTGCAAGCTCTGGTGCTCGAGTTGCGAAATGTTGACGGGGTTGAACACTAGAGGGCGACGTTTTGCGAGGAGGAAGTAGCGCAGGCGCTGATTGGGGATACCGAAGTGGGTTGGAGACAGAAGAAACTCCTGTCGCAGGATAAAGAAGAGAGCGAAGAAATTAAAGAAGCACTTTCGACCAGAATGCATCCTTTTTGGCCCTTAAACGTGTGTCCAATGAAATGATGATAGCTGAAAGATCGATTGCATACAACTATACCTTGAAAATGACTTTAGGCCAAAAGGTTTTCTGGTCTGCACGCGCATTGCCGTAGCCAAGCGTGTCGGCCAAATTAAAAGGTTTTTTTTCTTATCAACACCGCCAAACTCACTGGTTCGACGGGAATCCTGCTGCTGCACAATTTTAACATGTTTTTAGATGGGGTTATGATCGAGTATAAGCTTTATGCGGCCTCTCTGGGCTCCCATATATTTTGCACTAAATTTAGACAGGCACCTTTTGCAGACGGTGTTGTAATTTTGTAATTGTGCATCTGGAAGCCAGACTGAGGGAGCGATGCTGGTGTATCCCGTAACCTGTAAACGTTTTTTAATTAGCACAAAGTGTAAGGGAGCAGACTAATGACCAGCCTGGCAGCACATGCACGATGTCGATGTCGCTGTATGGTCTGATGTTACCGTTTTCTCTGATTTTTGTCTTGACTATCAAAATTTCCCAAAGAATATTCTTATCGGTCGAGATCGTACGTGGATGCAGAATTCTCAAGCCTTATGGCCTTACTGAGGTCACCTCAAGCTGCACTCTGAAGGGGGATCGAAGCGTCATCTGCAACATCGGCCGAGATTTGAAGGAAAAAAAAAAATGTGTCGCCCCACCACGTTTGGGGCAAGCTCCATACCAGAAACCGAAGACTTTTTGGGTGGCCTTATCATTGAGTGAAGGAAATTTGATTTGATAAATGTGATAAATTTGAGGGTGGGGGGGGGGGGAGGGGGGGGGGGGGCTTGCCCCATCCTGACGACGCCCATGTGTGGAGGCTAAAATGACAAACTCAACAAACCTGGTAAGTATACTTGCACTGCGCCAGTGTCTGCACAAGGTGGTTCCTGTATTTAAGTCAATAACAAGACAATTTTTAAAAAAGGTGGGACTTTTGTTTTGGATGTGTTACAATTTTAAAGGGAATATACAACATTTGCAAACATCGAAAAAAAATAAAACTACCAAGTTTTTACGAATTATCTTGCTAGGATGTTGGTAAATGACAGTCTTAAGCATCCTGTAAAATTATGGCACCTGGTGTGAAGTCATTTTCAAGAAAATGGCATTTTTGTATACATTTCCAACGGTGGTCGGCCAACCACCGTTGGAAAAACCTAACTATTTTTGAATTACTGCTCCAAATTTACCATTTTTTTTTCAGTCCAAAGTTTGTTTGCTATTGGTTACATGTTCAGGAACGGGTGCAGGCCAGCTATTAAAACTGGTTCCCTATCCTTTCCAGCATCTATAAATTGATCCGTTTTATCTTTAGTGGAGTCAGGGAACCAGACTACTTGAACACTTTTGTTTCTCTTGGTTTTTCCAGCATTTTCGAACACAAAACTTCAAACATGTCAATGTAACAATATTTGATCTATTATGCTAACCCCTCAAACAGTTCATTTCTGAAAATTACAGCAAAAGCCAATGATGTAAATTCCCTTTAAAGGGAATCTGAACCACTTTATAATGAAAGTTAAATTCAGGGTGTGAACATGTGACCATTAAAAAAATGAAGAACCAACATACCTTGTATGTGATGTTTCAAACCCTTGAACGTTCTCCACAAGAATGTAGTTGGGCAGTTTGGCCAAGCTTTGACAAGAGTGGAAGAACATGAATTCACACGGAGTTAGAAAAATCACTTAAGTCAGAGTTCATCATTTGCAGCTATCCAAAAAGTGACTGGCGTAATTATTGTTGAAAAACATACTTGGTTGAAAGATAGTAAGAAGACTAAACTCCCTGTGAAATTATTCTTTCTGGCAAGCTGTCATTTTGAAGAAATCAACGAAAAAAGGACTTTCCAACGGTGTGTCTTAAGAAGCATCGTTGGAAATTTCCGTTAGTAGTTTGTTTTTTTATTCGGCGAAGCGTGCGCAAGCGTTGGCACGACGCACACGCGCGCGCGGTTGCTATAATTTGTCGGATCAGTGCGCGACATCGCATACCTGCAATCGGCTCAGTGAGAACGTGTCTCGGACGCTGAATTCAGGCCCAATTCAAAACATGATTCAGCAACTTTTGATTTGAAATCGAGATCCTAGAATGTTGTTTTGCTCAAAATGTACAGCTGAAGCTGAGCTGAAACTTCATCAGGTTAGTTGTTCAGGACCCTCCTTTAGATTTTGAGCACTTTTGTTGCTTCAAACGAACAAAATGCACAAATTACAAATGATGGACTGTACCTTTAAATACATACAGATAAGATCTATGGAGAGGATGGAATTACAGCGGAAGTACAAAATGCAGAATATGGAGGAAATCTTGGGAAGGTAAAAGGAGAAAACAAGTGGAAATCATATCAATATAGGAAAACTATCATGTCCAGCACTCACCGTGGCAGCATTTCTAGTAGATGGAAGAAGCTTTGAGTGCGCGGATCATTGATATCACCTTTCAGTCCGACCCTGAAACAAAAACCCCAGCAGAATCATGACTTATCACAGATAACTATTGTCAAAGTAAACTACCCAGCAGATTGATTCACCCTTCGACTAGCTTGTCAGTAAAAACCTGAACAAAGTTTTTCAGTGAAGCGTCGTGGCCTCGTGGTCTGGAGCATCAAATTCAAGATCTGTGGGTAATGTTGCAGGTTGTGGGTTCGAGTCCAGCTAGGATCTGTGGTACGTGTGTCCTTGGGCAAGGCACTTTACACTAATTGCATCTACCCTGACCTACCCAGGAGTGAATGGGTACCAGTGACGGCAGAGATGGTTATTGCGGGTGGTTTAGCTGCTTTGCATCGAAACGGCAGCATCGAGCTCACTATTCCCCGGCAGAGTTGAAACGGTCATTGGATTGTTTTTATGGGCTCGGTGAGCAGGGGTAATAATGATGCGCGGTGCCTTTTATAGGACCAATACTGATGCTATTATTCTAGTTTTTGTAAATGGACAAGTACAACCACATGTCTTCAATGAATGAATGGCATTGTCCTGTCAACTACCAAAAAGCCATTATATAATTTTACTCCTCTTTTGGGCCAATCATTCTTGCAGGCTTTTTTAACAGACCTATTTTGTTGAGCTTTTAAAAGGCAAATTTTCCTGCTCCTGCAACTTATGTGAAGTTCTCTGAAAGATTTTGTACTCAGTTTTGAGTCTCTGTCCGAAAATGATGAGTGGTCCAGTGGTGGGCCAACAGTTATGGTGTCGGACTTGTGATACCTGGGTTCGAACCCTGACCGCCAACACGGTGCTTGTGTTTTTGGGCAAGACATTTTACTACAATTGCCTCTCCCAACCCAGGAGTATAAATGGGTACCTGTGAAGGTCGAGATCAGAATGCACTGATCTTGAGCTGCTGCAGAAACCAGTCTCATGGCAATGTGAACAGGGGTAATAATTGTGAAGCGCTTAGAGACTGTGGCAGAAATTGTTATAAAAGTACATTATCAATGCGATGCATTGCGAGGGTGCAGCCTAGCCTACACCAACTCGGGACTTGGTCGCCGCCCTCCACTCATCCCTATCCAGCATTAGGTTCCTCAGCTCCCCCCGTGTCACTGAGACCATAGAGCAAGGACCCAAGGAGTCAGAACTCTTGGGCGATTTACATTTTGACCATTAACATACCAATCCCTCGGGAATGTCTATAGCTACAGCACTGTGACCGCAAGCCTCGACCATTCAAAGCGTGAATGCCAGCGGCCTTTGAACACGATGATCATCGCCGCCTTTTTAGTTGGTAACCAACAACCTCCCTATATGCTGCATAATAAGTCATGTCACGTCGCTGCTCTTTTTTGAAAAATATATTTTACGACAAGATAGGTTTTTACAACTGCGCAGTTGTTAGATGTGAGTTATGAACTCAAGTTAGCAATGTGCAGTTGTTGGTGCTTAAAAGCGTTATCTGTCCCTGTAATTTGGAGATAAATTGGATTTCTTTCAGATAAGTTTTCATGTATTTTCAGACATTTTAATTGGCAATATAGCATTGATGAAATGTGTTTTTTTGGAAAATTTCACAAGTTTTCACACTAAAAGTACAGAGCATTTTGTTCTTCATGAAATGATTGTTTCAGTGATGTTGACCACATTGTAAGCCAGTATTAGCCAACTCCGAACAAACACTTCAAAATCATTCATTTTTAGCGATGTATGACAACTGCGCATGCGTATTTACCATGGTACTGTCTACGAAGCCATGCAAACTCCTTTTTTGGCATTAGTGAGCGCGGATCTCTATTGTGTTGAGATTAGCGTAGTGAGCGACTGAGCAAGCTGCCGCCAGGTGCATTCTATTGTAGCTTTCGAGCACGGCGACCATCATTTTACTTTTGAAGTCTTGGAGTACGAACTCCTTGGGTCCTTGCTCTATGCTGAGACCAACATCCCACCGCAGCGCATCATTACCTTGTAAATGGCTGGCACGGAGGGCTCATCAGAAATATGTCCGCATCCCACTCATTAAACTCCTCTAATGTGATCGACTGTCAAATAAAAAAAACCAAATTAAGGTTGAACAAAGAAGTTGACTGCAGCGCGCTTTGAACCTGCGACCTCCAGATAACCGTTCCGGTGCTCTTCCAACTGAGCTATCCAGCCCTATGTTGGCAGTTCCCCATTTAGTCAATGCAGGGCTGCCAACTTTCACGCATTGAGCGTGTTACTCACGCATTTAAGGTAATTCTCACGCTCTCTCGCCCAAACGGGATTTTTCTCACGCAAAAAAATAAATAATAAAGAAATAAATAAAACTCCAAAATGATGTTTAAATCATGATGTTTTGCTCAAAAACATTGATTAAAGTGGTCATAAATTGCCTCAGATTGCACCATCGAGCGTCTACAATCAACTTTTTTCGGGACCCTTAAAGGGAATATACATCATTTGCTTTTGCTGTAATTTTCAGAAATGGATGGAATTGGGGGGTTGGAAATATAAAGTAAATATAGTTACAATGACTTTTTGGAGGTTTTGGGTTCGAAAATGCTATAAAAATCAAGAAAAACGATCATTTTCCTGTAGTCTGGTTCCCTGACTCCATATAAGAAGAAACAGAGCAGTTTACATACATTGGGGAATTGTAAGGTCAGGGAACCAGTCTAGCTGGCTCGTACCCGTTCATAGGTTTGTAATCGATTGCAAACAAGTGCAATGGTCAATTGGGGCCAGTATTTGAAAAAAAGCCAGTTGTTTCCAACGCTGATCGGCCGATCAGCGTTGGAAATTGATACAAAAATACCACTTTTCTTGAAAATGACAGTATACCAGGTGCCATAATTTTACAGGATGCTTTAGATTGTCATTTACCAACATCCTATTAAGGTATTTTGCAAAAACTTGGTAGTTTTATTTTTCGATGTTTGCAAATGTTGTATATTCCCTTTAAGCAGGCCCACGCACGCAAAAGCATGGTTCCTTCTGATCAAGCTCCATCACCAAATTCTCTCTCTCACTTCTTACTCAAAGTTGGCAGCCCTCTCAATGTCTTTGTTCAAGGGGAACTTGTCAGAGGCCATAAAGGAATACTGGCTCTTCGAAGTCCAGCATTTGAGAAAACATTGATGCCACCACCCTTAGATACACAAGGCAAAATTAAATGAATGAATTAATAAGCAGAAGAGAAAAACTGTATTTTACCTGGATGTTCCTTTGCATGAGGTTCACATTTGGGAAGTTGTGTTTGTACACCTTGTTGGCAAGATCGTTGATGTCAATGGCAGCAACCACTGATATGACTGAGGCATGATCTAGATGGCTTTCTGAAATAACGCAACGGAATGGCAAATATAAGCAATCAGCGTTGATATGCATTTGGTGAAAGTGTAGACCCCACTCCACATAAGAGATTAAGGAAAGAATGCTGCACCCTGACGCTGCTTTTTACTTCATATATCATCTCAAGGAAGGTCAGTCATTGCAAAAATGACGATGAGACATGAATCTGGGACTGAAATACATTTTCAATTTTGTTAGGAAATACTTAACATGCTTAAAAAAATTCTTGGCTCTCCACAGACTTTGTAGACAACCGCTGAAGTAGCGTCAGGTTGCAACATTCTTTCCGAGAATAAAGACTGTGCTGAGAATCTTTTTAGATTTGCACGACTCCAACTGGTGAATCAGGTACATGTAGAAAATTGATAGTGGATATTTTGCCGGAGGTAATGATGGCAAACTAACGATTACTAAAGGTTTGCCGGTGGCAATCCATATCAACAGAGGGCGCTGTACTCTTTAAAATAGGGCTGAATTATAAGATGTATTAAATTCCCACCAAAAGTTGTGTAGCACGTTTGGTGTAATGGTTAAGCAAAGGCTCTAGTAAGCGGGATGAATCGCGTTCGATTCCGACCGCACCACATTTTTAAGTTTTTTTTTCTCATCCCCAAATAAATAAGAATATTCTTCTTTTATTATTTTAACATGTCTCAAACATTTTTTGCAGAGTATTACATTTTCTTTTTCAGATTTGTGGCTCTGGAGGATTTTTTTTAAAAGGGAAATAAAGTCCGAAATTATAAAATGGTCTGAATCCCATCTTGTGAATACGAGGTAACAACGATAAATTTGGCATGGAGCCAGACTAAAACTTGTCACCGGAAAATGTTTAAGTACAAAAAAACAGTAACTGCGCATGTTCAGTGCATATCCGGCAAACTAACGATTACTAAAGGTTTGCCGTCTCCGGCAAAATATACACTGCCTAGAAAATTTGCATTTTTTTCCAAATCCACTATCCAGTTTACCAATTACTGATCATACCAAAACATGGAGTTAAACAAGAAGACTGTCCGAGGTTGCAAAAGTAATTTTGGAAGTGACCGCATCTGGCTGTACAGTACTACTAAAGTAGTACTACTATGATCGCAAGCTCAGAGTCAGAGCTAGCCCGACTGCGTCTGGCCGTACAGTACTATCGCAAGCTCTGTAGTACGGCCAGACGCTCAATGCTTCCAAAAAGACTGAATTTTTTTCCCCGCTGATGTAGCGATTTTGCTACAGATTTTGATCGAGATTATCTTTTCATCAAGGACACAAATTTCCAAAGTTAAGGTTCTTAGTCATAGAGCAACTCATACCTTTTCGAAAAAACGATCTTTGGTCTCAATATTTTCATCCATCTGGCCAAAAGACGACTTTTAGTCATCATCTTCCACAAATATCGTCCTGAAAATGTCCTCCATGCGATTTCAAAATGGCGGCCGCGTTGTAATGTATGCATTATGCGAGCGTGCTTGGGTAAGATAATGAATATGCATCATAGTTTATGACGTTTGTCGGGCGCGCGGCGCGGCTGGCCATACAAACACGAGGTCATGAACTAAATAATGCACATTCAACTACTCGTTTTTGCCGGCTGCGCTGGCTGTTGGCGCATGACGTCACGCGGAAGCGTAACACCCGATGACTGTTTCATGCACTATTGGTTGCGGTTCCAGTACCAAAGCTGTGATGCGAGTGGTAAACCTCATATTAGTGCATGAAACAGTCATCGGGTGTTACGCTTCCAACAGCCAGCGCAGCCGGCAAAAACGAGTAGGCCTAGTTGACAGCGATCGCTCTCTCTGTGCCTGTTAATCGACCGCCATTCATTGTACACAATTTTTTTTGTGCACAAACCAATGGCGGTCCTGGCCAATCCAGCAAGGTTGTCAAGTTAGCGGTTATTCCTCCTGTTTTCACTGCAATTGTAGGCTGAATCTTCATCGTGGATCGTTTTTTACTTCAAGGACCTGTGTAATGGTTATTCCAGGCAAGTTTGGGGTGAGTTGCAGTTGCAATTAGTGTGTAACGGGGACAAAATTGAACATTTTCCAAAAAATTTTGCAAATACTACAAGTTACGGGATAAATTCGCTCCAGCCCTTATAGACAACCCAATGATAAAACTCAGGGCTGGGTAACTCCAGCTAGGCTAATGAAGTCAGAGCTTGCGATAGTACGTACTGTACCGTGTACGGCCAGATGCAGTCGGGCTAGAAGTGACGGTCCTTTGCTTAAGCTGTCGGTCCAGTTTATAACTTAACTTTACTATCATACTATCAATATTTAAAACAACAACAAACCTTTAACTGCGTAGTGCATTCCTCCGATCCCGCTGTAGAATTCCACCACACGCAACCTGGACATGGGCGCAGCCATGTTGAATTGGTTAAACCACAACAATTGGTGGCGCTCTTACCCCGGGTTGCGGACCAGAAATTAGATACGTTGTCTGATGCATGCACAGCAGACCTGTTTCTTGTTCTGTGCTGTTATAAATCCCCCACTTCAAAAAAAATAAGGAAAATACTCAAAACTCTCCAAGGTGATTGAGACACACATCAAATTGAAACTGATTTCATCATCTTTCATTTTCTGTTCATTTTTGGGGGGTAATCAGATGACTTTTGGGGGAATTTTCCATCCAAATATGATCCCCCCAAACTTAGTCGTGAAGACAATCATCATTGAGAAATGATGCCCACACACCTAGAAGACCCAATTTCATCCGAATTTCACAGAACTAGGAACAATCCTTTTCACGGCTTCCACAACTCTTTTTTTTACAAACCCACAAGTTCAGGGCCCACAAAATGCTCTAATAGCAAAAAAAAAAATGTGAGGGCATGCAAAATCATGATTTGGCCCACGTAATTTCTTGCCTTTATACCCGCCTGCAACCTTTTGCATTTTCACAGAAATCTTTCAGCAGAAATGGTCATGGTGGATAGTTGACCAATACATTTTGGGCGGTCGTGTAGTTTAGGACCCTGTTTCATATGACATGTATAAGAGAATGAAAAGACCCTTTACGTTCTTGGACATAATACCTAAACATTTGGCGATGATACAAGCAGGAAAAGTCACTATATGTGTTTGGAATCATCTAAATAGTTCGCTGAGATACCATGTTGATTATCAGCTAGCTTCCCGTACCATTTTAACTTATAAGATCTTATAAGGTTCTTATAAGAATCTTATAAGATTCTTGTAAATGAGTAAGAATCTTATAAGATTCTTACAAGTGAGTAAGAATATGTTAAGATTCTTATAACATATTTTCAAGTCAGAATATCTTCTGATAGCTTCTTATTGTTGCTGAGGAATTCTTATAAGAGACCAAAGTTTGAGTCAGAATGTTTAAGAATTCTTATAAGAAACCCTTTGAGTAAGAACTTGGTAGGGGGTCTCTATAAGAAACTTTGTCAGGAGGATTATGTTAATAAGCTGGCTGCTAATGGGCCACAAGTAGGTCACATGACACAGTGACCTTGCATTCCAGAGACAAACAGTCTTTCTACAACAATTAGTAATTGTTGTAGAAAGAGGGCAGGGTTTGACTCATGAACGGAACTTGTAAAACATTAGAGGTGTCCTGAACTACACGATCACCACATTTTGTCGGAGCTTGCTTTAAAACAAATGTTCTGAGAGATAGTTCATACAATACACCAATAGATTGTTTCTGCATGTCCAATATATTTCAATAAACAGGGACTACTCAATAAATCTTCACTTTTTGATGCTCACTTTTCTTGTTTATGAGATATATCTTTCACTGCCTACATGAAAATAATACACTGCTTTTCATACATTACTCCTTGGAACTTTGTTGTGAAGAGATTGATAAATATAAAAAGCACACAGGGTTTATTCTGCTACACATGATTCCAAAAAATCATTACTTTAATATTTACACCGTTTGCAAACCAAATAAATGCTGATAATTAATCCCCCCCCAAAAAAAGTTCTTTTGTTCTGCTGCTCTACAACCCCGACCCCAGGTTAACAAAATTTCTACATTTCAAAATAATATTTTTAATAGTTATTTTTTTTGTACATATTCAAAGAAATATACAGAGTGAGACAACATATAAAGCATTCACAGTAGTTCACAGTAAGACTACTAAAATTGTCCCAAGATCCGATGCTTTGGCAAAGCATAATTTGACAAATGTTTGTCTGCTTTTCGTTTTCAAAACTTTGAAATACGTATCCGAGCAAACTCCAAAATTTTCTTGTCTTGATTTTTACGACATTTCAAAACATTTCTTCTTGTTAAATTTCCAAAAACTTTCATAATTTGCCTCAGAAATTGCAACTTTATCCATTTTTTTTAATGGTTGGGTAACTACATCATTTGTCATTTGTGCTTTTGTTTTTCGTTTGAAGCAACAAAAGTGCTAAACTAAACTAAATTGATGAAGTTTTAGATCCGTGAGTGCTGTTTATTCCGTGAAAAAAAAAAACTTCTAGAATCTGATATCAATTCAAAATTTGCAGAGTCAAGTTTTGAATTGTGCCCGAAATCAGCATCCGGGACACGTTTTCACTCAGCCGATTTCAGCTGCGTGATGTCACGAACTCAACTGTTTTTGGGGTTGGTTGGTCCCATGACCCCTGTACCCCCCCCCCCCCCCAACCAACCAAAAAAAATCCCCCCCTCCCCCTCTTTAAAGGCCTCTTGGTCAAGGAATACATTTGTCAACTGTGACATAGCTATGTTATACAAATATTCGGAGGCTCTGAGTGGAATGGGAGGAATATTATCGCAAGGTAAAAATCTAGACTTCTATTTCAGGAAGCGAAACCGAGTGAAATGGAAAAGTCCAGATTTTACCGAGCGATACTATTCCTCCCATTTCACAATATACAGCCACACAATATTTGTTCTATATAACTGACATACAGATCCTTGTCATTTGATTTAGTTAAAATGAACTTCTATTAACAAAATTGGTTGGAAATGTATTTCTCTCTTCCAAACCACCCCTTCACGAAATGTTTGAACCCAACTCTGTAGCTACTGGCTCTTGGGAACAATACGCGCTACGCGCAACGCTCACACCAGCATGCATTTGCACACACATACCGCGCCATGGAACAAGAATGATCCTAACTGTTGAATAGTAAATCCCATTCCCCATGGGCGGATAGCACTTTTTGAGCCCCGGCGTGAATGGGAGCAATAACGAATGCCACGTGATGTAAGTTAAACTAATCAAATGACAAGGATCTCTATGTCAGTTATATAATTAAAGATGGCCTAACTTGCAACTTGCAGAAATATTCTTCTAAGTTTAAGCAACAGCTACTGACGACGGATTGACTACAATCATTACTTAATTCAAAGAAGAAAAAAAATAATAACTGGCAATTTAAGAAAGCTTTTTACATCTACATTGCACTTTGTGTCATAATCTGATCAATTACAAACCGCCACGGATGTCATTGGATGTAATTTTGCCTGAAAATTGGGTCCTGCAACTTCATCTTGAAATCTCTAAAACTGCGATCTCTATATGCAAAATTGATTTCTACTCATTTTAAACAAATTTGGACTGTTTTGATACATTTTATACAAATTGAGATTTTGTTAATATATTTTTATGTAATCATTGTTTCTAGTTTTTAAAAGTCTCTGACAAAAGATTTGTACACATTGTTTTGTTCATTTTGGAATATATTTTTTTCTTAATCATCATTTCTGCCAGCGTTTTCTATCCTAAAAAACAAGGGTCTTAGCTTTTCATACAAAGCTAACATAACCTACGAGAATTTTTAAAAAGGCAAGATCGCAACTTTGTCAATTGTGCATTTTTTGTGCAGATTAAATTTTGCAAGTTATTTTCTCCAAGTTAATTGGAACTAGGTATGTACTAAATTAGAGTGCTCATCCGCATGTGGCAATTCCCCTGAACAAAATTAAGGATGTGACTTTGCATTTAATTCTGTAAATATTTAGCAAATAATTTAAACATTTTTCAATTCTTACATTTTGCCGGTTCCACGGAGCTGCCAACAACCACAGAAATATTTGCTTAACAGCAAAAATGGGTTACCAGCCAAACTGTCATCAGTGTTTATGGCTTGTGACTGGTACTCTGTGGCTTTTTGCTAAGCGAGATTTTCGGCTTTGGCAGCTGCGTGAAATTTGGCCCAGACTGAGTGTCGAAAACTGCTAGATGCTTGTTAGTTTCACACACAGAGATTTGGCTCAATTAACTATCAAACAAGCATCCTCTAACTGGCCAAGGTGCGAACTAGCACACACATAATTACAACTGATTTAAGAAATGATTAGCAATTACAGAAACAAGCGGCCGATTTCACAAAACGCCGCGACGTGTCTAAGGAAGACTAACGTGTCTTATTAACTCGCGATTTTACCAAACTTCAGATGCATTCAACATGTCTTATTATAAGAGTTTAGGCTTTGCATGGTGGAGTATCGGTATCGTTTCGGTTTGCGGTAACACCATGTGGTAATAACTACTGCTTAGAAGATATTTAGTTCTGAAAAGAACTTGTCCTGCTTATTATCAACTTGCGCTAAAACAACTTGTCTTTGGTCTCAACGTTTCAACTTGCATTAATTTAAGTATTGTTTTGGAAATCACTGCACCATATTTTCAAAAAAGACGATCGAGTGTTGGCCTAGAGTGATAGTTTTGTGGAAAACCGCTGTAGAAACAGATTTGAAAAGATTTTGCCACGTGTGCAGTTTTGATTAAAATAACCTTATTGACACAATTTAATTATATGCCAACACCTAGTTGACTTTTTAATAAAAATAAAATACTTTGGGTTCTCGAAATAGAGTTTTGAACCGGAGAGCACGTCATCTAGTCATAAGGGTTTTAATGACTCTATTGAATCTTGTGTAGGTGTACTTTGCATATGAAATTTAATGAGCAGGTAAATGTTTTCAGGGGAAGTTTGCATTCTATGTCCAGGAGCGGGAAATTGGTTTTGCATGTTTCTTTTCATCGACCGTTTCGTGAAGCGCTAAAACAGACACAAAACAGACATCAAATTGGTAATTTCATTGGTAATTTTGATGCGTCTTGCTTAAGATGGGTTTAGTGAAATCAGTCTTAGTAGCTAGGATCGATCTACATGTAAGAGCGGGGGCTCGTATCAAGTCCTTACGTGAGTTGTAAGACAAGACGAGTTTCGTGAAATCGGCCCCAGGTCCATATATGTGACCCGTCACAACAAAATGAGCGATTAGGCCGGACTTTTTAAGAACTGAGGTATTTATATATCTAGATTCTGCTGAACAAGAGCTTTCCAATGGTATACAACATTTAGGGGTACTGAGTTCGGTAAGGCGGGATCGCTAAAAATGTGTCCGGGATTAAAGTTGCCATTAAGTTGCAGACAGAAAGCTTCACTTTGTTACATGCAGTAACCAGAGTTGACACTATGTGGCATGTTGACTGACCTCTATGGACTGGCTGCTATGTGCTACTTGGATAACGCGCCTTGAAGCAAAGATTCCGCCATCTTGCTTCCCCAAACGTCACATTCTGCAGTTGCGTTTTTTTCTTTACATTTATAAATGTACACTTGCATGAAGTATTAAATAGTCAAATAAAACCTACGTTGTAACTGTAGGAATTCACATCATTACAATGACATGCTGACATCGCTCATTTGTCTCTGCAGCGACCGGCCCTGCCGGAAACCCTCCACCAACCGAAGAACGTCTGGCCGCTCCTCGAAGAACTCCACGATGGCCGACTCGGTCAGCATGGAAGCCAGGAACTGCTCGAACGTGATCTCCCAGGCGGGCTCGCTTCTGCCACCGTTTCCCGCGACCGGCAGAGTCTTGGGTCTGCTGGGGCTCGCCTTTGCACGACTCGGCGACTCCCCGGCACCCGTGTTTAGTTGGTGGGCGGCGTCCCCTGATCTGGATAGAAGCGTGTCTTTTGGTTGATCGACACCTTCCGCGACCACGTCGGGGCTGACGTGGATATCGGCCATGGCGTCGGCTAATTCCATTTCAAGCGAGTCTCCGCCTGCTTTCCAGTCAGTCCCGGAGCTTGGAGACAAGTTTAGATCTTTCGCTTCGGTTTTTTTATCCTCACCAACATCATCGGAATCAAGGCTGGAAGCCTCAGCCCCTCTCAACCCGATCAACCCAGGAACCGTCTCTGCTCCTGATGACCTTTCGGGAATTTCGGATCCACTGGCGGTGACCTCCGAGCTCTCACCTCCGTCGAAGCTTTCGGTCAGCTCGGATCCCGTCGGCGTTCCCTTCTTGAACTTCTTGCCGACCTCCCCCAGCTCGAAGAGCAAGGAGCCGACCGTGGCGATGGCTCGGTAGAGTTCCTGCTCCCTGGGGTGGTCGACAAACATGTCGTACATCGTCTTCAACAGCTGAATAAACTGGTCCTGCAAAAAGAGAAAGAATTGTCAAAATTTGAACAGTGACTTTGATCCTCATGAACTGGAATCAATCATCTTTTTTTTTTTAGGGTTTTGATGGCTACAGGACTGTAGAACCCAGCAAGTAATTGCAATTACTGGAGAGTCAAGTCGGCGCAGTGGTTGCTTTCCTTGCCTTCCATCGCTATGGCCCAGGTTCGATTCCTGCCCGGACCACATGTGGATTGGGTTTTCAGTCCCTGCCTGATTCCGTGGTTTTCCCCAGAATATTCTTCATGGGTTTTCCTCCCACCTCTAAAACTGTAATTTCTTCTCATGGCCTTCTCTCTACAGGTTTCTTCAGGCTTGCGAGCTACAGTGCCTAGCGGCGCTTTTGAGGAATCCTTGGTTTCATTACCAGAAATAAATAAAATAAAATAAAAATACAATTACCTGGTTGATGCGTGGGACGTGCTTGAAACCTTTCCTCCGTTCTGCTTCTTCCTTTTCCCGCTCCCATTTCCTGATGTAGTAGCGATATCCTTCCCTCTGCGATTCCATGTCATCCTCTTCTGTTTGACGATTGGAAGAAGGGTGATAGCAAACGAGACTTGAGGTTTCACACTTCACAAAGCTACAATCTTTATTCATACCCTCCCACTCCTTGGGAGAGTTTGGCCAAGTGGCGAGGGTTTGTGACTCATGATTGAATGATCAGGGGTTCGAATCCAGCTGCTGGCCATATGTTGTGTCCCTGGGCAAGCCACTTCACTCCAACCTGCCTCTCTCCACCCAGGAGTATAAATGGGTACCGGTATTAGATGGGGAGTAACCTGCGATGGACTAGCATCCCATCCAGGGGGGAATAGAAATATTCTCAGTCGTTTCATGCCACTGAAACTGGAGATAAACGCCGGCCTGATGGGCCACACTGGCTTGTGACAGACTTTACTTTCCTCCCCCATTCCTTAAATATCCACCAGGATGTTTTGTAGACACTGTAATTACGAGTCGTTGCTTCAATGGCTTGATTTTTGGGGACCAAAGTTTTGTACCCAAAATCTTTCGTTCAGTAATAACACGATCAGTAAATTTTTAAGGTACAAATGTATTTCAAGGTAACATTTAAAGCTTAAAGGTAGAGTAGATCATTTGCAGCTATCCAAAAAGTAACCGACCAAATTATTGTGAAAAAGCTTACTTGGTGTAAAGATAGTAATGACACTAAACTCTCTGTGAAATTCCTCCTTCTGGCATGCTGTCATTTTGAAAAAACAACAAAAGAAGGTCCATTTCCAAAGATGTGTCAAGTGACATATTTTTGGGAATTTCCGTGAATCCGCCCGCATGCGATCTAATGTGTAGTTGGTTTGCAATTGGGCGAATCTGTGAATGGGCGACAATCTGAATGAGAATCATGTCCTGAATTCTGATTTGGGGACTCTGTCATGAGATCGAGAGGGCACAATTTAAAATATGGCATCCCAACTTTGGAATGTTTGTTCTGTTTTCTTAAAATATACAGCATTCGCCGAGCTAAAACTTCATTAGGTTAGTTATTAGGCATCCGTGTTTAGATTTTGAGTACCTTTGTTGGTGCAAACAAAGAAAATGCACAATAATGACAAATAGCCTACTCTACCTTTCAAAGGTCGACTTTGCTCAAAAGTACTCGTTCAGCAATAGTTCTTGATCAGCTTGTATAATAGTATTAAATCAGGCGATTCACAATGTTTGCCAGGAAGAGTTCATTTTTCCCAGTGCATTGTGGGAGATGGTCGACAAATTCACAGCGCGGGACGTTTAAAATTGTTAGTTTTTCTGGTCAGCAGTTTCGTAAGCGTATGATTCGAGTATCTGGTTGTCCTTTTCTGTTCTTTTTTTTTGAATATGACGTTTTTTTGTAAGGCGGCAGAACCCTATGCCCCAATCTATAACAAATTAGCTCAAGTTGTCTAACGACGGGCATTGTTTTGTTGACCGTAAAATTGAAAAATGGACTCACCACGTCAAACTCTTAGTGGTGCACTGCATTGTGAACAGCGGGAATTGTAGAAACAAACATCCTACCTTCCTTTACAGCTGCTGCTTGTTCTCCTTCTAACAAAACCGTCTGAAGCTCGTCACCTGTTGGATCAAAGACGTCCCCCCTCCCCTCCCCGTCTTCCCCCTCCCTATCTTCCCCCTCCACGTCTTCCCCCACCCCCTCTACATCTTCCTCTTCCAGTAGGGTCTTCTTGGGGGAGTCCGAGGGCGTCTGACCTGGGGTGTGCTTGGGGGTTTGCTCCGTCTTGTCTTGGCCCTCATCGGTGGACTGGCTGAGCGGATGTCCCTCCTGACCAATAGGAAACATTGAGAAGTGGATACAAACATCAGGACAAATGTTACGACAGCTGTGATTGGTTCGGCAGAATTTGTTCAAATTTTGGCAAGAAACTTGACCTGGGATATTTCGGGTGCAGGATCTGATTGTCTCTGACACAAACTTGGGTGTTGGTCATTCTATAAATTTAGGGTTCAAAGTGTGACATTTTTCCTGTCCGCGTTACCTTGGTACTTTGCAATTTGCCATTCAAGTATCATTAAGAATGACCTCAAACGATTGTTTAGGCCGAAAAAAAAAGTCTCCGGTTTCTGGTATGGAGCTTGTCCAAAAAGTGGTGTGGCGACGCGGCTTTTTTTTTTGTTTACCTGACTTTTTTGCTTCAAATGTCGACTGATGACTGCAAATGGTGCCCGACTAAACTTAGTGCAAATATATGGGAGTCCAGAGAGGCCACATAAAGCTTATTCTCGATCATAAACCCATCTAAATACACGTTAAAATTGTGCAGCAGCAGGATTCCAGTCAAACCAGTGAGTTTGGCGGTTTTGAGACATCATCTTTCATTGAAAAAAAACTTTTTCATTTTGCCGACGCGCATGGCTACGGCGACGCGCGCGCATACCAGAAACCGGAGACTTTTTTTTTTTGGCCTTATTTGTTGGGTAGGTAGTTCGCTATTCATAATCACTCTTGGAGGACGACTGCATTGAAGTATGCATCAGAATTATAAAATAATAGAAGCCAGATGTAACAGAGACAGGAAAAAAGTGGACCAAAATTGATATGATGATCCATATCCAATGCCAAATCACCAAAAACAATCTTAAAAATCCTGAAAAATAAGAAAATTGCAAAGAGATTCTCACTGGAGCCTGTTCCACGGTGGGCGTCTTCATCGTGTCCTCAAAATACTCCGCCGCATCACATGCCGAGTCTGTCTCGCCCTGGTCCTCGTCAGGCGATGGTTGGCCGACGGTACTTGCTTCATCTGATCAGAAATGAAGTGGAAAACGAAACTGAACTTCTGTGGATATAGGCCTTTGAAAAAATGCTCCTTATAATGTGACATCTTTTGATGACATCATCATGACGTCACTTCAATTTTCATCTACTGTATGTCACGTCCCTCTCTACCTACATACCAAGTTTCAACCAAATTGGACCCAGTTCTGTAGACATAGGCCATTCAATGTGAAACCACATGAAATGCGACGACTTCATCATGATGTCACTTCAATTTTCATCCATAACACATCCCTGTCTAGGCATATACCAAGCTACAATCATTGGATCTACAGTTCTGTAGATGTACATTTAGGCCTTTGAAAAATACACCTTTAACCCCTTAAGGACGGGGTGTAATGGGGACATTCCTCCACACATAGAGCAAGTGGCCCGCATGACTGCACAGCCTTTGTGTGGTAGCGGGACTGCACAAAAGCAGCAGCTGTGGAACTACCCACTAGCCGTGTGCCACGGCATACCACAGCTGGCAACTGCATTCCAATGAGGATTAGCGGCCGCGGCCATGACCGCTTCCCGTCCTTAAGGGGTTAATGTTACGTCACATGACATTTGATGACATCACCATGACGTAATTGTTCGCAGGTCATCTACTGTAGATGGTCTATCATGCTTGTGCCATGTTTTGAGTAGATCGATTACAACTAAGTGCCCAAAGTAGGGGTGGAATAAAAAAGTACACAAATCAGACAGAGAAAACACTTTACCCGTCTGAGAGTCTCCAGCGATGCTCTCCATGTCTTCCGGAAGCAGTGCCGGGGGTAGATGCAGCAGGTAGAGCAGCCGGAGCCGTTCGGGAAGCTCGCCCCGGCACATGATGCCAAGACCCCAGGCAAAATCACGGAAGTTGATCAGGTTGTCCCGGTCTTCGTCCAGGAGCTGCAGAACCGAAGGGAAGTTTAGCCCATTAGCACTTGTACTTACATTGTGTTAGGCTGCATCCGCTATGGCTAGAAATAACACACATTGTTAGGCCTAATAATGACATGACACGACATGGCACCTGTTCAAATCTGACTTCAATGGAGGTTCGCAGTTCTAGAAGATATGTTTTTATTTTGACGATTTGGAAAGTGTGTTACAAACAATGAAAAGAACATTAAAATATGAATAACAAAAGTGTTTCTTCACCTATTCATTACTAATTGTTTTTCCGCACGATCATACATGCGTATAATAATGGCAATACTGCTGTTTATAGTATCAATACGGAAAGTGGCACAAATGGATTTTTGAGTGTTTGTGTTCAACGGACCATATCTCTGGTTTGGCAAAAGCAAAATTGATAAAACAAATAGCATTTGAAAGCTGACTATCCCAGGTTTAACATTAAATAAGCATCATGAAATGTTTTTCAATATTCCAAGGACACAGAGCCCGTTTCTGCTTGCAGCATTTTGTTTTTTTGGGGGGGACAGGCTGTATATACAATCATATGGGGTTTCGGGAACTAAGGGTAACAATCGGGACAATGGTACCCAATAACTTGGTCTTTAGAAATCTCAGTACCCCAGGAGTGAAATGCCATGTAGGTTGAGATTTCATTAGAAACAGAGGAGAACAATTGTCGGGAAGTAAAGATGGACCGTAGTGTTACCCCCTAACCACCATATGTCAAGATGGGTGTCTGTGTGATTGTGTCAATACCTACCCTAAATGCCCTGAGAACTAAGAGGTCAGCTTGGGTGCCGCGCGCCCAGGGGGAGAAGGTCAGGAACAGGGTGCGATACTTCTCCACGTCGATCTTGAAGGTGGCTAGGAAATGCTGGGTTTGGTCCAGGACTGGCGCTCCCGACAACATGTTGCTGGAAAGATACTCCTCCTGAAAAAAAAATAAGAATACAAAAAATTCTACTTTTTTGCCATTTCATGAAACAGCGTATAACTTACACCGTGCCTATGATTCACCTAACAATGCCGTTGCGTATCTGCGCAATTAACTGACAATCCAATTTCATCAAAAATTTGCATAGCTGTGCAATGTTTTCAAATAATCCCGACGTCTTTGACAAGTTCAATCACAGCTTTTGCAACGGCCGTTTGTGCGTGATTTCGTAACGGTCACGAAACAGTCATTGAATCACCTCCGCCCACGATTTTGAAAACAGTTTGTCTGACTTTCGTTGGAATCAGGCATCCATTAAGACATGTCCCAAAGATGCTTTGACTAATCGCAGCCGTGCTTAATGTCCAACATGCGTGCACAACATGTCCGACATGCATTCATGGGCGTATGACGCACGTGGCTGGAACGCGAAGTGTGGCATGAGAGAGGTGTACGTGTTGTTTGCCCACGTGTGCAACTGGCATTGCTCAACACATTGCAGGCTTTCAAGCAGACTCCGTCGAAAAAGGAGAACAGTATGGATCAAAACGTTGTAAATGTAGGACTTTGGGTGACAAAAACAAGATAAACGTAGGACTTTTGCGGGCTTTCGGGAGTAGTTGGCATATTCTGTACTCACAACACTTGTGCTCCATCCTCAACTAAGCTCTTGGAAGTACAGTTGCAGTGCTCCTGCGCCAAAGCCCTTCATTGTGTGATTAACATATGACAGTGTGTACCACTGTTATGAAAAGTATTCAATGAGATTTCATTTTTCGGAGTTGTGGGACAAAAAGTAGGAAAAAGAAGGAATTTTAAGAAAAAAGTATGAAAAGTAGGAGTAGGTAAAAAAAAAATAGGAAAAAAGTGGGAAAACTTCAAAGCCTGGGATTGGTATTAAAGACTCACCTTGAATATCGTGTAGAGTTCTTCCAGCTCTTGCGAGTTGAACGGCACCTCTCCGGCGAGACTGCGTACGATCGTTCGGCGGGCCGTGTCCTCCAGGCCCTGCACCACGCGCAGTCGCTGGTTTAGACGCATCTTCTTAATCTGGTCCGTGCGGATGTAGCCGTATTTGGCGTAGGCGTTGTGGATGAGATCCGACACGTCAACATCGGGCTGGGTGGCCAAAAAAATGTCAGAATGAATGGATCGTTTTCCAGAGCTGTTTTGCAGAAATGATGTAAAGTTGCAATTTCCCTTGTAATATGACTTCAATTTGACTTATTTTGACTTGTAATTTGACTTACACTTTCACTTGCAATTTGGCATGTGATTTGACTTGTGATTTGACTTGCAATTTGACTTATGATTTGATGTGTTATTTGACTTGAGGTTTGACTTGTGATTTGACTTCCAATTTGACTTGCGATTTGACTTGTGATTTGACTTGCAATTTGACTTGTGATTTGACGTGCGATTTGACTTGCGATTTGACTTGTGATTTGACTTGCAATTTGACTTGTGATTTGACTTGCAATTTGACTTGTGATTTGACTTCCGATTTGACTTGCAATTTGACTTGTGTTTTGACTTGTGTTTTGACTTGTGATTTGACGTGCAATTTGACTTACAATTTGACTTACAATTTGACTTGTGATTTGACTTGCGATTTGACCTGTGATTTGACTTGCAATTTGACTTGCAATTTGACTTGCGATTTGACTTGTGATTTCATTTCTTGCTTTGATTTATGATTTAACTAGTGTTGGAATTGACTACAACTCTGCAGCTTTTCACTTAGCGCCAGTAATTCGCAACTAAAATTCTATTTTTCTGCCTAGCATCTCCTAGAAATCAGACACAGCATTCTCAAGAGATACCTTTCGTTCCATAGTCATAGCTGCGAGCGTAGACATGTGAGGCATGGTGGGCCCCGTCGCGTCTTTGTTCTGGACGCTCTCCAAGTACGTGCTCAGGACCGTCATGGCCGTGCCGTCATCCTCGCATTGCAGAAGCGCGTCGTAGTTGGCGTCCAGCACGGCCAGTGCAATCTGGAAAATGACGCGGGCCCCGTCGTAGAAGAAACAGTCCATGATGTTGACGGCACTCTCAAATGGCATGACACTGTTAAAAAAAATTGAAATGATGTGTTTTGATGTGGTACAAGACTTAAGACATAAAAGCGTCAAGCTGTGTTTGCATGTGTGCTTCCCTATGGGAGCCTTGTGGGGCAATTGGCTGGCCAGCCCACCTGGCTCCAATAGGAAAGTGTACATGTAAAGAAAGTGATGTCATTATGGCTTAGGGGACAAGACCTTTGTAGTCAGTGGTGTGCCACTGAGATGGAATGTGGCAAAATGTGGTTTTGGGGGTTTTTTTGGGGGGGGGGGGGTAAAAAACCTATTGTTTGGGCTAAATTTGTCATTTGGCATCTTGTTTTCATATGCAAAATGCAAGTCTTATTGTGAGTTTTTGTTTTTAAGGCAGAGAGAAAGGTTCATAAAGATAACACACACAACATAGAATATCCCGATTCAGTAGGTTTTTATCATGTGTGTGAAGTTCAATTCAGACATCCGTAACATTATAATGTCACGTCCGTAACAAAAAAACATGATGTTTCCACAGCATCAAAGTAGCTTTTTGTAAAATGTCCTTGGTAATTATATAGAGTGAAGCTATATCTACCACAACATGGTTATTTCATTAAATTCTTGCAAGAAACTTCACAGACTTTTATCAATGCATACTGATAGTTAAAACCTATGTCAGAATGTGTATTATCTGTAACGGTCGTTTACAATGCTTATATGTCATTAATTAATTCAGCTAACATTACATTAACCATGTCATGTTGTACATTAAGGCCGAAGCTAGAGTTGTACCAAATATAGAAAATTCGACGTCACTGTCAGATTTTTTATTTCTTGCTTCAAATTGGTCATTAGCTCTCAATGCAACGTCTGTTACGATGGGATTGCCTATATAGCTTAATATTGGATGGTCAGGTCGCCAACCATGGACAAGATTTTCACCTGATGAAGATGGTCAGAAACCATGACAACGAGATCATGCTGAGAATTCCAAGCTTCTCCATCTTGACGTAGAGATCCGGCAGATACTCCTTAGTCAAAGCCTCAAATACCCCTAGAGAGAAAAACACAGACACACAAAACAGAGGATTGTGTACATGCAGTTGAAAAATCATGATCATAAGCACAAACTTTCGTGGTTAAAAAAAGCTGTGAAACTGATCCCAAGTCACAAATTGTACAAACCACACGGCTTCTTTAACTGGTAACCTGTTTTTGGCTAAGCAATTACATACCGTGCTTAGCGAGTTAGGGCCTATCACAATTCATATCCGGAGTTCTGGACAAGTTGCGGGTAGAATCATTCACTTTGCCTGGAAGAAGCTCTGCATTTGTCCCAGACATGTTAAGGTGAAATTTTCATTAGCGACGGCTTGACTCATCAATACTGATAACTTCATTGCGGGAAGATTGCGGGGAAGTTGCTCAGAATCCTGCAACTTATACCCGATACAATGTTCGCAACTTGTCTGGAACTCGTCCCGGATATAAACTGAGAGGGGCCCTTACAGTGGTTTGCATTTCAACCAAATTGGGCCCAGGCCAACTCAACGTTTTCTGCCTTCACTTACCTTGGTCAATGAGGGCGCCAACAACCCGCGTGTTGTAGTAGTCCGGCAGCAGTCTTTCGCAGATCGCAACCAGCAACCAGAAAGCCTCTTCCTCATTTGCATAAAGCAGGAGCACGGAGGTCACAATGTTCATGGCTTGGCAGTAACCTAAAAAATCAAACAAACAAAATAAATTTGTATTCATATACGAAAAATAGGTACAAACTAAAAAATTTAAAATGTGCTTTACTTTAATGCTTGTCCATGTCTTAAAGGGAAAATACAACATTTGCAAACATCAAAAAATAAAACTACCAAATCATTTTGAAATACCTTGCTGGACTGTTAGTGAATGACAGTGTAAAGCATCCTGTAAAATCATGGCACCTGGTATACTGTCATTTTCATGAAAAGCGGTATTTTTGTATCAATTTCCAACGCTGATCGGCCGATCAGCGTTGGAAAAAACTGGCTTTTTTCAAATACTGGCCCCAGTTGACCATCGCACTTGTTTGCAATCGATTACACACCTATGAACGGGTACAAGCCAGCTAGACTGGTTCCCTGACCTTACAATTCCCCAATATATGTAAACTGCTCTGTTTCTTCTTAAATGGAGTCAGGGAACCAGACTACAGGAAAATGATTGTTTTTCTTGGTTTTTATAGCATTTTCGAACCCAAAACCTCAAAAAAGTCAGTGTAACTATATTTGCTATATATTTCCAACCCCCCAATTCCACCCATTTCTGAAATTACAGCAAAAGCCAATGATGTATATTCCCTTTAACTTATGCATGCGCAGTAATAGCAGCATGTGAACAGCTCCTGTCAAACGCTGGGCAAGACGTCATAACAAAACTTCTTGGTTCTGGCTTCCGCTGTACTTTATGACGCGTGAGGCTGTTGGAAAAATGGAATCTTGCCCTGCGGTTCGGTCCCAAATGGCTGACTAGAGTAGTCCAACCATCCTGCGTTCGAGTACAGTTTGTCAAACTGTGGTTTAACCACAGCTTGGCTCCAACTTGCTCAATGTGGCATTCGGCGTGTCAAAGGTTAAAAGGTCAGATGAATAATTCATTACCTATCGTGGGGTTCCTGTAGGCGTAGGCTGTCAGGACCCGTCGCAGGGCGGCGATGCCCAGCTCTGACTGGAATGCCGGATGCTCCGGAAGGGATCGATGGAGATCTCTCTCGATTTCGTCAGTCGCGATGCTGTCCTTGCCGAGGCTCTGCTCCACTAGCGATTGGTAGTAACCGGCTTGGGTGGCCATCTTAGTTATAAAAAAAAGGCTGCAAGTTCAACTTTACCTGGGGTAAAGCGCTTTACCCCTGTTCAACAGGAATCAGACCATTTCTTTTTTTCTGTAGCAGCTCGAGATCAGCGCAATCTGGTCTCTTCACAGATACCCATTTATGCTCGTGGATGGAGAGAGGCAATTGTTGTAAATGATGTTGGTCCAGACAGGCTATAGTTAAAGCGCCCTCCAGCGACTGGATGTTTTCCGTTCGCCGAAAACACATCAACGTTGAGTCTGAGAAAATTTTGTTGACAAATTCTAAGCAAAATTGCTGAACATGGAGGCATGGAGGTACCAATAATTGTTAATTATGATGATTATCTTAATGCGTAGTACAAATATTGAATAGTTTAATATGATTTATGAGGTTAAAATTGACTATAATCAGAAACAAAACAAACGCTAGTGCATGTGCATTCTAGCACAGGGTTTATTGTGGCAGTGTACATGTACATGTTTTTGTACCGCATGTAATTCCATAGTTTCCCAACATTAATTCATTTATTAATCAAGTGCTGATCTCAGAATTATTTGATCGATAGGTTTCTATAATTGTCTTTGATTGTCTAAGGACAGGATACATGTAACAATTTGTTACCCATGTAGAGATATGCATGTCCCTGTCACATGTTGATTGTTGACATGTAACATGTTAAATATGGCTTGTGTAGTACACTGCAAGTTTAAGTCATGCTGCTGGGTCAAGGTTCATGTAGTCTGTTTACTTAATTAGGTTTTTCTTCTTGTCTTTTGTTGATAGTTTTCACGGAGTGATATGGAGTAATTGTCACACACAGAGAGTGAAATCCAAGTAGTGAAGTACACTAATAAACATCAGAGTGACATTGATAAGACACTTCAGTGAATCTCGTGTCTAGCCTAGCCTAAATATAGTTTGCGACCTCAGAGTCAGCGACATAAAGTGTCTTGCCCAAGAGCACAAGCACCATGTTCCCCGTCAGGGTTAGAACTCACGTACCACGGTACAAGAGTCGAACACCTTAAGGGCCCCACTAGTAACTTTTCTTGGAAAGCAAATGAAAAACAACTTTTCCCACCTCGTTAACGGCTCCAGAGTAGAGAAGCCATATTTCCCCGCGTAGACTCTCCGGAATTCCCTTCATGATCAATTCCTGGGTATCCACAGTGCGGTACATGCACACACCTCTACAACACAAACAGGAATATGAAACGTAAGAAGTTAGCCTTAACTTTGGACAATGTTTGTTTCATAGAGCTATATTAACTTACTAGAGCGCCAAGTCCTCATTCCCCTGCGGATATACTCTGAAGCCGTCCTGGGCGCAGGCATTTTGAATTCATGTGCCTGTTTGTAGAACATAATGAAATTACATGGAGTATGGCGGCAAAAATCAACTGCAGCGCATACGCGCACGTGTTTGTGTTTGTGTTGTTTGCGCAGAGCAAAATGAAATGCTCATTTACTGGTTGTGCGTTTCAGTTTTGGGCGTATAGGATGCAGGTATGCAATAATCGTATTAAAGCCGTACGGAATTAAGAGTTTTCCAATTCCATAGGTTTGTGAACAAATATGAATGCGCCCAGCTGGCTTCACTAGTCTGGTTCCCTGACCCTACTTCAGACGAAACGGAGCAATTCATAGACGTCAGGTCAGGGAACCGCACCGTTCACGGATATGTAACCCACTGTAAACAAAATGTGGTAAATTGAGGGCAGTATTTGAAAAAGGCATTGTTTTTTTAACAATAGTCGGCCAACCATCGTTGGAAACTGATACAAAAATTCCAGTTTTCTTGAAAATGACAGCACACCTGGTGCCATGATTTCACAGGATGCTTGAGACCATTATTCACTTACAGTCAAGTAAGGTATTTCATAACAATTTGGTAGTTTTGTTTTTCGATGTTCGCAAATGTTGTATACCTTTTAAGTCTTGTCTTACGTTTTTGAGTAAGGCACTTAAACAGCAATGCTTGTGATCTCACAAATATTTTGCATCCTCTAATGTTTTTGCGACGCCGCACAATTCTTCTTGCAGGGCTTTTGAAAAAAGACACACATGATGTTGCAGAATTCACAATTATGACGGGATACCATTGTGACGTTTCCAACCGCCTCGACAGCGATACCGACCTTCCAAACTCCTTGAAGTGGATGTCCCACAGGTGCTTCTTGACGGATTCCTTGACGGACACCTCGTCCGAACCTCGCCGATTAAAGACTGTGATCAGAGCCGGCTGGAGTTGAACGGCGATGCTGCCCGACGAATCACCACCTTCCTCTTCGAAGAAAAAAACAACAAAGTATGGCAATGTTTAGTGATGAGATTTGAGAAAAATGAAACATCCATGGAATAATCAGCAGAGGGTTTGTGGGTTGTTATTGCTCAAGAGCAACGTAAGGCCTATAATTGTATTTGCATAACAGCACCCCTTAAATTACCCTTCGAGAAGCGAGGCGGTGATAAAATTCTCCACATTTTCCAAATATGGGCATAATTTTTTTTCAATGGGCCAATTAGGCCAAGCTTCCATGTAATCCTCACCCCCACTATACACCACAAGCCTGCAGACTCCCATTGGCCAGACCCTAGCCACTCCAGAGTAAGGAGCGTTGAAAGACAGAAGCCAAGATGGCGCCTAATGCCTTTGTGCAGTAATTGGAGATCTTAGTGGCCAACCCCTAAGTGCTGCCGATCTCTTTGTGTCAACCCCTTGTGCCGCCCTGAACTCAGACAGGTTGTAAACAATCCCTGGCCATGTGAATGACCTATATCTTGTGCATGTCCAGGCATGCCAGGGTTAGTGACCTAGAAACACGTGTGGTGATAAAATTCTCCACGTGGTTCCACCGTGTAAATTTTTTCCGCTTGAAGCTCGAAGGGTAAAATACCTATTTCTTTTTAGATATAAGCTTTTGTAGATCCAAACACCTTTACGGTAAAGCCTCAGGAGTGCCAGATTTCAAAAGTGATTCTCTGAAAAATCCGGAAATCAGGAAAAAAATCCGACAAACCAAATCCTAAAATCAGGGAAAAGTCTTTAAAAATCTCACCCCTACAATGTTGCACGATCAAATCACTATCCAGTATGCAACAAGTTGTTGTCACAGAAATACCATTTTTTGCAGCGCATTATCGAGGGGAAAAAAACAAAGTTCGCATGCGAAACTTAATTTCTCTTGAAAAAGGTCTGGCATTAACGGCCATTTTATCCAACTTTTCTCAACAATATTGGGTTTTTCCCTTTCAATGACGTAATGTCATATGCACTGTATACTCAGTACTGTCCGAGGGCCCGCGGGCAAATATTCACAAGCTTTAAATCGGATGGGACTCGAACCTACGACCTCGTGCTTAGTGCTCACTAGTAGGCAAGCCCAAGAATTCGCCCACGCTATGTCCCATACATAACGAAAGTTTAACCCTCCAAGATAGTCATGGATTCAGTGTTTTTTATTCTACTGCTGGACATCTACAAGGAGAATACCCACAAGAATTTTTATGGTATTAGTCTTTGCGATGATTATGTAATTAAGGCCCCCCAAAAAAGTCTCCGGTTTCTGGTATGGAGATTGCCCAAAATGTGGTGCGGCGAAGCGGCTTTTTTTTTTTTACCTGATTTGTTTTGCTTCAAATGTCGGCTGATGACTGCAAATGGTGCCCGACTAAACTTAGTGCAAATATATGGGAGTCCAGAGAGGCCACATAAAGCTTATTCTCGATCATATCCCCATCTAAAAACACGTTAGAATTGTGCAGCAGCAGAATTCCAGTCAAACCATTGAGTTTGGCGATTTTGAGACATCATCTTTCATTAAAAAAACCTTTTTCATTTTGCCGACGCGCATGGCTACGGCGACGCACGTGCATACCAGAAACCGGAGACTTATTTTTTTTGGCCTAAAGAAAACATGGCGTTATGTATGTGACAAAAAGGGGACCTTTTCTTGGACTGTCTGTTGTTCGGACATCTTACCAATCAATCACCAAGCTTGCAAAGGTCAGCTGGTATAGCAGTTGTACTACTACCACAGCATTTTGTATGATGAAAATTTGGCGCAGGGAGATGTAAATTTAATATTGGACTTTATGTTTGGTCAGTTAAATTACATAATTTGAAATGAGAAAATGTCATGAGAAAATGCGACAGAAAATGAGGACTTGTTTGACAGACTGAGGAAATGTCAGAGACAGACACACTGGGACAGACATAATGAGACACAGGGGTGACAAACATGGTGAGAGATTGGGTGATACAAAACAAGTTTCAAAGACATTTTTAAGCCATGACTGCGCGACCAACTGTCGAGAAATGTCTGACACGTTTGAATTTTGTTTCACACGCATGACGCATGCAGTTCCAACAGTTGTAGAACATTGCAAGAACATACATGTACAAATGATGTGATGATGTGAAGAGGGTCGTAACATTTAGCAGGAAATTTGCGTTTAACAAGAAACAGCGTCAATTTAAATCTGCGTTTTCAAATGAGCAGGGAATCCTGTAACTGCAGGACTTGTCACATCCGTATGCATTGGATGAAACCAACTGTAGCTCTGCAACGATTCGGTTTAATATTTCTCGATGGTTAGGCCAAAAAAAAAAAAGTCGGTCTCTGGTCAGACCGAAGTTCCGGAATTGATGCGGCGAAGCGTTTTTTGGGTTTTTTTTTTTTTTTTTTTTTTTTTCAAGCTTGTATTGTACAGACAAGGTGGGTACTATTTTGCTTTTTTGTGTCCTCATTATACATTGGTGTCCTCCATAATTTGCCTTGGTGCCCTTTATCATTTGCCTTGGTGCAATTCCCCATTCCTTGGTGCTCCTTGGTACAAAAATTGTTGTAGCTTCCGTGTTAATTTGAAGGGGAAAAAAAGGTTGACGCGCATGATTAAAATCGACGCGCGCGCTGACAAGAGACCAAGTATTTTTTTTTTTTTTGCCTTATTCAGGTTATTTGAGTACATGTTTCAGTTACATTAGCCGACCACTCGGTGGAAATGAAGGATTTCATTCAGAAGACAAAAGAAAACTTCTCACTCGAAAATGTCAAAAATTCCGAACACAAAACTCTTTCACAAGGTAGTAAGTTGCACACAACGACGGACATAATTCGTAAAAACAATGTCAAGTCCAATGTTTGGAAAGGTGGTGAGTATTTATTTAAACTTCCATTATTTATATTGAATAATTGAAGAAATAAATTAGCCGTTCAAAACTGTAACCAAAAAGGGAAACTATTCATAAGATGGAATTTGCGTCGGGGTGATGTAAGTTCAATATTAGGTTTTGCCCTTCACCGACTATAAACACTGTATACTCAGTGTGTTACCTCCCGAGCGAAAGTTGGAAAAAATCACTCGGGTGGGACTCAAACCCATGACCTCCTGCTTTCTAGTGCCGACGTCTTACCACTCGACCACCGAGCTTGCAACATAAAAACTTGTGCACTTGCGGGCCTAATGAACACAGTAGCACCTGAGGCTGGCTTTCAGTGTTTGATGTAACTATGGACTTATGAACATGGACGAAAATCATGTGATGGCGGTGGAAAGTTTTGAGTTAGTTAAAGAGGTTGTGGAATGCTCGAAAACATTTCTGTCATTTTTTGGGTATATGTAGCCTAAGGTGTGATGAAATCAAAACGACTATTGTGTCTGTCATGAAATGAGTACAAAGGGTACTTTTGAGAGCTATTTTTCAGGTCCTGTTTCGACCCGAACGCGCAATTTGTGTTAAAGTCGTCGTTGCGGGCAGCAAACAAAACACAGTAAATCGTGACGTAATAAACAGGACTTGTTTATGCTACTCTGCATCAGGAGTCCTGTTTATTACGTCACGATTTACTGTGTTTTGTTTGCTGCCCGCAACGACGACTTTTACACAAATTGCACGTTCGGGTCGAAACAGGCATGACAGGACTTGAAAAACAGCTCTCAAAAGTACCTTTTGTACCTTTTGACAGACACAATAGTCGTTTTTATTTCATCACACCTTAGGCTACATATACCCAAAAAATGACGGAAATGTTTTCGAGCATTCCACAACCTCTTTAATAATTATAAGATACCTGGGGACATTCCAATGGCAGGATTTAGACAGAGATACTTGTTAGTAGGCATGCTGGGTGAGTAACTACGAGGAGGATCTGCCAATTAAATGATCCAAACTCAGACACAGAAAGACAAGGGACAGAACAACAATACAAATAGTGCAACATGAAGGAAGTTTAACAAATAGAAAAGCAGAAATACACCTGCTGGATGAAATTTTTCAGGGTGCGTCAACAATTTTGGCACGTAATCATTCTAGTTTATTCTATTTTCTAGCAGCAGCAGCTTTTTCAGGTGATAGTTTTCAAGAAATCCTCTAGGAAATGGCAGTCACTCAACTAAAAGATGAAATTGTTATGAGGCACAAGTAACTGAAAAGTTACAAAGTTGACAATCTGCAAAATTGGAAAATGACTTTTAAAAAGGCACACAAAGTGACCAAAGGCAATTTTTTTGCAACACTATTTTGTGAAAAATCTACAAAAAAATGTGCCTTTGTATTATCAGAAACAATATAGCAAGTCTTATTTTTGTGTGTGTGCAAAGTTCGAAACTTGAGTTTGTTAAAGATGATTTGAAGTTGCGCTCCTGGGCTTAAAATTTTTTTTTCTTCTTATTCTCAAATTTTCAACTTGCATGCTTAATTCCAACTCCAAAACCTTGCTTGTTCTTCTTTTTTTTTTTTCCTTTTTTGGACATCTGGAACCCTCTGGAAAAAAAAAAATTAATTTGGCACAAACAGATCCACTTTGCAAGTAGACTTGCTCCCAGTCCGTACATTGTCGATACCGATTGTAGGGCAGGAACCAGCCTATCCCACAAGAAACTCGAAAACAGAACAGGTGAATGCAACTTAGATAAAAGATAAAAGTAAAAGAAAGTAAAAGTGAAAAAGATGTGTTAACTTACTGTTAGTAAAAACTAGATCATCGCTTAGAACTGTGTTGTAGTAGGACATGTGGTCTAACATAACAAAAAACAAGCACACAAGGAAATCAACAAAATATATTCTAACTATCATGCATGTGCACTACATACATATACATGCATAGGGCTTTGAACTGCAGCCATATTTGGGGGCGTGCTTTTAGGCTTGTTCCACTAAGATAATGACAAATATAAGGAGAAATTAAAAAAAAAAAACTCAAAGATGGCGGCCAAATGGAAAAGGTCTATAAAAGAAAATATCTCAACTACAACAGAACAGTATTCATGCAGATTTAAGGGGACAGGATTATCCAGGTTTTGCTGTAGGATCGTTTGCTTTTTGTGCATTTTCTTTTTTTTTGGAGGCAACAAAATTGCTCAATATCTTAAGCAGGGTGCATAATAAGCAGCCAGTGAAACTTTCAGCTCAGTGGATACTATACAGGGTGAGTAAAAAAAATCCCCAAAACCAAATGTCGGGACCATTGTTTTAGTGAAGTTCTGCATGTAGCACTTTCAAAATCTAGGATATGAAAGCCCAATTCATAAGCTTTCTTTGAGTATAAGAATCATTCAAATCACTCATGTACTTTTGAAGTTACGGAATTTTAAACACAACCACCGTTGTCACAAAGGGATGTGTGTGAGTTGTTTTTGTTTTGCCGAAAGAACGCACACCTTTTTGTTTTGTGATCCGCGGACAGAACTTTAAAACGGTGGTTGTGTTTAAAATTCCGTAACTTGAAAAGTGAAAAGTACAAGAGTGATTTGAATGATTCTTGTTCTCAAAGAAAGCTTGTGAATTGGGCTTCCGTATCCTAGATTTTGAAAGTGCTACATGCAGAACTTCACTAAAACAATGGTCCCGCCATTTGGGTTTTGTGTTTTTTGACTCACCCAGTATATGTTGATAAAACACAATGCAAAATGTTTGGGTCTCTCTTGTTACTGGATACCATTGTAAAACACACATAAAAAAAGTGTGCCAGTAGGCACACTTTTTACAAACTTCCTTCGATGATTGTTTTCTTCCGACTGATATCATTTCAGGCGGAATAATTTCACAGGGTATTTGGTGGCATCCCTATTTTCACTTCGAACAAGGTTTAATTGGTAGGTCTTTTCTTGGTAATTGCCCGTGCTCTGTACATGCCTTTTACCCTAACCATCCCCAACCCTTCAAAATCCAACAGCACGTTTTGTTGGAATTTGTTGGAGTGAGTCCAACAGTTTTGGTGAATGAGTTTACCATATGGTGTTGGATTTTGCAAGAGTTAGGAAGGATCCTAGTAAACTACTCAAGGAGTTACGGTTAAAAGCTACTAGACAATTAACTTAAAAGAGCTCACGTAGACGTAGTGCAGGAGGAGAGTTTTTTCAAGAAAGACTATTAAAGGGTTTGGTTAACCTGCAAGGAACAATGATAAGAATGGTTATTTTGAATGTAAGAGCTGACAGTAGAATCGGTTATGCAAGTCCAGATTTACTTCAAGTAAATAATGTTAATCTGTAAGTATAAATGGTGGCAGTGGCGCACCCAAGAGGGGGGGGGGGGGGCTCGAGGGGCTTAAGCCCCCCCCCCCCCCCCCCCCCCCCCCCCGAGGTTGTCAATTTTTTTTTGGGGGGGGGGGGTCCTTTTTTTTAGTCCCACAATTTGACCGTGGTGATTATGTGGCCTATTTTCGAGGAGTATAATAGGGGTGTAAATGGTGCCGCCAACATCAAAATAGTTGCCCCCCCCCAAAAAAATATTTTAAGCGGCCACAAATTTTGGGCAACATTTTTTGAAAAAAACTCAAATTTCAAAAAAAAAAAAATTTAGAACCCCCCCCCCCAAGCCAAATCCTGGGTGCGCCACTGAATGGTGGGGAAAAGGGTGAACATAATAATGTCGCATTGGTGTTGTATTGGATAGTGTTCCCTCACCTGATTTGATACTGGCATTGCTGCTGGTGCTGCCGAGGCTCCCTAAGCTGCTGCTGATTTGTGCCAGGGGTCTGTGATTGGCCGGCATCTCAATCAGGCTGTTGCTGCTGCTGGAACTCATGGATATGCTGTCGCTTCTATGCCTGGCCAAACAAACAAAAGATCTTGTTCTTATTAACCTATTAAGCTTTTTTTTTTTATAAAAATTATTTTGCACTTATATTGGATGGCATGGGTGGCTTGTGCGTAAAGCGCTCGCCTCTCACCAAGGTGACCACGGTTCGAATCCTGGCCGCGGATGGCATGTGAGTAGATTTGTGCGTTGGTTTTCTCCTGTGCCACGAGGGTTTTTCTCTGGGCCCTCCCGTTTTCCTCCCTCTGGAAAAATCAAACACTTTCGATCTCAGGCTGTGCTCCGACGGTGGTCATATATGGGTCGATGTGGCCGGCAGCCATAGGCGCCTTTATGTGCCAGTGGCCCGACCACGCTGTAGTCGCGTCCTTCGCAATTCAGCATATATCTGCTGCGAGTAAGGATGGTTAGCCTCCCAAATTATTATTATCATTATCATTTGCTCCATGTATTTGCCCATAGAGTTACATTGTAGCACCCACACTTCAAATTCCTTTGAGGTAATCTTCAGTGGAGTATGGATAACACTTCAAATCCCTGCGCAATTCTTGTGTGTGGTTAAGCTCAGGGCAAGCAGGCAGATTCAGTCACGCTCCACTGCTCTCCACAGTGGTTGTTTTTGGTGCAGTGACTCAGTGTATGTAACACAGTTACTTAACCCTTTGAGCTTCAAGCCCAACAAATTTACGCGGTGGAACCACCGTGAGAATTCTATCACCACACGTGTTTCTAGGTCGATAACCCTGGCATGCCTGTACATGCACAAGATATAGGTCATTCACACGGCCAGGGATCGTTTACAACCTGTCTGGGCTCTGGGCGGCACGAGGGGTTGACACAAAGGGATCGGGCGGCACTTAGGGGTTGGCCACTAAGATCTCCAATTACTGCACAAAGGCATTAGGCGCCATCTTGGCTTCTGGTCTTTCAACACTCCCTACTCCAGAGTGGCTAGGGTCTGGCCAATGGGAGTTTACAGGCTTGTGGTGTACAAGTAGGGGTGAGGATTACATGGAAGCTTGGCCTTATTAGCCCATTGAAAAAAAAATTATGACCATATTTGGAAAACAATGAGATTTTTTTCACGGCGCCCCTGCTCGAAGGGTTAAACACTTCATATCAAGGCCAGACGCTGTGTTGTTTATGCTCAGCCATGCATAAATTTAGGCCTAGATTATAGTTGAAATCTTCCGCACTGCTCCAGGATGTCACTGGCTCTGCCTCAACATACTGACAGTGAATGCTGGAGGATTTTGCAGGATTGAGGCAGTGGTCACCCCTCCAAGGACCACATTCAAGAAATAACGGATGATTTTGGAGGATTGGAGGATGTTCACACGGAGGCAGTTGGAGGATTTTGCAGGATTAAAGTTGCGTCCTAGTAACTAGAACGGCGAAGCTGTCCAAGGCAGGAAGGGAGGCTGAAAGTAGGGTTGGGAATGGGCATGATGGAAGGGGATCAGGATTCTTGTTGATGTGCCTAGGTGTAGGGGTCAGTTTTTAAATGTCAACATAAAAAGTCAACAGATTACCTAATAAATACATGTGTATATAGGTTAGCCGTCACTGTATTATGGGGGAGTTTTCCATTGTTAGGGTAATTAGGACCCACTTGTGGATTTTTGCAGCCCCAACAGTGTCTTCTGCTCCCCATACTTGTATTACCATGGGAAAACTCTTGTGTAGTCGCCACAAAAGCAGAACAAGAATGGGTATACATGTACATGTAGACACAGCACCATCACCACCTCCCCCAAACCTTACCTCATCCCAAAACCTTACCCCATCCCCAACCCGCCCCCTCCCCCACCCAACCCCCTACCCACACCCATTTTATCCTCCCCTAACCATCCCCACCCTATCACCTACACATCCCAACCCACCCAAACTCCAATCCCTATCTCCTTCCCCCTCCCCTGACCCGTACCCTCCCCTACCCCAACCCCCTACACCCACCTACCCTATCTTCCACTATCTGTCCTTACCCACCCTACACATCCCCATCCTAACCCTTACTCGAATTCCAATATCCCGCCCACCCCATTCCCCCACCCATACATCCCCACCTGACCCCATGCAACCCCTACTCTGATCCCTATATACTGCCCCCTCCCCTTATCCAACCCCTACAACCCATCCCTACACATCCCCAACCCAACCCCTACTCCGATCCTATATCCCACCCCCTGCCCAACCCCCTCCTAACCCAACCCCCACATCCATGCCCATCCTCTCCCTACCTGTCTCCCCCTACCTGTCTCCCCCTACCTGTTCCCACCCCACCCCTACAAATCCCCACCCCACCCAAACCCAGTATTCCAACCCCTCTCCCCACCCCACCCCACCCCAACCCACCCCGCCCCACCCATCCTAGCTCCCCTACTCATCCTACTCACACAAACACTAACTCAAACCCTATCCCCCAACCCACCCCACCCCACCCTCCCCCACCCCATCCCTACTCCAACCCCATAAACTAAAAGATCAAACCAGAAGCTCATGCACATCCCCAAAATGCATAGTGTACATGTTATACCGGTAAACATACACGTACATGTACCGTAATTTTCGGAATATAAGCCGCGCGGCGTATAAGCCGCAGCACGCAAAAATCTGCAAATTAAGATTTGAAGTCGGCGTATAAGCCGCACCGGCGTATAAGCCGCACCGACGGCAGCGGTTTCAATTTTCTAAGGCCTCCAAATTCTAGCCAAAATGCTCTGAACCAGTTCCATTTACACTACAGAAGCTATAAAAAGGGCCACAAAAGTTGTATCAAATCATTTACAATCGATACTCTCACAAACAAATGTGGAAATTGATGATGAGAAATAAACACCGGGAATTGCTGCCGGCTGCCCCGTCCGGTCCCCGGCCGTAAAAGTTAATACATCGCCCGGCGCGGCAGCCTGCGCTGGCCGGCGCCTATGACAACATTTTCCTGCAGCACGTGAGAGAGTATGCAACCCACCGTGATTTTCCCCCATTGCGTGTGTTGTCTGACTGGAGCGCTACGTACAAATCTTGCTTTGTGGCAACAGATGCTGATTTGTTTTGTCCTAAAAATATACAGGTCCGTTTTTATCTCAAAACTTATCAAATTTTTGTGATTACTAATGAGCAGTATTCAAGTTTCGATCGTAACTTTCTTCGAAAATAGTCAAAACGATGCTGCCATTTTCATGGACGAATCCATTAATTTTGTAAGGGGTGATGTAGTCCCTGTTTTGAGGTTTACATCGTTTCTTGAATACATTTCAAGTACAAAAATTATATTGTGACGTTGAACAACTGATTATCGAATAACGAAATGTTTCGGACACCATAAAAAGTATTAGTCGTCTTTTTTCTTTTTTTAAACAGCGGAAATGTTGGTAATTATTGTTTCCAAGATAGTACACCCCTATATTACCTCAAATGGTGTGGTCCGCTGGGGAAAGCATGCTGCATGCAGCAGCACTAGAATCACATACGGCTTGTTGCAAGGCGTCGATCGAAGACAACTTTCACCGTACTTTTTACCGCTCGGCACCTTTACGTGGCACGTGGTTTCGGTTCGTTAATGACTTTCTTAATTGATAATTCATTTCAGCAACATATCTCTTCTTAAACCAGTACATGTACATTAAATACACATGTGAATTTCATTTTCATTCTTCAAGGCTCGGCGTATAAGCCGCCCTGTGTATAAGCCGCAGTAAACATTTTCATGGGCAAAATCAACGTATAAGCCGCGGCTTATATTCCGAAAATTACGGTATACGTTATACAAGTATACATGTACATGTAACAATTAAAAACTTTAACATTTCCTTGAATTAAAGTTCCTCAATAAAATCATAAAATTTACTGCAATGATATGAACCTAACTGAAGTTATAGAGATGATACATGACAACTGCATTTAATTTTTTTCCCCAATTTAACTAGAACCAAAAACTTCAACATTTTTATCTGAACGCGGACGTCCGGACGGGCGCCCGGACAGACGGACGGAAATTGGTATTACATAGGCTCGCATCTGCTTCGCAGCTCGCCAAAAATGCCTTGAGAGTTAATGTATAAATCATTAGCAATGTCTTTTCATGGTGCTACCGCAAAAAGTCTTCGTTTCCTACACACAAAATTCAAATCCCTTAATACGTAAAGTTCTCGTTACCTTGTGTTTTCCGTGGTTTTGGAGAGGAAATCCGCAATGTGGTGGACCAGAAAATCTCTGTCTTTCAGAGACGCAAACAGGATTGTCATCTGAAGTGGAAAGAAACGAAAACATCAAGTGACAAATGTAAAAAAAAAAAAAACTGAATTTGAATTTCTGAAAACCAAAAGGACACAATCAAGAATTTGATTTCCATTTTGCCTAAAAAATTAAAGCGACCTTTATAAATTGTCTGTGCAGGTTTTTAAAAGACAAACATAGGACACACAAATGACTTAAACGAAATTGTCTGGACTGGAGATTCATTCTACCTTGGATCTGGTTGAAACATGCAAGCCGTTTTGAATCACGGATGAGTTTTCCACTTTCTCGATGACCGTGACGTCGCGCATCGGGATCACAACGTGGACAAGATTCTTCAGCTACAAGCGAAAAAATAAACAGACGAAACACATCACGTTTTGATTCTCAAGTGAGGTGATTATTAGCATATAATTCTGTGGTAGGCAGAGCTGAGAAATTTGGCCTTGACTCTCAACAAAACTGTTAAAGACACTTTCCCAATGTGAAAAACTACTAATTTTACAAAAAAAGGGCAATTCGTATTATATTTAATGTTAATTACATATAAATTATAATCGTGAACACACTACTCCCTTATTTGCTTCTCTCAAGATTTTTTGATTTAAAGACATTCATTACCTAAATTTCGGTAAATTCATGTATAAATATTCAAATAATTTACTCCCATGTTGTTTCAACATTTTTTTTTAACTTTAACCTCGCATATTCATTCATTTAATACTAGAAGTGTTTCAAAGCAAAAACTATATGTTTATTCCAGTAGAACTTCAATGTTAAAAAAACAGCCTTGTCCACCGGGGCATTGACCTTTGGAATAGGCTGAGTGGCTCAATTGAATCATCGTTAACTTTATCTACATTCAGCAAAAAAAATTTAAACTCAATTTGCTTAACTGTTATGATGTCTGATGAATAATTATTGTACTCCTGTTTGTTATGTTCCTGTTTGTCCCTATTCGTTACTTGTATGATAAAAGTATTTGTCCACAGGTTGGGGTGCAAAAGCTATGTTGGAGTATGTATTTTGTTGATTTATGATATATGTAGGTTGAATTTAATTTATATCCAATGTTATACATGTAATTATAACAGTAATTATAACAGTAATTTTGTATATGAGGAACAAAGTTGAACAAATATCTAGCAAATTGACAAAAATAAATTGAAAGCTGATTAGCCTTACCCGGCTACCAAAGCACATGTAGTTTCGTGACAGATAGAGGATTCCGTTGACATGGGTCTTGTTGTACGGGGTCCAGAGGGTGCAGGGGACGTGGCCGTCTAACTTCTCGGAGATTGGAAGACGAAATACTTGCCTGTTGGAGAAATGTGGACAAATTACCCGATGTGGAAATTTTTATAATTTTTTCAATTTTGGTTGACAATAGTTTGGGATATTGTTGCAATTCAGGAAATATCCCTCTCGAAAGAAAAGAAAACAGTTCCGTTATAAAAAAAAACTCTGTATTTCATGAAACTGTAGTAGTACCTGCATAATTTTGGCAAAGTTCCGTTGGGTGAAATTTTAGCAATATGGACTCAATGCTCAAGTATCCATTCAATGATGAAAATATGAGCGGCGCGATGGACCGTGATCGCCTCACTGGTATACATAATAACATAACCAGTGAATAACATGCGTAAACCGGTGAAAAGTTGTGTCCTTCGAATGGGATATCATTTGAACGTATTTTATGATGGAAGTTGCGCTATGCAAATGTGAATAAATAATAATAATAATTTGGGAGGCTAATCATCCTTACTCGCAGCTGGTATGCTGAATTGCGAAGGACGCGGCTACAACGTGGTTGGGCCGCTGGCACGTAAAGGCGCCTATGGCTGCCGGCCACACCGACCCATATATGACCACGGAGCACAGCCTGAGATCGAAAGTGTTTGATTTTTCCGGAGGGAGGAAAATCGGAGGGCCCGGAGAAAAACCCTCGTGGCACAGGAGAGAACCAACGCACAACTCTACTCACATGCGATCCGCGGCCAGGATTCGAACCGTGGTCACCTTGGTGAGAGGCGAGCGCTTTACGCACAAGCCACCCACGCCACCCGTTAATTACTGTAATGTAACCTTACAGAGACAGTATTTGTCATAAGTTCTACCTAAGGAAGACACCGAACATTAGGGAGACATCTCCCTAATGTACACAACTCCTTTTTAGAGGCAAAGTTTTATGTAGTTTTATAAGGTGGATCGGTTGCTCGTGGTCCAAAACATAAATATACCATAATTCGTGGGGGTAGGATAAGGGAAATTGGGGTTAGGGGTCATTAAAGTTGTAAAAAATTTGTGCAAAACCCTATGGGAATGTCCCACTACGGTACCATTTCCCGTAAAATACGTGTAATGGCACCATTAAGGTATCATAATTTCTTCGCACGATGGGAAACATCGGTCATTAGGGAGACATTTCTCATGTCTCCCTAATGTCGCAGCCCCCCTTTAGAGGAAAAATTTTACCGTCGCAATTAGTTTATATTTGTTGCTAGTGGTCTAATTAGTAAATATACCGAAATTCGTGGAAAAAGGACAAGGGAATATTGGGTTAGGGCACATTTAAGTTTGCAAAATTTGGTCCAATCCAGGGTAATCATTATTATTATTACTATTATCATTACTTGGTGAAATAGCGCCCTCTCTTGTTCATGCACGGAGTCCGTCACGTGACCTACCTGTAAGCTTCACTCCGGAGTCTGGCATCCAGATCTCTCTTCAGAGACGAGACTTTCTTCTTCTTTTTACTGAAAGGATACCGACCAAATTTGTCACAAAATTTCTGGAAAACTTGGTCTGGAGAAAGCTTTGCCCAAAAACTTTGAATGTTTAAAGATAGTTGATTGATTATTAGATCTTCAGACACTTTTTTTATCATTTGAATATTCAGAAACGAAATGCTGTTAAATAACAAAGTCCTTGGGAAAAGCCCATTTAATTGACACTAGAGAAGTATTTTTTTCTTTTTTTCTAATGAGCATTTTGTTTAACCAATTTGTTCAACCTCGGAACTCTTAGCTGAAAAATTGGACAAAACTGTCCCAGCAGAATTCTATGCCTACAAATGCTAGGTTGATACAACCCATGCTTTGACTGTGGATGATTGAAATCAATGATAAAAATCACCCCCACATCATTTTTTGTTCTTTTTTTGGGGGGGGGGGGGGGGGGGGGTTCTTTTTGGGGGGGGGGAGGGAGGGGGTTGTATTTCAATTTCAAGCATTGTTCTGCTTCTACCAAGGGGCTCACTCGATATAAGTCGAGACTTTCATGGGCAACCTGTATAAATAATAATAAAAATAATTTGGGAGGCTAATCAGTCTTGCGTGAAGCTGAGAAGTCTTACTAGAAGCTGAGAAGCTGAATTGCGAAGGATGTGGCTACAACGTGGTCAAGCCAAAAGGCATGTAACGGCGCCTTTGGCAGCCGCAATATTATCCTAATACATCATAATGTTGGCACATGTTCAAAATAGGCACAGGCGTAGCCATAGTCCTAGCCGTAAGGTCTTACATTCTTCCTACCTGATTCTGGTTCTGGGCGGGAGATCCTTATCCTGCTCGAAGCCTTCCTCCGACAGCAGCTGCCTCATGGCCAGGTTGGCCAGTTGCTCCATCAGACTGAAGGTCTCAATGGGATTGACGAACATGGAGAAGTAGTACTCCTGGTCCCTGGTGGAAAGTTTGATGCTCTCTGGAAAGATGACCGCGTTTTTCTTCTCCAGATGCTGTGAGCGGCAAGAATTGAAAATATGTGAAGAAAGAGCCTGCAAGTTTGAGATTTTGGAATTTTGCTGTAGGCTTGTGAATTGTTTTCTTGACAGCCCTCGGACAATACTGAGTTAATAATATTTATGAATGCACATGTATGGTTGTGAAAGGTAAAACCCAAGATTAAATTATACAGGGTGGAGCAAAAAAACTGAAACCGAGATATTATTCAGGGGTTTCCCTTAACTTTTTCCTTTACTGGCCGGCCGGGCCAGTAAACCAGAGTTTTCACTGGCCCGCAACCTTTTTCACTAGCCCACATGTTTTAATAGTAACTTTCAATCAAATCACCATAAGCATTTTTGATAACATTTTTGATAATAAATTATGCAATATGAATACAATCGGCAATTATCTTAATCATGTACATAATATTGCATGTAGTTCCTTTTTAAGTAAAGTCAATGTTTCTTTAATCGTCCATGCTTTAACATAGAGCAAGGCTTTAATTAACAGGAATCAAATATAGGGGGAGAAGTTATAATCAAAATTTATACAGTGTGCTTCGTTCCGAACTTAAGGCTTTAGGTGTTCTATTTCCGACATGTTTTGATAAAACACGAACTAAAAAGCGTTATCTTGAGGAACAAGAAAACATTGCACACAGTCGTGGTATTAATGGGAGTTTACCAAGTTAGTATAAACTGAACTGTTTTAACTTGTTTGAAAATGAGTGAGAAGGCCAGTATTTAAAAAAAAAACATCTCTCGCGCGCGCCATGCATTTCTAGCGAAGAATGGTGCAATCAGCGTGCCTAGCCAAGAAGCGCTGCGGGCGGGCGACCCACAAACTTACGCTGGTCACGTCAATCCATAACGTTTTCTGGAGCACTGTCCACTTTACATTCACTAGTCTTTACATTCAAAATAGGCCCCTCGAATCTCATATTGTCCTCATCTTTTCGGTACATTCGTTTGATAGTGTTCAAGAAATCATCCCAAGAATCCGTTCGGGCACAAGTTTTGGCAGTGAAACTGTCATGAAAGTTTTCTCCTCACCACGTTGTATGATACGAATACGATGTTAACGTACGCACGTCCGTACCGTGTGGACTGCAGACGAAGTAAATCACGTGCGCTGCATGTACGTGTGCACAATGTGTAATGGCAAATACACGTTGATTCGCCTCGTGTCGTGTTCGTCGTTGGGATTTCAATGCACAGGGCACTGCGAATATACATGGAGTGATATGAATTCAAACTACCAATGTTTTTATTTCGGTCGGCGTGGCAAAAGCATTCATGTGTTGTATCACCCTTAACTTTTTATTTTGATTGATTGAAAAATACTGTAGGGAAAATTTCGTTATTTTTTATTTTTTTAACAGTTTTTTGACTCGCCCGTCGGACTACTGAGAGGAGGGTTTTGACTCGCCCGCCGCTGTTTTCACTCGCATTTGGCGAGCGGGCGACTGCTAAGGAAAACCCCTGATTATTGCTAATTGGAACAGAAGTAGGGCACATGTGAATCAAAGGGAGATATCCTCTGTTAGGGTTGAATCTCCTCTTTAAAATGACACCCTGATAAAGTCATTACATTCACGGTTGACTGAGCAGTGACCAATTTTATGAAAGGGTCTATTTAGAGACTTGCGCCACTTTTCATGGTGAAATCTCTTTTTTTCCCCACCTGGCTTGAGTTGGCAACCATAGCCTTTCACTCTGTGACAATTGACACAACTAAAACCCATTGAAAAGTGGCGCAAGTCTCTAAATAGACCCTTTCATAGATGTGGTCACTGCTCAGTCAACCGTGAATGTAACGACATGACCAGGGTGTCATTTTAAAGAGGAGATTCAACCCTAACAGAGAATATCTCCCTTTGATTCACATGTGCCCTACTTCTGTTCCAATTTGCAATAATATCTCGTTTTCGTTTTTTTTTTATCCACCCTGTATATCCCCAGCGCAACAATTCTATCATATAAACAAAATGAAATCATCATTAACAGAGTGCAATCATATCAAAAAATCTCTTTGAAAAACTTCTTGGAAGGCGTACCGTGACATCCGTCCATCGTATAGACAACCTAGCCTCCGTGCCCATCAGAAATGAGTAGAAGTAGAGATAGTTGACACTGAGGTACATCCAGCCCTGCCGGGGGACCTTACCCTTCCAATAGCTGCAGGAATAGTCTGTTGGGAGATACGTAGAGGAGACATAAAGAGGTTAAATTGATTGAGGGGAGGAGGGTGTAAGAAACGTCAGAATGATCGAGGGAATGGATCTATATTCAGCCAAGACCCAGCAACTGGGGTGCTAGAACTCCATATTTCTAATTTTTGACTATGACACGTGGAGTAGCCAGTAGGCGCTTTATAAGGTATATATTTGAAAAACATGCTGAGCAGACAGAGTTTGATGCTCCGTGAAAGTGGCCAAATTCCATCGATTTGCAGCTCAAAAAATGATTGTGAGTACCATTGAAGCCCCAGTACCTCGTCTTTGACATGTGGAGAAGCCAGTAGGCGCATTATAAGGTATTTTTGTCAAGTCTTTGCTATGATTTTGGAGACTTTTTGAGGTGGATGTTCGTTAAAATACTTTAGTCTACATTGTAGGGGTCCTTTCCGCTGGGGCGCTAGTACATGTAAAACCAACCAAAGTCAAAATTTGAAAAAGGAGTTATAGCGCCCCAGCTCCTGGGTCTATGTTCAGCCCTAGAATAATAGGAACTTAGCCTTCTAGTAGCTGCAAAAATAACGGTAGTCTAGAAAGGGAGACAGAGGGAGAGGATGTAAGAACAGTTGGAAGGATGGAGTACATGGCATAAGGTTGGAGTTTAACAGAGTCATCACTAGTCTGTTACAAGTCATCATCATAAGTCACCACAAGTCAATAACAAGGCAAGGCAATCAGAAGTCGTCGTAAGTCGCTATGAATTATCACAAGTCATCATAAATAATCGCAAGTCAATCACAGGCCATCACAAGTCAATCACAGTTTATCAGAAGCCATACACAATTCATTGTAAGTTATCACACGTCATCATAAATAATCACAATTCAATCACAAGTCAAGCATAAGTCAATCACAAGTCAATCATAAGTCAGTCACAAGTCAGACCCAAGTCATCACAAGTCCATGACAAATTGTAGCAAGTCATCCGAACTCAGTTACAACGTCTCACAAGTCAATCACAAGTCTTCTCAAATTGGTCACAAGTCATAACGAGTCATTCAATAGTTCTAAAAAGTCAACCAGATGTCACCACAAGTCCATCATAATAACTACATGTAGTCATCACAAGCCATCACAAGACATAATATGGTCTTAATGCAAGTCACAAGCTTCTCAAATGGACTGTGACAAATGCATTTTTATTTCCAAACTGCCTGCTTGTAACCTTTTCCCATACCATGAAAGATGTTGCAAATAAAGGAATTAGAGAAACAAGATTAAGGGAACTTAAAAAAGAACTTACAGTTGACGAGCTTCTCGTCCTCCGACACTTTGAACAGACGGTGCCACTTTTCACATGCCGACTTGAATGCTTTGCTCTCCTCATCAACTACGTGTTCCATAAAATTTTAAATATGTAGAAAATGTGATTTTATACAAACAAAATAAATTCTGCAAATTTAATTTTCTTTTTCAATGGAAAATTCAATTCGCATTAGGGATTATAGGCTTCTTGATAAATGTGCAAAAAAAACATGTTGCATTATATTTCCTTCTTAACCAGTCCATATTTTCCTCATCCAAAATGATACAATGAAACATCTAGCATTATATTTCCCTCTTAACCAGTCAATATTTTCCCCATCCAAAATGATACAATGAAACATCTAGAATTATATTTCCCTCTTAACCAGGCCATATTTCCCTCATTCAAAATGATGCAATGAAACACCTAGCATTATTTTTTCCTCTTAACCAGTCCATATTTTCCTCCTCCAAATTGATACAATGAAGCATCTAGCACTATATTTTCTTCTTAGCCAGTCAATATTTTCCTCATTTAAAATAATACAATGACACATCTAGCATTATACATGTATTTCCCTCTTAACCGGTCAATATTTTCCCCATCCAAAATGATGTAATGAATCATCTAGCATTATATTTCCCTCTTAACCAGTCCATATTTTCCTCTTCCAAAATGATACAATGAAACATCTAGCACTATATTTCCCTCTTAACCAGTCAATATTTTCCCCATCCAAATTGACACAATGAAACATCTAGAATTATATTTCCCTCTTAACCAGGCCATATTTTTCTCCTCTAAATTGATACAATGAAACATCTAGCATTATATTTCCCTCTTAATTAGTCAATATTTTCCTGTGTCGCACATGATACAGCTGCTATTTTTCAGTTATATCCCTAATTTCTCCATTGCCCAAATCTGCCATTGGTTGCAGTCCCATGTCTTAATCTGCCAATTCAGATACAGCTTATATTTAGTATTTATAATTTCCAATTTATATTCCCCCTTCAACCAGTCAATATGTTATATATTTCCTTGGGATTTTCACTGTTATCTGTACCTTCTTTTGGACCCTCATCTGCTGTTTCAACCACTGCAACCAGGCTCTCAATTTTACACTTGACAAATTCTGTGATATCCTCTTCAGCATCAAAAGTCCCTGGAAAATTGAAATTGATTAGTGGATCGTTGATCACGTCACTGAATTATTCCCCCAACGCACGGCGCGCGCTGCAGTGCAATGGAAGTTCTATTGCACGGTGAATAGAACTTCTATTACATGGTTTCAGTGCTGCCGGTGGTGGCAATAAGACACAACTCTATTTCACAAAATGCAGACGTTACGCGAGACTGAAACACCGTTTGTTCTCCTTTTAACAGAAGATGAAATATCAGAACTTGTAGGTGATGCTGACGCTTCTAACACAAAGAGGCAAATAAAATATGCCGCCAAACGATTAGACAAATTTGCAAAACACACAGGAACATGTTTTCAACCCGTAAGAATTCCCAGCCCTCATGAAGCAGGATTGACTGCCTTGGACTGCTTAAGTAAGGACTTTAAAGAAATGTGCCACTTCTTTTCTTTAGAGTGGAGGATTTTGGACGATTGGGGAGGATTCCCAACAAACTCGCTTGGACTGGAGGGTTAAAGATTATTGGTATAGTCCATCATTTGTAATTTGTGCATTTTGTTCGTTTGAAGCAACAAACGTTCTCAAAATCTAAAGAAGGGTGCTGAACAACTAGCCTGATGATGTTTCAGCTCAGCTTCAGCTGTATATTTTGAGAAAAACAGCATTCTAGGATCTCGATTTCAAATCAAAAGTTGCTGAATCGTGTTTTGAATTGGGCCTGAATTCAGCGTCCGAGACACATTCTCACTGAGCTGATTACAGCTACGCGATGTCGTGCACTGATCCAACGAATTATAGCAACCGCGCGCACGTGTGCGTTGTGTCAACGCTTGCGCGCGCTTAGCCGAATAAAAAAACCGAACTACAAACGGAAATTTCCAATGGTGCGTCTTAAGACACACCGTTGGAAAGGCCTTCTTTCATTGATTTCTTCAAAATGACAGCTGGCCAGAAAGAATAATTTCACAGGGAGTTTAGTCCCACTTACTATCTTTCAACCAAGTATGTTTTTCAACAATAATTATGTCAGTAACTTTTTGGAAAGCTGCAAATGATGGACTGTAGCTTTAATGGGGAATCCATGTGCATACCTAGAGTTTCAATCAGATTCTGCTCCAACCATTCCCAGTGCACAAAGATATCCCTCTTGTGGACGGCGGTGGCAACAGCTAGAGGTAGGCAAACAGAAAGAAAGAGGATTTCAATCAATACCTGAGATATGAGAGGATGGTCCGAAACTACAGAGTCATCACAAGAAGTCACAAGTCAATCACAAGTCATCACAAGTCAGTCGCAAATCCATCATAAGTAACGAGTCACTCACATTTCATCACAAGTTAACACAAGCCAGTCATAAGTCAGTCACGAGTCATTCAGAAATCAGTCACAAGTCCATCACAAGTCAATTGCAAATCAGTCACAAATCAGTCACAAGTCATCACAAGTCAGTCGCCAGTCCATCATAAGTCAAAAGTCACTCACAATCCATCACAAGTTAACACAAGCCAGTCATAAGTCAGTCACGAGTCATTCAGATAACACTACAGTCACAAGTCCATCACAAGTCAATCGCAAGTCAGTCACAAATCAGTCACAAGTCATCACAAGTCAGTCACAAGTCCATCATAAGTCACAAGTCACTCACAATTCATCACAAGTTAACACAAGCCAGTCATAAGTCAGTCACGAGTCATTCAGAAATCAGTCACAAGTCATTCAGAAATCAGTCACAAGTCCATCACAAGCCAATCGCAAATCAGTCACAAAGTCCATCATAAGTCACAAGTCACTCACAATTCATCACAAGTTAACACAAGCCAGTCATAAGTCAGTCACAAGTCATTCAGAAATCAGTAACAAGTCCATCACAAGTCAATCGCAAATCAGTCACAAGTCCATCACAAGTCAATCGCAAGTCAGTCACAAATCAGTCACAAGTCAATCACAAGTCAGTCACAAGTCACCACAAGCAAGTTACAAGTCATCACAAGTCATCATAAGTCATCCATTCTCCAACAAACTGAGTCAAATGTACTCACTTTCCATTGCTCACTTGCATACTGACTTGCAATTTGATTTGTGACTGACTTGTGACTGACTCACCCAAACTAACATTTTAGGTCCAAAATTGGAACTCCTTTGAGAAAAATGTTGCAACCTGACGCCACTTCCGCGATTGTGTACAAAGTCTAGGGAGAGTCAAGACAATTTTCTAAGTATTTCCTAACAAAATTGGAAATGTTTCTCAGTCCCAGATTCACGTCTTATCATCATTTTTGCAATTAACCCTAACCGCCCTGAATCCTCCAAAATCCTTTTTGCAAATTGGAGGAATTTGCAGGATTGAGGTAACATGGCCAAAGTGCGTTGCTGATTTCGGAGTACACACTGTGTCAAGGTCTTGGGCCGGACCTTGTGTTGTTTATGCTCAGCCGTGCATAAATTTAGTCCTTGATTATACTTGACATCCTCCGCACTGCTCCAGGATGTCACTGCCTCTGCCTCAGCCTATTGACAGTCATAGCCGGAGGATTTTGCAGGATTCAGGCAGTGGTCACCCCTCCATGGACCATATTCAAGAAACAACGGAGGAATTTGCAGGATTGAGGCTATATATGCTATTTTTCCATGAGGCCAATTGGAGGATTTTGCAGGATTGAGGCTACATCCTAGCAAAAAGGCCTAGGGAGTTAGGGTTAATGACCTTCACTGAGATGATATATGAAGGGAAAAAAGGCATCAGGTTGCAACATTATTCCCTCCTTTGGACCATAAGTCTGATACATTCCCTGCCCATGTCCTGCAACCAGATTACTCAATGGTCCGTCTTTACAAAGTTAGACATGTGCCAGTCTAGCCTTGTTTGCACTCATGGGCCAAGTTCGCGCAAGGACTATAGTTGACCAATGGTTAACTAACGTTTGCCCGAACTCTGTAGTTGACTACGCTAGTCGACTACTGGGGTTGGTTGCTTCGCGATGACATTTTGACCAGCGTTTGACTAGAGACGTTCGCACGTTGCTATCAGTGCGCAGGCGTAAGGTACGTCACAAATTAACCACTAGTCGACTAATGGTCCTTGCCCGAACTTGGCCATGGCTGCAAAAGGCCGTGGTGAAAAACCTACTGGTGACAGGATTTCAGACTCGGTTTGTGAAATACTAACTCAAGACAACATTTGATACCAATTTCATGATTTTTTTTTTGGGGGGGGGGGAAAGTTGTGAAGTTGGAATGATGTTTTTTTCCCATGACGGTGTGAAACACGCCGTGGGCTTGAGCTGCTTATGTTGGTTGGTTGGTGGACACTTTACTCGGCCATATATTGTATTCACACAACTCGAGTATTACAGCTTTGCAAGTATTACAGCTTTGCATTCGAAGACCGGTTTTGCAAACACTGTTGCGCATGGGTCTAATTTGCATACTTTTTGCATATTAGATCACGCCCCATTCCGTTTCCTTTTTTGTACTCTCGAGGTACCAGTACGGCCCGGGTGGCGGGTGTACGGACGGTGCCGTATAGCCGTCTTCGCACGTTACCCGGCCTCGCTGCTACCCGGCCACCGTGGGTTGTACCACTTGGTACTTGTTTAGTAAACGGCAGCGCAGCATTACATCAGCCGATGAAAGCATCTTTTTATTAATTAGCATGTGTGTTTTCACTGGTTGTTGTGTGTTACCAGTCAGTACTCCTGACTCCAGAACCATTCAGTTTTATGGAAATGGGTCTGGGAACGAGACAAGGAGACTTTAGAAGTTCCTGGATGTCCGCACACCTGTTAGCCTATAAGCCATTTGCGAGTAAAATTTTTAATAAAATCTGGAACGCTGACTTAATCAAATGCTTTGCACGTTTTAACTTTGCATTCTCCCGACCAAAGAGACATACTTTATCACGTGGTTCGGGGCAAGCCTTATGCTAGCAACCCCCAGCTCCGGCATGGTCTGGTGTCTTCGTGCCATTCTCACCCATTGTGAACAATGTATTGGTGCTGAGCGTCTCTTACGTAACTATGCAAGAGCTTGTCCCGAATCATGTGATTAGCAACAGTGTCTTTGGTCCGGAGAATTCAAAGTTAAAATGTGCCAAGCATTCTGAGCAAGTCAGTGTACCACATGTTTTTCAAATGTAAATCCCAAAGGGTATAGGTCACGCGCAAAAGGCTTATTTGAGGTATGGCGGACACAATATGAGGGCGCTATTTAGGTAAATACAAAAGACTTTACCCAAATCAAACAGCGGCCTCCTATTGCACTGCCATAAATCTCAAATAGGCTAATTGTTATTGTTCTGTTTTGCGCATGGGAGGTCTCACGTGGTATCGTTACGTACTGTAACTGACTTCTGAGCTGGGGGTCTGATGCAAGATGCGGTACGGCAACGCCTTGGAGTCCAGCACCGAGTCCAGCGTGCCGATGAACAACGATGCCAGGCCGCCCCCACCGTGACCCTTACGGCGCTGAAGGACGAAGTAAGGGTTGGCACGCTCTGTGATCCTACGGAAAGAACCAAGTGCAAAATGTTATTCAATTGGTGAAAAAGGAAGAGGAAATGGGAATTTAAAAACATTGAGGATTTTTTTTTTAACCCTTACCCTACTTGACCCTCCAACGCATGCCAATATGTGCCTCAAGAAAATCTCCTATGTTTTTTGCATGGCCCTCCAATATCTGCCATGTCATTTCAAGGGTAACTGGACAGGCACTCCAATACATGCCACAGAGAACAATGAGAGTCCTCTGATAACAAAGTGAGTGCCCCCAGCTGGTCAGTATCAGGCACCCTCCAGGGCCTCCAACTCCTGCCAATTGGAGCCTTCACTGTCAAGATAGTTTATCTGCCAATATACTGCAGCTGGAGGGCATTGGCATAACCAACTGACATGCAGTAAACTACCCTCAGAGAGTAAGGGTTAATATACAAAATAGAAGAAAGGCAAATTAATAATAATATACTTTTTATAATTTCTAACGAAAGCCACTGCGCAAATAAGAGGTTGCTTAACCCTTACCCTACTTGACCCTCCAATGCATGCCAATTGTGCCTCAAGAAAATCTCCTATGTTTTTTGCATGGCCCTCCAATATCTGCCATGTCATTTCAAGGGTAACTGGACAGGCACTCCAATACATGCCACAGAGAACAATGAGAGTCCTCTGATAACAAAGTGAGTGCCCCCAGCTGGTCAGTATCAGGCACCCTCCAGGGCCTCCAACTCCTGCCAATTGGAGCCTTCACTGTTAAGACTTGTTATCTGCCAAATAACTGCAGCTGGAGGGCATTGGCATAACCAACTGACATGCAGTAAACTACCCTCAGAGAGTAAGGGTTAATGAACAAAATTAGCCTTAACAATTTTGCATTCACTGTGTGACTGGACTGGGAAATATTTAGCATCCCCCGGCCCTCCCATGGCAAAATGGTGTACATGTAACTACGATTTTGACCTTTTTGAGATAAAGTCTTTTTTGGGGGTTTTGGGGGTGCTGTTTCCATTAAACGAACCCTCAAGTCCACACGGCTTTCTGTTTTAAAGATGGCAGGGCGTATCTCATGCAAAACCGTGCTTGCTTGATTCACTTTCTTTGACAAAAGGGTGCATATTGAGATACACCCTGTTTTGGCAAAAGGGCGTAACTATAAAAGATGCACCTTTTTGCCTTGTAATTATGCAGTGAGTGTGTTATACGCATTGTAGAAATGCAATAATAATAGTACATTTGGATGCTTTCTCAAGATACATCCTTACCAAAATAATCCTTTTAATTATGTTTGTGATACTTTATGGTAAAAATGGTGTAGCCGTTTCACATTGCCTCTATCCAAAACTCAGCAAAGACAAAAACTTGAAGAAGCTAACATTTCCACTGTTTATTTACATCATTCACAATCTGTGGTAGAAAAATTGGTTTAATCAATGGTAAAATAGAAAAAATTGAAGACCCTGAAATTTAAAACTGATTTTTCTCGAAATCCTTTTTTTTTTCAAGATATCCTCGACTCACCATAATTGACGCAGGTAACGCTTGCAACGCGCGCGCGTTGTCCAACGCAAAATGAATGCGAGTGCGTCAAAACATATCCTCGTCATTTTAGGGGGTCCGACGATACACCAGTTTGCCATGACAGGACCGCTCCCCCCCCCCCCCCCCAATAAAAATAAGTTGTAGGCCCCTAGGCTAGGCCTATGCATTTTCCATGTTTTTCTTTAGCTGGAGTTACCCAGCCCTGAGTTTTATCATTGGGTTGTCTATAAGGGCTGGAGCGAATTTTTCTCGTAACTTGTAGTATTTGCAAAAAAATTTGGAAAATGTTCAATTTTGTCCCCGTTACACACTAATTGCAACTGCAACTCACCCCTAACTTGCCTGGAATAACCATTACACATGCACTAATATAAGGTTTACCACTCGCATCACAGCTTTGGTACTGGAACCGCAACCAATAGTGCATGAAACAGTCATCGGGTGTTACGCTTCCGCGTGACGTCATGCGCCAACAGCCAGCGCAGCCGGCAAAACCGAGTAGTTGACAGCGATCGCTCTCTGTGCCTGTTAATCGACCGCCATTCATTGTACACAATTTTTTTTGTGCACAAACCAATTGCGGTCCTGGCCAATCCAGCAAGGTTGTCAAGTTAGCGGTTATTCCTCCTGTTTTCACTGCAATTGTAGGCTGAATCTTCATCGTGGATCGTTTTTTACTTCAAGGACCTGTGTAATGCTGTCACGCCCCAACTATCGCATCGGTCCCAACTATAGTTGGGCCTGTCCCAACTATAGTTGGGACAGGCCCAACTGTAGTTCCACAGTTGGGCTGTCCCAACTATAGTTGGGCCTGTCCCAACTATAGTTGGGACGGTCCCAACTGTAAATTCCATTGTTGGGCTGGCCCATCTATAGTTGGGCCACTCCGATCTTTTTATTTTGCGGTGTCCCAACTATAGTTGACATTGATGTACAACCATAAAACGTTCCCTACAGCTCTGATACACGTCTGACTTTACTGGGGACCACTGAAATTAGCTATTGATGGGGCGAATCTATAGTTGGGCCATCCCAATCTTTTTATTTTGCGGTCCCAACTATAGTGTACATTGTTGTACGATTATAAAACATTCCCTACAACTCTAATACACATCTGACTTTACTGGGGACCAATGAAATGATCTATGGGTGGGGACCATCTGTAGTTGGACCACCGCAATATTTATATTTGGCAGTCCCAACTATAGTTTACAACTGATGTACGACTATAAAACATTCTCTACAGCTCTTCTTACATTGGCTTACATGTCCGACTTGGGACCTTTGACATTAGCTATGGGTGGGGCCCATCTATAGTTGGCCGGCCATGGCAATATTTGAATTTTGCAAAATGTTGCTGGATAATAAAACCCAGCAGCTGGACAACTCGTCCAACTAGGCAGTACCACGTGACCGGCCAGCCTTGCGGCATGCATGCACGACGAATACACGGTGCCAGCGCCGCGGAACATTTAAACAACAAGATCTATCAAGCATGAAGCATCCAGCGCAACTCCAGTCCTAACTATAGTTGGGCCGACCCAACTGCCGCACTATAGTTGGGACAGTCCCAACTATAGTTGGGACCGATGCGATAGTTGGGGCGTGACAATGCCATTACTAATAGTAATGGTTATTCCAGGCAAGTTTGGGGTGAGTTGCAGTTGCAATTAGTGTGTAACGGGGACAAAATTGAACATTTTCCAAAATTTTTTGCAAATACTACAAGTCACGAGAAAAATTCGCTCCAGCCCTAAGTTATAGACAACCCAATGATAAAACTCAGGGCTGGGTAACTCCAGCTAGTTTTTCTTAGAAATCAGTGATTTTCACAACTGATATTTCTACCTCCATGGCATGCTTTCACTAACTGGTGCGGTTCCAATTGCAGGTAATTTTTTTGTACCATGCATTACTTTTCTGTTCAAATCATTAAGCTAAACAAAACAAGGAACCGGAAAACAAGCCCCGCCCCTTCAAGTTCAACTTCAAGTTTCACCCAACAAAAACAAACATCACGGAATGATGAACCACGACAGCACAAGGACAGCTGTTTTCAAAAGCCAAATTTGTCACCTCAGCTACCAAAACCTTGCAAAATACTTACCACAGAGCGTTTGCTAATAACACCTCCTCTGGTCTCACCCACATTTTTTACCCGATCAGTGGAAAAATGGAGTGGAATTCTTGACAAAATGTCGAGGGGCATCGGGACAAAAAGTCGCCGACCTCTGATTTTTTTTTTACTCGCATACGGCCGGGGGTACGACAATTAGTCTGGCATCCTGTCATATGGTTTGCACGTTTTAAAAGAGTCGCTCACCAGACTTCATACGTGTTTACTAGTCTTTAATACAAGGCTGTATTAACTATTATTATAATCCAAAAATTTAGTTTGGATCATTAAATGATTCAACAGAGACACCTTTTCTTGACAAATAGCAATATAACTTATATCATTAATATCAATAACAATAAAAATTAAGAAAATCCAAGCAAAGTTACCAAAGTTTAGAAAGAAAATTTGCGAGTTCCTTTAAAAGAGTTACCGGAACTTCGGAAGTCTATCGCCTCAACGAAAATCTTGTAAACTAAACATTGAAACGCAAGTGAGAATTGAGTACCAGACTAAGTTTAAGTTTCCAAGATGGCGGCGCCCAGTGGGAGAGGGAACATTTCTCTCGGTTTGAAGAAATTGGGTGCATTCATCTTGACTAGACTGCCTTTTGCTTCTGCTGTTGTTTTTGCTTTGCTCTGCCATGAACGGGAGAGTAACGAAAGGCAAGAAATGTTTATTCTACAGGCCTAGATCAAATACGTGGCGCACTTAGCTATTGAGCCCAGTTTCCGGACACGTTAACTAACACAGCTTGAACTTTGAGTTTGAGTGCCTTCACTGCCTCAGTGTCATGACTGTAAACACAATTTGTAATTAGATAAAAAGCCACGGATCACTAAGAAAAAAAAAATTCTAACATTACTTCGATTAAATTAAAATTAGGATTTGATTAAAAAGTTAACATGCTTCATTGGTTAAACTAAAGACATAAAGAAAAGGAATGGTATTTTTTGGGTAGTGGATATTTTGCCGGAGGTAATGACGGCAAACTAACGATTACTAAAGGTTTGCCGGCGGCAATCCATATCAACAGAGGGCGCTGTACTCTTTAAAATAGGGCTGAATTATAAGATGTATTAAATTCCCACCAAAAGTTGTGTAGCACGTTTGGTGTAATGGTTAACCAAAGGCTCTAGTAATCGGGATGACTCGCGTTCGATTCCGACCGCAACACAATTTTTATTTGATTTTTTTCTCATCCCCAAATAAATAAGAATATTCTTCTTTTATTATTTTAACATGTCTCAAACAGTTTTTGCAGAGTATTACATTTTCTTTTTCAGATTTGTGGCTCTGGAGGATTTTTTTTAAAAGGGAAATAAAGTCCGAAATTATAAAATGGTCTGAATTCCATCTTGTGAATACGAGGTAACAACGATAATTTTGGCATGGAGCCAGACTAAAACTTGTCACCGGAAAATGTTTAAGTACAAAAAAACAGTAACTGCGCATGTTCAGTGCATATCCGGCAAACTAACGTTTACTGAAGGTTTGCCGTCTCCGGCAAAATATCCACTGCCGTATGTTATTGATCGTCATCATGAATTTTCATACATCAACTGATATATCATTTAATGATTTAGTATTCAAAAACCATAAACACACTGGTTGGGAGGCTTTGGGAGGGCAGTTATAAATGTGAATTGAAACAAAAATGGAATAGATATGTTGAACATGTTGCATTGATTAAAAAACAACAATGTTTTCTTCTTTTTTTTCAGGCCGCTGGGGTATCCCCATATAGTCATCTACATCCACGTAGCCCTCCTGATGCTGGAAGGAAGCATGATGTCCTTCGCTACCCAGCGATCTCTGTTTGCCCTGATGTGTGCCGTGCAGATCGCCGTCATGATGCTAGTCACGCACACCAGCCCTTCATTGCGGTACAAACCGTGGCTCATGGTAAGCATATAAAACAGCCGAAACCCAGTCACAAGCAATAAACGTTTTGGCTGGTATCAATTTTATGCTAAGCATATATTGGAAAGATTTCCATATACGAAGTTCACTGATTTTCCTCTGTATTGACTAACAAGCCCCCAGATAGCAATTTCATGTCATCAAAGTCAATTTGAGCAGTGAGAAAATACAAGCATTTTCTTAGAAAACACTTAAAATTTTTCAGTCCAATCTCATAGGGTTTGTACACAGGGTGTTGAGTGAACTTCGTATATATATGGAAATCTTTCCCATATATTTTCTGTTCTTAGCATTTTGGTATGGTAAGCAGCTGTTATGCCCAAACTTAATAGCAATGACCCAACTATGGTTGGGGAAGTCCCAACTATGGTTTGGATGATGCTGTAATTGGGGCGTATCACCTGTATGAGCTTGGACCCTAACTCCCTACGGTATGTGAAAAATCGTATTACAATTAGAAGATGTTGGACTGTAAGGGCTCAGGGTTAAGCTAGATAAAAGGGAGTTTCTACTGGGATGCTGAACAATTATGGATTTTTGAGAATTTTGGAAGGTTTGTAAAAAAAAAAAAGGACCTCCAGGCCGAATTCTGGACAAGTTGTATGAAGAATCAGTCACTTTGCCCGAAAGAAGATCTGCATTTGTCTTGGACATGATCCAGGTAAATTTTCATCAATACCGATAACTTCATTGGGGGAAGATTGCAGGGAAGTTGCAACTTATGCCCGATTAGCTCTACTGAGTGGAGCGTTTAATTAGGGGTACCCCCCGTAATTCAACGTTCCACTCAGTAGAGCTAATGCCCGATACAATGTCTGCAACCTGCAACCAGAACTCGTCCGATATGAATTGAGACCGGCCCTAATAGGGTAAATTACAAAGCCAAAATAGATCTCTCTCCTGATTTTCACTCAGTTTATTTTATTGTCCAAAGATCCGGATGCTGTCCCGAGACCTGGGCGTGATCGGCTCCTACCTAATCCTCGCCAGCCGCACCCACGAGGAGCTGAGCCGCAGGTACCGCCTGGCCAAGTTGTACCCCCTTGGGCGCAGCCTCCTGGCTTCCTACTTCATCGTCCTCGCTTTCCAGCTCAACCGAGAGGCGGTGGAGCAGGACGCCTTCGTCCATCACATCCCCGGCGGCATCGTCGCCGTCTCCGCGTTCTGCGGGGCCTGCATGGTGTGCAGCCTGATGTTCCTGTCCCAGTACAAGGTCAAGCCCGCTGTTCGGGTCCTGATTGTACTCGGGCTGTTGTTCACGGTGATGGTGGATCTGGATTTCAAGTATTGGAAGCGGCGGCACGTGGAGTATTGGAATCAAGTGACCATTCTGGTGAACGACTTGGGCATGGTGGCAATGTTACTGTTGCTTGCGACTTAACCATTGCTCTACTAGACCCTACAGGACCCTAGATAATACCATTTATTAGTAAGTGAAAGTTAAGTTTGTTGGAAAGGCCTTCTTTCGTTAATTTCTTCAAAATGACAGCTTGCCAGAAAGAATAATTTCACAGGGAGTTTAGTCCCCTTACAATCTATCAACCAAGTATGTTTTTCAACAATAATTACGTCAGATACTTTTTGGATAGCTGCAAATGATGGACTGTAGCTTTAATGCAGGTGGTAAATCGAGGTTTACCTCCAAGGTTTTACAGGGTTTTACATCAACCTCGAGTTGTGAAAACCTAATGTTTTTCACATTTGGATTCATTTGAAACATAGAAGGAAGAGTTCAACCTCCTGGTGGTGATAAGTTTGAAATCCTCTGCACAGTGAATACGGGCAATTCTCAATACAGTGCGTTCCAAATGGTCCATGGTTCCATCAAGAGTTTGCCAAAAAGATCTAGTTGCAACAAAATACTGAAATCAGGTAGACTGTAGTACAGAAAGTCAACTTTGACTTGGCACTAATGCAAAACCACAAGTCCGGAAAGTTTTTATTTAACCCTTAAACTTCCCCAACTCCATCAAAGTCCACCCCCTCCCCCCATTTTGGTGGATTTTGGGGGACTGACTCCTGCAGGCCTGGTGTGACTAAATATTGATGGAGTATGATGGACTTGGGACTTTATTTTGGTAGACTTGGTCCAGAACTTAGTAAAATATAGTAGAGAGTTGGGGTTAATTGTATGTTAGCTGTAGAAGGTAATAAGGATTTCATCCCAAGCATAGAGTGAATGTTTTTGTGAAAGAAAATAAACACTAATCAAGAAACAGAATACTAAAATGAGTTCCATTAGATGTTTTTTTATATTTTATTAGTGAATACAACAATGTATTTTTGTGCTGACGGAATAATTAGATTTGTTTTACAAGATATACTGGACTGGTATGAAAGAATTTGAGCCACACATTTTCCCGCACTCCTACGCAAGACTCGGCTCAAAATGCATAGACAACATTCTACAAAGATGTCCATTTGTCAGGCATGCAACTGGGAATTTAGGGGAAATATGAGGACAATTTAAACCACACTTTGTATGGTATTTTTCAATTTGTAATGGCATTCATGAGAAGTAAAAAAGGAGGAAATCAGTAGACCCAAGGAAAAGTTGCATGCCTGATTTATAAGGGAAGGGTAAAAAATAGATATTTACTGATCCAAGGAAAAGTTGCATACCCAATCAATGTAGCATCTTTAATACTTTTTTTGTGGTCGTACGTTTCTCTGGGTAATCTATACTTTAAGTGTTTATTTTTTTAAACTAAATTTACTTTAATTTGGTTAAGGTTGTTTTTCTCGATGTTAAATGGGTTGAAATAATTAAACGCATCTGAAACTAGTATAATTTATTGTTCACTCAATTTGAAAACAATAAAATTAACAATTTATGGAATGATATCCTAACTGGTGCTTGAATTGGGTCTGTTTCTCAGATCAAGAGAAGGTAAACGTGCGAAAAAGTAAACAGATACTTGATATCAAACAAAACAGGTAATAGCTCAATTAAATTTGGGGCTCATTTTTTTTCCCCGGCACTTGTCTACAAAATGGTAATCATATAACATAGTATCAAACCTGAGGCACTATTATTGAAAAATCTTACAGAATTTACAGCAAAATTCATTTCCATAATTTTTATTAAATCAAGATCGAAAAAATGTAATTTAGAAGTGGTTAAGCCTTTTCTATTTTTTCCAACGTTGCTTTTTCTCCCAACTTATGTTCCTCCACCCCCCCCCCCCCAGATATGAACCAAATTATTGGCCAAGTATTGCTTATTTTACTGGAAAAGAAAGTATTTACTGTATGTAAAAAGCCAATCGCTGTCATCAAAAGTAATCAGCAGCAATCTGAAATCTGTAAACTTTAAATTGCTCCGACTTGATTTCCACTGCTCATTTTATATTTGTTTTTTGAAAAATTGGACTAGACTCAAAATAATGAATAACTCTCACTAAGATTCAATCAAACTCATCAGATTCAATCAAAGATGTCAAACTTGTTTTGTGCATTCCTGACAGGCAGGGCAGTTTGGGGCGGTACAGGGAGTAACAGGCAGGGCAGTTTGGGGCAGTACAGGAAGTAACAGGCAGGGTGGTTTGGGGCAGTACAGGGAGCAACAGGCAGGGTGGTTTGGGGCAGTACAGGGAGTAACAGGCAGGGCGGTTTGGGACAGTACAGGGAGTAACAGGCAGGGTGGTTTGAGGCAGTACAGGGAGTAACAGGCAGGGTGGTTTGGGGCAGTACAGGGAGTACAGGGAGTAACAGGCAGGGTAGTTTGGGGCAGTACAGGAAGTAACAGTCAGGGCGGGTTGAGGCAGTACAGGGAGTAACAGGCAGGGTGGTTTGGGGCAGTACAGGGAGTAACAGGCAGGGTGGTTTGGGGCAGTACAGGGAGTAACAGGCAGGGCAGTTTGGGGCAGTACAGGGAGTAACAGGCAGGGCGGTTTGCGGCAGTACAGGGAGTAACAGGCAGGGCAGTTTGGGACAGTACAGGGGGGGGGGGGGGTACTTATAGGTCAACTAATTGTTACAAAAGTTTCCAAGAAGACTCTTCTGGAAGTTGCTTGTATCATTTCTGCTTGGATCGCGAGCTCCTTCGCGGGCGTGGATTTCTCATCTCTGTCTCCTCTGCCTGGAAAGATGCCGAGGAGGTGCTGGCCCGGGTCCTTCTCTTGTCCCCCTGGGGTACAGTTTCCTCACCCCCGGGGCGCTGCTGATCCTCGCACGGGCGCGCTGGGGACCCTGTTTCGGGGAGGTGATGTTCCACGTTCGGGGCTTCGGTGTCCTGTCATTGAAATTAGTCAGAATTAGTCATCGGATATGGACTTCAGTGAAAGTAACATGTTATTGTAACTTGCAGAGTGCCAGCTTCAAGTGGTATGGGAAAAGCCTCTCACCAGAAGCCTCCAGCTCCGGTCTGGCGCTTGCTTGCTTCTCAGGTTATCATTCACTATGCACAGAGCTTTTATGGACAGCAGGTGTATTTACAGCATTTGCATAATTGATTGACTTACGGTTGATCGGGTGACAGCATGAGCAGCAAATCTTTGTTATTCTCCACCTCCAGCTGGGGAGTCCAATTCGCCGTGCCGACAACTTTGGAAAAAGAAAGGAAAATCGTTATGTGGCAGATGGATACATTTCGCTAAGTCTACTGAGGTAATTTTGTATGTGATATTTGATATCAAAAGGCCCATGAGATGAAATTTTCTGAGGAACACATTTTGTGCAACTTTCTACTCCTCTTAAATGTGTAAAAACTATTCGGTATCCCTTTTTTGGTTAATTTTATTGAAAAGTGCAATTCTTTTTTTTCTTTTTTTTGAGGTTGGAGGTGGGGTTTGGACATGGGAAGTTGCAACTGGATGTGGTTAGGGAAATAGGGTTGGGGTCTTGTGTAGGAGTGAAAGTAGGCTTGACGAGACTTCCTCTTCTTGAGAGTTGGGAAGGTTAGGGGTCAGGGACGGAATGGTATGTTGTATGGAAGTGAGAAAAGTGGTAAGGAAGAGACTTACCCTTCTTGGGATCGAGGTAACTGAAGACCCTGATAAGTCAGGAGCTGGGGATGGGGTGACGAGAGGGTGGAGGTTTTGAATGGAAGTGAGAGGAAGTGGTTAGGGAGAGACTTACCCTTCTTTGGATCGCCTTCACTGAAGACCCTGATAGGGAGAGAGCTGGGGATGGGGTGATGAGAGGTAGGGTGGTTAGGGATGGAGGTTGGGGTTTTGTATGGCAGTGAGAGGAAGTGGTTAGGGAGAGACTTACCCTTCTTTGGATCGCCTTCACTGAAGACCCTGATAGGTCAGGAGCTGGGGATGGGTGATGAGAGGTTGGGTGGTTAGGGATGGAGGTTGGGGTGTTGTATGGCAGTGAGAGGAAGTGGTTAGGGAGAGACTTACCCTTCTTGGGATCGACTTCACTGAAGATCCTGATAGGGAGAGAGCTAGGGATGGGGTGATGAGAGGTTGGGTGGTTAGGGATGGAGGTTGGGATTTTGTATGGCAGTGAGAGAAAGGGGTACAGAAGAGACTTACCCTTCTTGGGATCGACATCACTGAACACCCTGATAGGTCGGGAGCTGGGGATGGGGTGATGAGAGGTTGGGTGGTTAGGGATGGAGGTTGGGGTTTTGTATGGAAGTGAGAGGAAGTGGTTAGGGAGAGACTTACCCTTCTTAGGATCGACTTCACTGAAGACCCTGATAGGTAAAGAGCTAGGGATGGGGGAGGGCGACAGAGGGATGACACTGAGATCCATGGGTGCCTGGAAGGTGATGTTAGCGATGGTCTGGTCTGGGGTGCTGATGGCTCGGCTCCTCATGCCGCGACGAGGCGGGGTCTACAGAAAGTCACAAATAACAATAAACAATGAGATGTACAGTAATTGGTAAAACGGGAACAAGCTTTTCTCACTGAGCTCCTCAGTGTGTCGTCTGGATCGGACATTCACGTGGGTAGAACCACGGTTGAAAGTCCGTGTGCCAGCCAATCGAAGTGGTCTTTAGAGACTGTGGAGTCATTTCATTCAGAAATGTAGACTAAGCTGTGGATTGGCCAATTAAGATGCCATGTTTTTGTAACACAACGAGTTACGGGAGACCCAAAAGAAGGTCCCCGCTGAAAAGTGAGCCTCTCGAGGTCGAGACGCAGTCTTGTTTTGCATAATTAATTGCCGAATCTGCTCGCATATCACAGACTCTTGCTGGGCAAGCGGATATTTCGTAGACTACGAGAATTGGGCCTGCTGGCCACCCCCTAGACCCGCTGCAGTTTCAATCAATTCAGAGTTCCCAAACCTTGTTCTGTGCAGCGGCATTCTTCTCCTTTAGGGGAGATCGCTTCTCAGTTTTCACAAGGACTTCAGACGGGACTGCGTGTTCTCGCTGGGGATTCGTCGTCACCGGGGGACAGCGTTTGGCCGACGCGATGGCTCTCCGGGCCGAGTTGACGATAGCCTGGGCGGCCAGGGAGATTGGTCTGCGGTATGAAGTACCAGAGTTGTAAAAGTTCAATTTCAAATCGATCACAAGTTAAATAATTGGTGCATCACATGTCAATCACATGTCAAATCACAAGTCAATCACAAGTCAATCACTTGGCATTCAGGGAAGCTAGTATAGGTTTTGTTAAAATGTTCATTCACTTCTGAAAATCGGTCATTCATTTTCGTCTGAATTTGAGAATCATGTTTCATTTTCGCTACTAGCGCATTCGATTCCATTTCGATTCCTTTTATTGATGTCCATTTAGATTCGTTTACAAGACTTCTTTTTCGCTTTTAGAGGGCGATTCCAAACTTTTACCGTTCTATTTCACTTTTAGTTTAAAGCCATCGGCACCAGATACAATTAGAGGTTTCTTTTTCATTAACCCTCAATCAAATTAGCTGTACCTGAAATCAATTTAGACAAGGTATGCTTGCGTAAATGAATGCGCAGGTAACGTAATTGGCCGTCTGTTTCTCAAAACTGAATGCACGGACAATGAAAACAATTGAACTTTTGTTGAATTGAAATGGGATTAAAGACGTGCACTTAAATTCGGACGAAAACGAATGACCGATTTTCAGAAGTGAATGAACATTTCAGGAAATTGGCCCGGGAAAACCTATAGTACTGGGCTCATTAAGAAAACAAAGTACTTCTTTATTTCCACAAGGCCTTACCTGTTGGCTCTGATAGGAGTGGCCGGCCCGCCCCCGTTGATAGCTGGCTCCTCCCCTCCCAGGGCACCCTCACCGGTACCCCTGGGTGTGGCTTTGGGTGTGGCATCGGGTGTTACTTGGGGTGTGTTCACCACACCCGCCCGAGGGGTGCGGATGATCCTTGGGGAGCAGTTGGCAACAGCCCTGGGGGAGAGCACGGCAGGTAAGCCGACACCCTAAAAAAAAAAAGATGAAAAAAGTTTTATGAAAAAAAAAAAAATTAATTTCATCATTTGAAACTCTGCATGGTAAAAATGTGCATACAAGTTTGGTTGGCAGATACACAAAAATATTATTTGGTAAATTGTTCATTTATTACAGTGAGGTTTAGTCTCAAACACTTTTTCAAATAAACAAAAATGGAAACTGACTAGGTTCATTATAATAAAGCTTGAACAAAGAAATTGATTTGAGCGGGGTATGAACCTGCAACCCTTCGGATTGCCGTTCCGGTGCTCTACCAACTGAGCTATCCAGCCCTATGTCGGCGGTTCCCCATTTTGTCAATGTCTTCGTTTAAGGGGCGCTAGTCAGAAGCCATACACCCATATATGCCATGTGGCCAGGGACCACGCCAAAAGTCACGATGCTAGCAACATTAGCAATGCTGCCAACCTGGGAAATAGCAAACGGGGATCACTCAGAGGATGTGACTTTTTGATACACATTTTTAAATAAACCACAACGGGATCCTGACTAGGTTCATTATATTACATCGTCCGTGAACCTGTTTTCTAGGCATCAAGTTTTCGAGGTTTGACCTTGTAGCAACGCACATGCGCAGATTCGTACCACACAACCAGTTCATGAGGTGAACACTCCTCTTAAGACCAACTTGACCAACCATATAGACCACTCGGGTTGGGACACACCATTTTGGAGAGTTTGCTCTGGGGATTAAGACTCGTAACCGCACTGATCCTATAATTGGTTCCACAGCGGAGCGAAGGTCACTCTGCCTGAGAGATTTCATGCATATTATTTCGTTGCTAAATTCAATCTAAAAGTATTATCATGATGATGTACCTGAAATATTGACTTGTTTTATTATGTTGAACTGTGAAAATCGGTGAATAAATGGCCGAGAAGGATCTTTTACTGCTATGCTAGCATAAACCACAATCACCAGAATGTATAGTACCAGCATCCTAGCTCCATGGTTCCAGAAAGCAGTGTGGCTAACAGGTGGTAGTTCATTTAATCACAAGTCATTATCTTGCTGGGACTGTGGAGCAGGGAGGGGAGTTTTGATTACTTAAGGGCCCCCCAGGGGCTCTCCACAGAGGTCCAAAATGGTGTGTGAAACTAGCCACTTTCTTTAATAAGAGGGCCAATTTTCATCATGTGATTTGTTGTGTGTGCGGTACGTGTTCCACCTCCAGCCCCAAATGTCTGTGTTTTTCTCTTGCTTGAAACAAATCCTTACACCCGCGAAAACCGGTACATCGAGTACCTATACATTTTAAAGGTATAGTCCATCATTTGCAGCCATCCGAAAAGTAACTGGCGTAATTATTGTTGAAAAACAAACTTGGTTGAAAGATAGTAAGGGGACTAAACTCCCTGTGAAATTATTCTTTCTGGGAAGCTGTCATTTTGAAGTAATCAACGAAAGAAGGCATTTCCAACGGTGATTCTTAAGAAGCACCGTAGGAAAATTTAAATTAGTAGTTCGTTTTGTTATTCAGCACAACGCGCACAAGTATTGGAACGACGCACACGCGCGCGCGGTTGTTATAATTCGTCGGATCAGTGCGCGACGTCGCGTAAAGCTGCAATTCAAAACAATTCAAAACATGATTCAGTAACTTTGGATTTGAAATTGAGATCTTAGAATGCTGTTTTTCTTGGAATGTACAGCTGAAGCTTAGCTGAAACTTCATCAGGTTAGTTGCTCAGTATCCTTCATTAGATTTTGAACTCTTTTGTTGCTTCAAACGAACAAATTGCACAAATTACAAATGATGGACTGTAGCTTTAAAGTGGTAATTATGTTAGCAGCGTTTTCATTTTAAGTTAACCTGCTGAGGAGAGGTGAAGGGTGTGGCAGGCCGGATCCTGGGCGTGGCCGTCTTACTCCTGGGCGTGGCCGTCTTACTCCTGGGCGTGGCGGCTCTGCTTCCCGGGCGCGAGGTTGCCGCGGTACCAGAGGCGGCCTGTTGTTGCTTCTTGGCGGCTTCTGCCTGCTCCTCCTCGAACCGTCTCAGGTCAAACTCGATCTCGGTTGCCAGCTGCCGGTCGGCGGCTAAGATGTCTGAGTAAAAACAGGGCGAGATAACCCTCACCAATTAGAAAATCTAAAGCCCCGTGCCTCAGAACTCGGGCATGAAGCAACAAAATAGAAAGAAATTTGGCAGGCATGCAGAGCAAATAATCTGAACTGAATAATTGACTAATCTGAATGATTGACTTTGCAAGTTAGCACACTAACTTGCCGCTACCAAGGCAAGCTATACTATCCATGCATTGTATATATGGGGAAATGCGATTTCCACGGTGATCAGCCTCAAATAATTTGGCAAAGCGCGGTGACTCTAAGGTTAATTTTCATAAATTTGGTATCAAAACGTGCATCAGACGGCTCACGGCGAGAAACACGCATTTGGCAAAAACATTGCTAAAAAAGTGGGGGGGGGGGCGTTCCAAATCTAGCCCCCCCCCTCCCACTGTACTGCAAGATGGCAATTTCCGACTTTATGCTCATTTCGTGGTGACAGAAACACACATTATTTCAACAACGAAGTTGTGAAAATTGACAAGTTCAAGAAACAGGAGTTTCAGCACCATTCAAGATGCAGCTTTAATTATTTGAATCAAACTGAGCTCGCTCACTCACCTTTGACCTCGTTGCGGTAGTCTTTCATCAGCTGTTTGAGGTACAACATCAGGTGGCGCAGTGTCGGAGAGTGAGACTTCTCCAGCTGGAGATTATTAGACAATCAATGTATGGATTATTTATTTCCAATCATTTTAAGCAGGCATTTATATAGCACTTTTACACTGCAACAAGGTATCAAAACACTTTACAATTTTTATTTCTCCTGTTTCAATGGGCAAATACTTCTGAAACCTTCTCAACTCCCTAGGGAGCATACACAGCCAGTAGGCAGCCATTTCGGCGCTCTTGGCCGTAATCAACCTCTCACAGTAACCAACTCTGCCTCACTGGTACCCATCTACTCCTGGGTGGAGAGAAGCAGTGAGTGACAAAGTGCCTTGATCAAGAGCACACGCACCATAACTCCGGGCAGGACTCGAACCCACAACCTGCAGAATTACCCGCAGACCACAAATTTAATTTTTTAATAATTTAATTTGGGCGGGGGCGGAATCCCCCCCCCCCCCCCCCTGAGAGATGGTTAAAATAACCCAGCCCTAAACACTTCCATGACTTTTTCAGGCCATAGGAAGCCTGCAGAGCCTCCACTACAGTTCACTGACGCGGGTGACTCGATCGTTTTCTCACCGTGTGCTTGAGCGCGATGACGATGGGCACGATGTTCTCGATGACGTTGCGCTTGACCACCTGCGTGATGATCTTGGTCTTGGCCTGGTTGATGACCGCTTCGGCCATCTCCATCTGGTCCTCAATGTCGGTGGTCGACTTGGGCCGTAGAGAGGTCAACTTGATCTCCTAAAATAAATTGAGAAAAAAAAATAGACCCCTTCGTTATTTCAATGACAATGAAAGTACACAGTTTTCAATCATCACTTAAGTCTATAAAAGAGGAGCAAAGACCATCTTCAGTTGGGGTGTATGGCCTTCCACCGGTCGTGGAAGGAAACAGCAATGCGTTTTCAATCATTTTTTTCTCCTTTTTTCGGGGAATAATATTTTATTCCAAATTGTACAATTTTATGTTTTACCTTGCAACAGAGGATATCCAGAGTGTCTTGTAGAAGGATGTTTGTTTCTTCATTTAGAGGGAGCACGCCATCAACAATTGCTGCGAGAACCTGGACAGAAACATCACATTTTAAAAGGCATGTAGGATCATTTCGTCGTGTCTGTGCAACAAGGTTGTATCTCCTAAAATGGGCTGCACGTGAAACTCAAGTTTCAGAATGTCAAAAGGTCATATCTTAAGTTTAATCTTCGGGCTTCCCTTTATTGCAGTATTGTGTTATTTCCCTGCCATTTGTAATCTTGTTCTTGTGCATTTGTTTGCCTTTTTTGTCCTGTTCATTTGTCATTATGTGCGGGTCCGCATGCTTCCGAGCAACAGTGATTAGATTCGCTTTTACGGTCCCTGACCCACATAATCATTTTCTTTGTGATTTTTTGTGTCTTACTGGTGATTGTTCAACTCCCAATTGGGAAGCCCACTCCAGCTGTCATTTAAAGTGCATGCCCTCTACTTCATGATTTTTTAATAATTTAAGTTACATGTTTATACGTTTCTTTTGTTGTGAGTTTTCAACCACTTTTGTGTAATTTTTGTTTGGTTTTGTATCACTGTTTGTAATTCTTTGTTGAGGTCGAATAAATAATTATAATAATAATAATAATCTCACTTAAAATAACCCGGATGTATACACAAAGTCAATGGGCGTTGAGATGTGACTTTGTTGCGGGGAGCGTATTCGCGTGAGATACGACTTTGTTGCAGAGGGGCGTTATGACCTTATTATGACCTGCACTGACACGACGATTTGTATTTATCCCAAAAGTAACCTTAATCAAATTGTTATCAAACACTCTCTTGGATAAAAGATCGTACTGAACACCCCGTGAAATTATTCGCCTACCTCTTGGCACATAACGTTATGCATGACTTGAGGTCTATTGAATATTCATAGATTTATTCATCATTACATCCAATGCCAGCGACAAAGGAACTGATCACATGATTTGTCAGGTCATGATTATGCATGAATTGAGGTCGCATGCATATTCATGCCTTCAGTCACACATTCAACTTCCATCCAATGCCTTCACTTGGAGAGACAAGGGAACTGATCACATAACTTGTCAGGTCATGATTATGCATGAATTGAGGTAACATGCATATTCATGCCTACATTCAACTTTCATCCAATGCCTTCACTTGGAGAGACAAGGGAACTGATCACATGACTTGTCAGGTCATGATGATGCATGATTTGAGGTCTCATGCATATTCATGCCTTCAGTCATACTTCAACTTTCATCCAATGCCTTTGCTTGGAGAGACAAGGGAACTGATCACATGATTTGCCAGGTCATGATTATGCATGAATTGAGGTCTCATGCATATTCATGCCTTCAGTCATACTTCAACTTTCATCCAATGCCTTCACTTGGAGAGACAAGGAAACTTATCACATGATATATAAGGTCATGATTATGCATGAATTGAGGTCGCATGCATATTCATGCCTTCAGTCATAAATTAACTTTCATCCAATGCCTTCACTTGGAGAGACAAGGGAACTGATCACATGACTTGTCAGGTCATGATTATGCATGAATTGAGGTCTCATGCATATTCATGATCTCCTACCTCTTGGCAGAGTTTGGCCGTCAGCTTGAAGCGATGCTCGTCCGTCATGTGCTGCAGCATGAAGCGGTAGATGGTGCTGCGCTTGCCGGCGTTGAGGGCGCCCTTCAAGGCAAACAGCTGCTTCTCGCGCTCTGTCTGGCTGAACTGGTTGTAAACTGCAATCAAGTTGTACAAAAAATTGCTCGTTCACGATTTAAATAATATGGGTACAATTTTGCAAGTTTTGTCACAAATCGACAACAATACCAAAAGGTCTCATTCATTTTGTTTTTCTTTCCATTTAGAAAAGGTAGGGTAGATCATTTTTGTCAATTGTGCATTTTTTTTCGTTTGAAGCAACAAAAGTGCTCAAAATCTATAGACGTGTGCTTAACAACTATTAACCTGATGAAGTTTCGGCTGTGAATCTATTCCGAAAAAAAAAACAACCCAATATTCCAAGATCTGGATTTCAATTCAAAAGCATGCAGAGTCATATTTTGAAATGCGCCTGAAATGAGAATCCGGGACACGTTCTCATTCAGCCAATTGCAGCTATCCGATGTCACACACTGAACTGACGAAAAATAGCAACCATGCGCTTGTGTGTCACGTCAATGCTTGCGCGCACCCATTCACGGATTCGCCGAATCACTTGACGCATCTTTGGAAATGGCCTTTTATTGTTTTCTTCAAAATGACAGCATGCCAGAAAGAATAATTTTACAGGGAGTAGTATTGCCATCCCCATCTTTAAACTAAGTTAGTTTTCAACAATAATTTTGTCAGTTACATTTTGGATTGCTACAAAATGATCTACTCTACCTTGAAACAGACTTGATCAACCTTTAAACTAGGTCAAGATTATGCATGAATTATTCTGACAAGATTCACTTTTGCTGTCTGTTTTATTTGAAAATTTGTACTAAAAAGTTGTATCATCTATGTGATCCCCGTTGCTATGTCCCAGGTTTGCAGCATTGCTATTATTGCTGGCGTCGTGACTTAGGGCGTGACCCCTGGCTACATACACCCTTTGCACCCTAGCACCCTTTGAACAAAGACATTGACAAACTAGGGAACAGCCGACATGGGATAGCTCAGTTGGTAGAGCACTGGAACGGCAATCCGGAGGTCGCAGGTTCAAACCCTGCTCCAGTCAATTTCTTTGTTCAATATTACATCAAATTTGATCTCGTTCAAGGAATTGTAATTGCTGACCTAAGATGTCTGTAAGCACCATTGATATCAGAATTTTCAATAATGGATATATCGGAAATCCAAGTTAAAAGACCATAAAGATGACACTTTTATTAAAAAATAAACAAATTCTAAATCCCAATTTTCCATGGCTTAGGATTCATGACTCGGATTTACGATTCCACGACTTAGGATTCTCTGGAGCACATTGCTCAAACTTTTTAAAACAAATCTCAGCACTGAGAGTTCGTCCAAAATGTGCGTTGTTTTTTTTTTTTATAGATTTACACTGGGGAAACCGCGAATCCCAGCGAACGCAGAGCACAAAGCAACACCGCTTGGCATTTCGGGATGTTTTTATTTTGCGTCACAAGCACAAGATTTTACCGAGTTTTGTTTCGTTATCCAGGAAACGATAAGCACAAAGTAAACCCACAAACAGGAGATTTATTTTAAAGATAATTTAACGCATTGTCCATATTTTCGATATGATTTCTTAATATCAAACATTTTGATTTATATATTATAAAAACTTGTTATCTGCGATATCGATATCAAAATAATATAGAATAATCGGGTAATGTCTGAAGGAAAAAAACAGCAAGAATTTGAACGCTACTCACCACTGTGCTTGTCGTAAGCGTTGAAGTGGAAAACCGACTCCACGAAATGCTGGTGCAGCATGTTGGGGTGACGCTTCAACAGAAGTTGGACCAGCGAGAACTCAGCTGTCAAAACAAAAAGAAATTCTTGTTTTAAGAAAATTGAGCACAGACCTAATGTGATCAGGAATGTGCAAACCTAGCATTAGGCAGAGTTCATCAGGGCAATGGTTTCGCATTTCCCGGAGAGACGTGAGTAAGCATTTTGTGCGTGCTTTGTGACAAACTTAACAGAACGCCTCCTGAGATACCTGCAAAAGCATGGTCTTTAGGAGCTGGTCTAAATTGCGGAAGTAATAATACAGTGAAATCTCGATAAGTCAAACTCTGATAACTCAAAACAACTGTTCAGTCAAACAAAGAATCCATTCCCTTCAGTAGTATAGCAATGATATACAACCCTGCTTTACTCAAAACTCTGCTTAAGTCAAATTGTTAACCTGTTCCCTTGAGGTTTGACTTATCAAGATTTCACTGTAATAATAAATGGGGAGGCTAATCATCCTTACTCGCAGCTGAGAAGCTGAATTGCGAAGGATGCGGCTACAACGTGGTCGGGCTGCTGGCATGTAAAGGCGCCTTTGGCATCCAGCCATATGACCCATATGTCCACGGAGCACAGCCAGAGATCAAAAGGGTTTGATTTTTATGAAGGGGGAAAAACCGGAGGGCCCGGTGGAAAACCCTCGTGGCACAGGAGAGAACCAACGCACAACTCTACTCACATATGGTCTGAGCTGGGAACGAACCCGGGTCACAGTGGTGAGAGGCGAGCACTTTGCGCACTAGCCACCCATGCCATGCAAAGCATCTAAAAGTCACTGGAACTACTTTTTTTGACAAGCCCTAGAACATATCTTGAAAAGTGTCAGTTAATGTTTGCACCTCTTAAAAGTCATGTTAACATTTTTCAAGATGTCACATTTTACAAATAAGTTTATAGTTAGGCCAAATAAAAAAAACAACATGTTTAGCGTCCCTGCCCACGTTCTTTTTGGAGGCCGTCTCTTTATTATTTTTTTTAATAAAAAATGATGAATTTTGAACAGTGACATCATTCTGGCCTCTTTGTCTGTTGCATCTAGCCCATATAAAGCTGGTATGTCATTCCTGAGTCCAAGTGGCGACCATTTAAAAAAAAAAACAGCTGGCGGCCATCTTGAACAATAGCCCGGTCTGGCGACCATTTTGGATAGAAAAAAAAAATGGGGCCTCCTTCCTTTTTTTCCAAAAAGCAGGACGCTAAACATGTTTTTTATTTTTACTTGGCCTAATGTCATAAACATTTTCCAGGGTAGGTCGAAAATGATATATTTTATGAGCATTTTTTTTTTATGTTTGTCTATCGGGGCTCCAGTGTTTCTGATTTAGATCCCTGCTTTTAAAAATTCTGGCTCAACATTGGCCCAAACTTCTCGCTGTTCGTCACTTTCCAGCCACGGGAGTATCAAATAAATCCTGTAATACAAGTAAGAAAGTGGCAGTTTTTTGTTGTGAAGGCTTTCAAATGATTTGGGGGGTTGAGACAAGGCTGAGGACAAAGTCAAGGTTTTACGAAATGGCCCAGGATTGATCTTTACATACCAAAATCTCGGATTTCTTTGACGTCGTCCACGAGGCTCGTGATGAAATGGAAGAACAGTGGGCCTCTCCATTTGACATAGTCTTCCTAATTTCACAAACAAAAAAGAGAGAAAGAAATTACAAAACTTTCAAATATATGAATTTGTGGTGCGTACATTTTCCAAGAACTTGGGGATTCCAGTCCGACTCAAGTTTTAAAGATTATGTTTTTCCATGGAGTTTCAAAATGCACTGCACACCCAGTACCTATAACGTTATATTATTGAAGGCGCTGCTTAACAGTTAGCAGAAAAGTTTTGTTTACTGTGGAAGAAAATTGTGCTAACCTTAAAGGGAATGTACATCATTGGCTTTTGCTGTAATTTTCAGAAATGAACTATTTGAGGGGTTAGTATAATAGATCAAATATTGTTACACTGACATTTTTGAAGGTTGGTGTTCGAATAGGTTGGAAAAACCAAGAAAAACAAAAATGTTCAAGTAGTCTGGTTCCCTGACTCCACAAAAGATAAAATGGATCAATTTATAGATGATGGAAAATTGTAAGGCAAGGGAACCAGTCTAGCTGGCATGCACCCATTCATCATGAACATGTAACCAATAGCAAACAAAATTTGGACTGAAAAAATGGTAAATTTGGAGCAGGAGTTGAAAAATAGTTAGGTTTTTCCAACGCTGGTCGGCCGACCACCGTTGGAAATGTTTACAAAAATACAATTTTCTTGAAATTGACTTCACACCAAGTGCCTTAATTTTACAAGATGCTTGAGACTGTCATTTACCAACATCCTAGTAAGGTATTTCGTAAAAACTTGGTAGTTTTATTTTTCGATGTTTGCAAATGTTGTATATTCCCTTTAAGCACCATATCATAGCCTGGGGCAAGTTCGCGCAAGGACTATAGTTAACCATTGGTCGACTAACGCTTGCCCGAACTCTGTCTAGTCGACGATGGTTAACTACGCTAGTCGACTATTTGGAACCAACCTACTGGGGTTGGTTGCTTCGCTGGTAACCATAGCCGCGCGCGTTCATAACGTACAGCAGGGAGCCAGGATCCAGACGTTTTGCAATGACATTTTGACCAGCATTCGACTAGAGACGTTCGCACTTTGCTATTAGTGCGCAGGCGTAAGGTACGTCACAAATCAACCACTAGTCGACTAATGGTCCTTGCCCGAACTTGGCCCTTGATGTCAGGATTCGACCTTAATTTTTTTTAAACTAGCCAGCCGGGCTACTGAAACAGACTCTTAACTAGCCCGCGGGTATTTTCACTAGCCTGCATGTTTTCTTTTATAGAGTGTCTCATAAACAACAATGTGCATACATGTAAAACGTGTATCCTGGGGCAATCTCGTCAGTGTTTTTGATAAAACAGATCTAATAATTTAACCTTTTAGACACAAATTGATACAGGTTTGCTTTCTGAATTTAATGATTTATTTCTTCCTGTCCTTTCATCTTTGCCGTTGCCCAATAATTTTTGACTCGCCAGCCAGGCTACTTATTAAGGAATGGTTTGACTAGCCTACCGCTGTTTTGACTAGCATTTGGCTAGCGGGCTACCGCTAAAGTCGAACCCTGGATGTGCTAATTTTGCACGAGCATGGAGATTTCTATTGTTGCATCATTGATTCAAACATCAGCGGGGAACCAGTTACAAGCAATACACACTGCATGACATTTTGGCTGGTATCCTGTTTTTACACTGAGCGAATATGTTCAATGCTTAGCATATTTGTGTGCTCAACTTACCAGAAGTAGGTGGGTGAGTAGCGTCAAGCTTTGCTTCCTGACCAGCTGGGATTCGTCACGGAAGCACATGGACAGGTTGGAGATGTAACGGTCCACCACGTTGGGATATCTGAAAGGACAAGATGATATTTATGGATATGTATCAAGAGTTGTGATCGCGTCAATCCAACGAGCAGTGTTGTTCCACACAAGTCCATCACAAGTCTTTCCGACTCCAACTCACAAGATATTCAGATGAACTGTGTGACAGAGGCCTTCTATTTGTTATTGTTAATATACTGTAACTTGTGACAGAAACTTGTGAAAGGATTTGTGACTGGACTTCTGGACTCGTGATGACATGTGATTGACACGTGATTGACTTGTGATTGACTTGTGATTGACTTGTGATTGACTTGTGATTGACTTGTGATTGACTAGTGATTGACTTGTGATTGACTTGCGATTGACTTGTGATTGACTTGTGGTTGACTTGTGATCGACTCGTGAATGACTTGTGATTGACTCTTGATTGACTCGTGACTGACTTGTGATTGACTCGTGACTGACTTGTGATTGACTTGTGATTGACTCGTGATTGACTTGTGACGGACTTGTGGACTTGTGATTGACTTGTGATTGACTTGTGATTGACTCGTGATTGACTTGTGATTGACTTGTGATTGACTTGTGATTGACTTGTGATTGACTTGTGATTGACTTGTGATTGACTTGTGATTGACTTGTGATTGACTTGTGATTGACTTGTGATTGACTTGTGATTGACTTGTGGTTGACTTGTGATTGACTTGTGAATGACTTGTGATTGACTTGTGGTTGACTTGTGATTGACTCGTGAATGACTTGTGATTGACTCATGATTGACTTGTGACTGACTCGTGATTGACTTGTGACTGACTTGTGATTGACTCGTGATTGACTCGTGATTGAATTGAGATTGACTTGTGATTGACTGGTGATTGACTCGTGATTGACTTGTGATTGACTCGTAATTGACTTGTGATTGACTCGTGATTGACTTGTGATTGACTTGTGACTAACTTCCGATTGACTTGTGACTGACTTGTGATTGACTTGTGATTGACTTGTGATTGACTAGTGACTGACTTGTGATTGACTCGTGATTGACTTGTGATTGACTGGTAATGATTCATAATAACTCATGTTAATATTCACAAGACGACTGACCAACAGTTATGGATATCACTGGACTGCCACTAAAATCGTTGGTCTTAGTTCAGCAGTCACGTTGGAACAAGGGTGGGGGTTTGTGGGGGAAGGGTGTGGGTTTGTGGGGGGGGGGGGTTGGGGAGCGGCTAGTTGGGGGCGTGCCTACCATCTCACGTTTTCAGACTCACCTGATGCACAAGTCGCACATGATGACAGCCACGTTGTTCCGGACGGCCGGGTTGGGCGAGGTCTCCAGCTCGCGGGACAGCGCGGCCACGCACTGCTTAGCCAGGCTCTCGTTCAGCAGGCACAGCTTGCCCAGCGTGATGAAGACGTGGGCCCGGACCGTGTCCGAAAGGACCGTCGCGTTGCCAAACTGGGAGAGGGGAGGCTGGCTCTGGGAGGACTGGCTGCTGGGAATGGAGTCTCCTGTTTGGAGAAAAGAAAAATGGGGCGGTAAGGGGGAGGGAGGGTAAGTACTTTGTTGATACAGGACCATTGTAAAATTTTGAATGCGTCATCAGAGATAAAAACTCATGTTTCACTGGAACGTACTCTGTACACAGTAGAGTTTTGTCCACTTTTACCCAGTAAACGGGACACACCGCCTGTGTGTACTGGGCCTAATTTCATAGCACTGCTTAACAGTAAGCAGAAAAGTTGTGCTGACTATAGCAGAAAATCATGCTGTTGCTTAAGCACTATCTCATGCCAACGGTTGCGCGCGCATGGAGATTTCAATTGTTACGTCACTGATTTAAGCAAAGTTTTCTTCTGGGGTTTAGCGTGCTTTTGCTGAGCTTACTGCTTAACAGTCCCTATGAAATAGACAGAGGCTCGGTAAGCACAAAGTCGGCTGTTAAGCAGCGCTATGAAATTGGGCCCTGGTTGGTGTACTTAAGAGCGAAGAACGCATGACTAAGCTTATTCTGAATGTGTCCCATAGTTTCTCTGACAAATCTCTGAGGTATGTTCTGCTCAGTATGCTTTGACAGTCTTCAGGAGAATATCGCAAGTGTACTGACCAGAACATCAAACTCCTCTGGTTCTTCTCTGGACTAATGTTGTGCATCGGGTCGGGTTGACCAGGCCAAACCGACCTGAAACATTATGAGATAAACAGAATCCAAACCGAACCGATCTGAACTCCCCTAAACCGACCCAACCTGACCAGAGAAATAAAATCAAGCAAAAACCGACCCGAACCAACCCGAAACGGAACTGACCCGAATAAAAATCTAATATCTGGCTTGGGCAACTGTGTCTGCTTTTTGTGACTGAACTTACACGCGTCGCATGACAAATCGTCGTCTCTCAGTAACTGAATCATACCGTACGGTACGGTGAAGACTCATAACGTTACCCACTGGTGGACCTACATGTTACAGACTGTGCGTGATAGACCGCGAACCACATGCACATTCGCGTGCCGGGTTGACGTTGGTTGTAGCGGACACAGTAACTCTGCAATATTATTCCATTGCGTGAATTTCCGACTGAAAATTGCAAACGCAAAAACGAAACCGATCTGACCCGACTGAGATAATGGAAAAACTAACCCCAACACGTCGGTTTCGGGTTCGGTGGGTTCGGTTTTTGGGTGTGGGTTTCGGTTTTTAGGTAGGGTTTTCACAACATTGCTCTGGACCACCTCTCGTTTTAGAGACAGTTACGTCACGTAGTTTGTCTGCAAAATTCGCTCGGGGGTCAGACTCAACTACCCGAAAATTGCTAACGCAAAAAGGAAACTGTACCGACCCGACTGAGATGATGGAAAAATCAACCCGCCCCGACCCGAAGTCGGTTTTTGGGTCGGGTCGGTTTCAATTTCAGGTCGTGGTTTCACAACATTACTTCGGACCACCTCTCTTTTTAGAGACAGTTACACTCTTTTTAGAGACACTTACACTCTTTTTAGAGACAGTTACACTCTTTTAAGAGACAGTTACACTCTTTTTAGAGACAGTTACACATTGTACGTCACGTGGTTTGTCCGCAAAATTCTCCTAGGAGTTAACTTCAACTACCAACAAACTAGAACCCTTGCCTTCGAATCGGGTAGGCCCGGCCAGCAGCGACTGGACCAGCATGATGACGCGACGCGACGTCTTGGCCGGGCACAGGCAGGCCACCTCCCCAAGGGTACCCAGGTAACGGACCAGGGTATCCTCACTGACCGCGACCTGGGTCGAGGAGGGGCTCTCCTCCAGGACGAGCTTGGACAGGTAGGCGCTGCAGGCTTGGAGGATCTCCTCCGCGATGGCCTCCATGAGAGCGCTGGTCCTGTCTGCTGTGCCGTCAACCGCCAGGCACAACTAGGAAATGCAATTTGAAATTTGGAACGGTTATAAGATTTAAAGATGTAATGTCAATTCTATATTTGAGTTCACACTGAAAATTTAGGATTCTTTTATAAACTTGCCATTTTCTAGCAGTTTAAGTTATTTACTTTTGAATGACACATTGAACAAATAAAAAATTGGGACATGTTCAATTATAGAATTGTCACTCCACAAATTTCAACTTATTTGACTTACGACAATAATTCAATTATAGAGGGAACCTTTTTGGGGACTTAATTAACAGAGCTCGTATAATCAGAAGCTTGCGACACTATCACAGTGTCTTTATCAACTGGGGTTGTTGAGGCCTCAAGTGAGCATGCTTGGTCACACCACAGGAGGCGGTCGTACACGTGGGCCAGCTCGTACCCTCCATCTCTATTCATATGGGGGCGGTGCCTGCAGATTTCTACTGCCTCCTGTTGTGTGACCAAGCCTGGTCACGTGATGGGACACGTGAGGGCCTCAACAACGCCAGTTGATAAAGACACCGCGATGGTGTCGCAAGCTCCTGATAGGAGCTCTGTAACTCAAGTCCCAAAAAGGTATCTTCTATTTACTTGATATAATAATGGGACTTAAAATGAACTTTCATGCTCAACAATTATTCAGTTGGTGCAACGTAGACTGGTTCCAACTCCCATCAGCGTCTAACATGTAGGGACTAGAAAAAAAGTCCACTTGCAGAGCGGATCTGTTTGTGCATAAAGGCACCCACAATAAAAGCCTCTTTTTTCAGAGGGTTGCAAATGCACAAATTTGAATGGGATGACAGTCCATCGCAGGTTACTCCCCAGCTAATGCCGGTACCCATTTATACTCCTGGGTGGAGAGAGGCAAGTGGCTTGCCCAAGGACACAATATACGGCCGGCAGCTGGATTCGAACCCCTGACCCTCCTGATCATGAGTCACAAACCCTAAACACAGTCGTCTTGTGCCCAGCGCGCCCCCCCCCCCCAAAAAAAAGAAGCCAGTACCTTGTTAAGGGCAGTCACCAGGGATCTGCTCAGCTCAGGTTGGGCGTCGAACGCCAAGAGCCTCTCCTTGAGGTCCGCGATCATCTCTCGTTTCGCCTCGTCGTTGAAGCGACCGGCCAGGCTGCCCATGACAGACAGGACGCGCTGCCGAGTGACCGGATTGGCGGGGGAGTCGGCCTGCTTGTAGCGATCCCAGGCCTGCCGGATGACCGCGGGGTCAAAGTTCGGGGAGCAGGGCGCGACCTCAGCTAGCAGAAGCCATGCAGCCTAAGAAAAAAACAAAGCTTCAAATTCGAATAAAGCTTGGTCAAAATTTTTTCCCCACTTTTTCAGACGCAGATTCCTCAATATTGGGAGACATGTTTAAAATTGTTTTAAGATATTCCCAAACTTGTACAGTATCTTTGTGGTGCAAGGTGAAAACGGTGCTGAAAATAAAGCCTAAATTGAGAAATGGCAATGGTTTAGGCCAAAAAAAAAAAGTCTCCGGTTTCTGGTATGCGCGCGCGTCGCCGTAGCCATGCGCGTCGGCAAAATGAAAAAGTTTTTTTTTTAATGAAAGATGATGTCCCAAAACCGCCAAACTCACTGGTTTGACTGGAATACTGCTGCTGCACAATTTTAACGTGTTTTTAGATTGGGTTATGGTCGAGAATAAGCTTTATGTGGCCTCTCTGGACTCCCATATATTTGCACTAAGTTTAGTCGGGCACCATTTGCAGTCATCAGCACACATTTGAAGCAAAAAAATCAGGTAAAAAAAAAAAAAAAGCCGCGTCGCTGCATCACTTTTTGGGCAAGCTCCATACCAGAAACCGGAGACTTTTTTTTTTTGGCCTTAAAGAAAGATCGTCAAAAACCAAGTTGTCCACATGTAATTCTCCGAGATATGGTCAAAACAATAGCACTGCTTGCACAAAGTACTGCAATAATGTAAATCAGGTCTACATGACTGCCATGAGCTCCGTGCGCTAAAAAAAGAGGGCGCCCTTTTACCGAACAACGTCCCATGGGCAGGACATTTAGCTGGTTGACGCGCACCGTTCCTTGTGTGTGGATAGGCTTCGGCCAACTAGTTTAGACTACTTTTCGGTAAACGGCCGCGTTTTCGTAACTTGAGCCGTTTTCACTATATACCACCAAGATCTTGTACTATAGGAATATCCTATAAACAATTTCAACATGTCTCCCCCATTTGGAAAAACCTGCCTCTAAAAAAGTGTAAACTTCTTTTGTTTTGACCACCCTGTAAAGGGTCCAATTTCTGGAAGCTGCTTTGCATAGAAATCTGCTAAACAGGGGAAAAAATGCTTTAAACAAGAATGGGTCACCAACCAAAAGGTCATGTCATTGATATTGCTTGTAAACTGGTTCTCGGCTAAGCCATCGGTTTTAAAGATAGAGTAGATTGTTTGTCATTTGTGCATTATTTTTTCATTTGAAGCAACAAATGTGCTCAAAATCTAAAGACAGTTGCTTAACGACTAACCTGATGAAGTTTTAGCCCAGCGAAAGCTGTATATTCTGAGAAAACAATATTCTAGGATCTTGAATTCAGTTCAAAAGTTGCCGAGTCATGTTTTGAATTGCGCCCGAAATCAGTATCCCGTACATGTTCTCATTCAGCTGATTGCAGATAGGCGATATCACGCACTGAACCGACACGAATTATATCTAAAGCGCATGCGTGTGTCAACGCTCCCATTCACGGCTTCGCCAAATTAAAAACAAACTACTAATGGAAATTTCGAAAAATGCATCTTCAGACGCATCTTTGGAAATGATCTTCTTTTATTTATTTTTTTTTTTTTCAAAACAGCAGCTTGCCAGAAAGAAAACTTTCACAGGGAGTTTAGTGCCATTACTATCTTTAAACCAAGTATGCTTTTTAACAGTAATTTTGTCAGTTATTTTTTGGATAGCTGCAAATGACCAAAGTGTGTTGGATTTTAGAAGATATGCAGAGCCTTCCAGTGATAAACCCCAGAGTTGTTTTTAGTTTATGCCTAAGACTCCACAACGTCTTTTTGAACAAAGTCCATACCTGGTCATTCTCGTGGTTGATGTGTGACAGCAGAGCTCGGACTAGACTGCTGGATAGGAGTTTCTGCTTGGACCACAGCTGACAGGCTTTAGGGAGGTAACGTCTGCAAGAACACAGAAAAAGACAAGAGAGTACTGGTTTTAGGACGGATTAACACAGAAGCGCAGTAACGGAAGCTTGAAACAAACAACGGAATACTACGTGGTAGTCATGGGTGGCAAACCAGGCAGAATTCAATTCAAATTAGGTTTACAGGGTAAAGTCATGGACAGATTTATAGCGGGGTATTTTGGAAAACACAGTGGTGTTGCTTTACCTCACGATATTGATCTCTTTGCTAGAGATTATTGATATCTCCTCTGGAGTTCAATGACTGTCTAATATATTTAGAGACAATTCGTGGGGTCAAAGCAGAAAGGACTTATAAGCCCCATTCAGCATTTTCCAGTATTTCAAGATAAACGAGTTTGAAGATTCACACTGCTTTGAAAATTGCAAAATGTTATTTAAATAGGTTAAATTATGCGTATTGTTAAAGGGGGTTCTTTAACTTAACAGTTAAGTATTACTTGCCATTTTTTGTAACTTAATTATTTAATTTCAGCTAATTAAAAAAATAAGACCTTTTGGTGCATCCCAATATTACACTGAAAGAAAATGACAAAAGGACGAAAGGGTGCGTGCAAAAAGGGCCTACAAGCTCTTAAGCCCTTTTTGCATTTCCCAACATTATCAGTTATTTCAAACTGAATGACTGCCTGTTTAAAGAAAAAAGGCTTATGAGCCTTCTAAAATTTCTTAATTACTCCTTTAATTGGATGAATAATTAACATAAAACCTCTTTGGGATAAAGACTGTACTGAGAGTAATCAGTTACCATCAAAAAACAAAAATTGACCTAAAGCATGGTATAAGCCCTTTCTGCTTTGACCCGACGAATTGACAGTTGAAACTTTTTTTAGAAGGAAAAAAAATTAGAAAAGTGACATTTGGTATTGAAAGGTTGTAAAAGACAACATCGGGGGACTGAGATAGTTCTAGGGCACTGGCTAAGATCAGTATGTGGCATCTAATAGGGACACTTAACTTACCTCAAATCCCCAGAGTCGTTCTGAGACAGAACGCCGAGGAGATTCCAAGACAATCGGGATTCCTCGTTGTCACTGTGACTACGAGAGGTGATGCCGTCCAGCAAAACCTCCTTAAGAAGCTGTGAAAGGCAACGTACAAACGCTTGTTACACTAAACATCCAATTCTCAGAAACTGTACAGTACCTGAAAAAACTTCAAACTGTTTTCTTGGAAACTGTAGCTGAACGGAGCCATATCAAAACCCAGAAGTAATTTCAATATAAACATTTCATTACCTGAAGGCATTTTTCCTGTGCTGAGACCTCTCGATCCATCACGCCGGGAAGGACACTTTGAAGCCAAACTCTAGAGGGCGCCAAACATTCCAATCAAAGGAAAAGTGAAGATCCATTATAGTAAACTCCAAGAAAAAATGAATTTTTTTTTAATGTACAGTGGAACGCCGCTATAACGAACATCGCGGGATCCACAGAAAATGTTCGTAATAGTGATCATTCGTTATAGCGATTTTAAGCTGCCGGTGCTCCGGTACTCACTTTTCAATAAATGGCACCCTTCATAACTTACCCCTGCACGCCCTGGTAGTTACTGAAAGACAACTTCGAACACGTGCCGACTATTGAATTATGTAATTACACAGTTTTGAGCTTACTATCTACATCGATGGGTGGCTTTCCCCTTCTATGCCTTGGGGAAATAATAGCCACTTGTCACTCTTCTGTTGACGGTTTTCAACAACAATGTTCGCTTGTACACAAAAATCGGGAGCCAAGGACGATGTTCGGTACGGCCGAATGTTCAGTATAATGGTGTTCTGTATAGCGGCGTTCCACTGTGTCTCCCTTATTTCAAAATTCCCTGTGCAACTTTTCAAGCCATCTGAAATATGTAGGAACCCCTCTCAAGCACACATCTTTAAGTTTGAAAATTCCACCCCACTTTGATTTGAAATGTCGTTGAAACTGCAAAGGGCCTGGATATTTCTTACTTTTGCAGGGGGACGCACGTCTTCTTTTCCATCAGCAGAGTAGTCAGTGAGATGATGGCTTGCTTGCGGACCGACAGGGCCGGATCCAGGCAGGCATCGTGAAGGACTCTCAGCTCCTTGGCCGTGATGGTGCTGCCGTTAAGACGGAGAACATTCTCCAGGGCCTGAGAAACAAGATAGGCCAGGCTAGGGGTTAATCCTGGTCAAAAACTTAAAGGGACACTGCGTCCTGGAACAGCCCAAATGGGCTACAAAACACGCTTTGAACAAAATGATGTTAATCGGAAAGAGCAATTTAAAGTAGGATATAAACAGCCACACAACTATCTTTCAAAAATGGGCGTTTTTGTGCTATTCCGGTATTATGAGCGCGAGAACGACTTTCGGGGTCCATTTTTGCGACCCCAAAAAGTCAAGCTGTCTGGGTGCTAATTGAGATTGCATCCGTAAAGTGTTCGCCTTTTGCGGACATGTAAGAAACCATATTTTGTGCATTGGTGATTGGTCACCTCTGTTCACGAGCGCGGTGCTGAAAAGACACGCACAACGTGCAGATCGTACATTGACTAAGAACGACAGAAAAATCGTTTTCGTACTCCATCATGTCCGATGTAAACAACTGGGTTTTTTTCCGTCTTTTCTCGGGAACGGTACGACATTAGGTTGGTTTCCTTTCAATCAGATGTTTGAAATTAGATAAATAAACAATCCAAAACAGGAAAATTCGGGGATTTCAGGGCCTAGTGCCCCTTTAAGACAGGAAAAAGGACAATACATCAGAACAGACCAGCCCGTGCCCCGCGGTCCGGTTCTAAAAAGTCGACAAGATTTCCAACCATCCCCCTTTCGAGTGAAGTTAGTCCAACTATGGTGAGCCATAGTCCTCGCCTGAACTTGCTCTTAATTGACCTATGGCCATTTGTGAGTTAGCCACGCCCCTTAGACAACCCTATGGAGTTTTTGTACACTGAGTTTTGTTCGTCGCAGATTTTGCACGTTCCATGTCCATTTGTATGTCATGTAATTGGACAATAATTTACAAGCTGCGCTGACGCGATTCTAACGCCATTCTACCGCGATAGGTCAATTGCACAAGTTTGTCAAAAGAAATATCTGGTAAGTTTGCGTGAAGAAGTACTCTCCGTGATCTTCTACAAAGTTGATTTATTTTTCCTGTCAATTTTTGGTCTATACATTCCTGTCTTTGCAGTCAAAATCAATCAAGTGACTGTTTTCAACAGCTAAGAGCTCCCAGCCTACATAAAGCAGGATTGACTGGCAGTGACTGTTTATGTAACTTGATACAGCTATGCTTTGACTGGAGGTGATTGATAAGCCAGCCGTGCCTGCTACACTTGCCTGCTTTTGTCTGTTGACTGAATTTGACTATTGACTGAATTTGACTAGTTGTGGTGCTTGCTTGGAATATGATCTGACCGTTGGTGACTAGCCTGTGTAAAAGGCATGGCAGGGGAGAGGATTGATATGTTGACTCTCTGTGACTGTTCAGATAGCAGGAGGGTTAGTCTTTTAATGATTACGCTGAATTTTTTCTTCTATGTTGAGCAGCTGCCCCAGGAGAAATTTGGCTGGCTATTGAAAGAATAAAAGTAAACAATCCTACACAGTGAAAGCTCAAATAAAGTCAAACTCTGTTTAGTCAAACAAAGAATCCATTGCCTTCAGTAGTATACACAACCCTGCTTAACTCAAAATGCTGCTTAAATCAAATTTTGAACCTGTTCCCTTGAATATTGACTGATCGAGATTTCACTGTATGTTCACACCCATTGTTCCCGGCTGTTCCAATTGGGAACTGCGAGTGTGCCCAATTGAGAACGGGCACTTCTCCAAGTGGAATGCCTCAAGCGTTTCGAGCATTACCTGGAGTGCAGCTTTCCGGACGCCCACTTTTTCGTCGCAAGCTCGCTTCTGAAGCATGGCAATAATGTTCTGGCCAACGGAGTCGGCTGTGTGAAAAGTTAACAAATGAAAAAACCAAAAAAATAATCTCAACTTTTAAAATATTAGGCCTATCGTAAACAATTGTATTATCGTTAAACGAATTTAGGTGTGTCCAATCAGAAGTAAAGATGCTCGAAATAATACATTAACCTCAAAGGCTTTTGTTACAAGCATGGACATTGGCTGTCACAACTAAGCTAGCTAATAATCAGGAGAAAATGATTGGATTTTTTAACAAGCGATGCCATTGGCTATTCTTTTTAAAATTTACTAACAAGGACCGTGATTGGCAAGTGCCCGTACCTTGACATTCACCAACAAATACGGGTCTCTGAAATGTGGACTTGTTATATTTACTTGATTTTTTAAAGAAACGATTTTCGATTTCTTCAAAAGTGACTAATTTTTTATTTCTTCAAAAGTGACTATACTGTAGTATTCCATTTTCATAAAACTGCACACGTCCTTTACCTATATGCAATTTTATGAACCCAATAGTGACATGGCCATTTACTTACAAGGGCTGCCATTGGACATCTCCAGTAGCAACGCCGGGGACCCGCCCATCAGGTTGCCGGGCGTGGCCCCGTCCTGGGCCTGTTGCTCCCCCTCCGTCGTTTGGTCTGTGTCACCTTGGTTGCCATGGTGATTGGATCCCGGTGTTGCAGCACCCTATCAAACACAAAAAGATGTTTTTGTCCAAACTCTAAAAAATAAATTTGTAAAGTGTAAGTGTGATACCGGTATATGAAGAAACACAGAACGTGGCGAAACTTTGATAAAAGTCTCGAACAGTTGAAAAAAGTCCCAAAACTGAAAGATTAGTATGGGTATCATTATGGGTAGGGTCATGGCATGTGTGTCCCTGGGCAATCGACTTTACCTTAAAAATATATAATCCAATCCCCCAAAATTTTGAGCAAGCTTCACTTGTAACTGTAGACGCACAGAATTCTAAGGTATGGGCTCCATGCGCCGACAAAAGAGGGCGCCCTTTTACCTAGCAATGACGTCCCATGGGCGGGACATTTTGCTTGTTGACGCGCACCGTTCCTTGCGTGTGACGCACGTACACCAGGGGATTTGTACTATGTACACACGCAGTGGCCGCGCTTCGCGGCAAATGAATTGCAGTCAGGCAAGATGGCATCGGTCGGTCACCCCCAACTGTGCTTTCTTTGCCGGTGAGGGGGTACTTGTGAACGGAGCGGATGAGACCACCCTCGTCAACAAAACTTGGAAGTGCTTTGGGCATCAACTTTTTTTTCCAATTCATAAAGATTTGTTTATGAATATTCATTGTTATATTCTGGCACCTACCAATTGCAGGATTTGGGCAGGGGTGGTCAGGCTGACGGAGGGGTAGAACAGCTCTGCCAGGGCCTGCTGAATGGTGGGGTCGGTGGAGGTCGTGAACTCGGCGAAGCAGGTCAGTGCCTTGGCACGCACCCTGAAAACAAATAGAATCCCGTTGGAAATTAAGACTTCCACTTTCTTTTTTTTAAGTTCATCATCATTGTCATTGGTTTTTCCCTGATAAGTTGTACCCTTACTGTGCCCTTACTATGCACGAGTTGGCCATTTTTGTCGAGTTCCCTGAATGTATTTCAAAAATTGTTAACTGTTGAATGGGATGGCACCAGACTATTTATGCAGCCTTATTTATTGTCACATTTAAAAAAAAAAAACTGGCTTAAAACATTATGCCAAAAAAAAAAAATCTCCGGTTTCTGGTATGGAGCTTGCCCAAAAAGTGGTGCGGCGACGCACCTTTTTTTTTTTTTTTACCTGATTTTTTTGCTTCAAATGTCGGCTGATGACTGCAAATGGTGCCCGACTAAACTTAGTGCAAATATATGGGAGTCCAGAGAGATCACATAAAGCTTATTCTCGACCATAACCCAATTTAAAAACACGTTAAAATTGTGCAGCAGCAGGATTCCAGTCAAACCAGTGAGTTTGGCGGTTTTGAGACATCATCTTTCATTGAAAAAAAAAACTTTTTCATTTTGCCGACGCGCATGGCTACGGCGACGCGCGCGCATACCAGAAACCAGAGACTTTTTTTTTTGGCCTTAGGGAATGTTCAATTCCAAATTTTAAATTATTCATTGAAGCAGAGTTGAAGTAATTAGTAATTTACTTGCTTTCAGTTCTCTTCGCAAGTTCCAAAAATGAAGATTTTACCTCACTTTCAATTCAATATGGCCGACTCGTGAATAAGGCCCTAGTGATCTGACTTGCAATTGACTAATTATTGACCTCGAGATTGATTTAGGGAAGCATGCAAAATCAAAGAAGAGGAGTAAGGGTTAAACGGGGGTGTGAGATGACCACTGATAAAAATAGCTGAAAAAAGATGTAAAAAAGCTGAACTTTAGAAATTTCCTATACTTTTGTACACAGCAAGTGAGGGAAAAAGCTGAAATCCAACACACACAAAAGCTGAAATCAGCTTTAAAGCTGAGATTTCACACCCCTGGTTAAAATTAAGAAAACTCACGTTGGCGCTCGGTCCGAGCAGCGCGACAGCAGCAACTGGGTCAGGAATGTTGGGGATAGGTACTGCTGGCTGACGTCGCCTGCAGGTGCAACCGGTGGGTCTGTAGGAGCACCTTCATGCGCAGGTGTAGTTGGGCCTGCAGGTGTCGCTACGCCTGCAGGTGTCTCGTTGGCCTTGGTGTTTGGTAGCTGCTCTAATATCACAGCGACTACCTCCAGAGCAAAGACGCGGTGACCAATCTAGGTGATGGGGCAAGTAGGTGTCAAAAATGTTACCAAAAAGGGGCCATGTATGTTGTTTTGTGTAATAAGCGTCTGTACTGATGACATCACACTTTGTTTACGTGTGCGCTTTTCTATGGGGCTCATAAACCGTCGTCCCCACCAGACTCCCATAAGAAAGCACACGCGTACACAAAGTGGGACGTCATCAGTACAGAGGCTTTTTAAGGTGAGAAATCAGACATATTGCGACCATTTGTTATGACTGTCCGAGCAAATTTTGCACTGTAAGTGCATTCAAAGTGCGTGTGCCAGCTCAAAAATAATTTGGCCGGGTCATTTTTTTTCAAAACAGGTTTTGTGTGGAATTTCACAATTGATTAGGCATTTTAGTGCAAATTTGACCTCAAGTTTTAACACCACTGCAGAATAACTGTAGCTGTAGACAATATGCATTTGTACAGGCATGAGATATTTTAGACTTTTGTCAGAAATCAGACTTCTTGAATCTGAGAGGACTATCAGTTATAGAAAGAAATGCATCTTTCAGACCTTTTCTCAAATGTTCAGGTGGGGGGGGGGGGGATTTCCAGACGTCGTTGTTGGTGAAACTAAATAGAAGGTTGTAGGTCTACATCTGCAAAACTTTTTATGCAAGATGAATCTCAAATATTTCACTCACCTTCACATTCCTAGAGTATTTGTACAGCCACTCGATGAACCTCGCGCGGTGCTCGACGGTCATGTACGTCAAGACCAGGGCTACGGTTTGCGCAGTCTTTGCCCGGTACTCCGCCTTGTCCGGAACCTTGACGCACAGGTGCTGGAGCAGCAGACGCAGGCAGGGAACCGCTTTGTCCTCCAGGTCAAAGGTCATGCGGCTGAGCAATGAATAAACAAACAAACAAACAAATGAATGACACTAAAACTGTCCTTTGCAGGCACTAAACGATTGTATTTGTAACACAAATTCTCCTTCATAATGCCTACAGAGTAGAAAAGGGAAAATATGTTGCAACCTGACGCCACTCTAGCGGTTGTGTACAAACTCTATGGAGAGTCAAGAAAATTTTCTAAGTATTTCCCAACAAAATTGGAAATGTTTCTCAGTCCCAGATTCATGTCTTATCATCATTTTTGCAATGACTGACCTTCATTGAGATGATATATGAAGAAAAAAGTGGCGTCAGATTGCAACATTTTTTCCTAGAAACGATTTTATCATAATATAATTTTGTTGGAACTTGGGGATAAGGGGGGGGAGGGGGTGGTTGTAAGGAGATGAGGGCGGGGCATGATGAGCAGGACATGGAGGCAAGTTGCGTTTAATAAGGACATATAATAAGAAATTAATTTTAGGACTAAAACCAAGCGCTTATCAGCATTTTGTGCTTACTGAATGAAGGCGGTAGCGTTATCCTTGATGATCTGTATTGTCTTGGGGATGGTTGCCGCGGCAACGGCTTCGTTCTCACCAATCAGCATCAAGAAGTTCGGCATCAGGTGTTTCAACACCTTGGAAAAAAAAACAAGAATTTTCAAAACCCATCAATTTCTACCTTTTGAGAGCAAGAAAAGATATCCATTTTAGTACTACTTGTTTTTATATCAACCTAATTGCATCAACGCAGTTTGTGAAATATTGTCCAGTTACATGATATACAACTGAACGCGGGACGCAGAATGCGGGACGCAGAATGCGCAAAATCTGAGACAAACAAAACTTAACGTATAAACATTACACAGAGTTTGTCGAAGGGGCGTGGCGAACTCACAAACGGCGATAGGTCAATTCTTCAGCTGAGAAAATCAATATCGAAAGACGTTTAGATGGTACTTAAAGTTTAAGGATTGTTTTCAATTGGGCATTGTTTCCCAAATGGTCTCACCAGGGTGAACATGTCGGTGACGCTGCCGTGGGACGTTGAGGACAGAGCGGCCAGTCCGAGATACGCGACGTGAGACACTGATGTGGACGAGTTTGGAGATCTAAGATTTGAGGGAGAAAATCACCAGTTTGGCATTAACAACATTTAAACCAGATGGGTCTACATTACTTTACAGGTACGGAGGAGCATTTGCCTTTTCCACATTTTTCTTCATTTGAAGCGACAGAATCTTGAGCAGGGTGCATAACAACTAAGTTTAAGCTCAGTGGATATGGTACAAATTTTGAGGACACAGAGAAAAAGTACGCACAATGTTTTTGATAAGTATCAGAGTTTATACCTCTGGTGAAAACACCTTCAAGGTAAAAGCTCAGGAATTCCAGATTTTTCAAAGGGATTCTTTCAAAATGTTGAAATCAGAAAAAATCCTGACATGAGAAAATCCTGAAATTAGAAAATATCCTGAAATAAGGAAAAATCCTGAAATTAGGAAAAATCCTGAAATCAGGAAATATCCTGAAATTACAAAATATCCTGAAATTAGGAAATATACTGAAATTAGGAAATATACTGAAATTAGGAAATATCCTGAAATTAGGAAATATCCTGAAATTAGAAAATATCCTGAAATTAGGAAAAATCCTGAAATAAGAAACAATCCTGAAATCAGGAAATATCCTGAAATTAAAAATCCTGAAATCACGAAATATCCTCAAATTACGAAATACCCTGAAATTAGGAAAAATACTGAAATCAGGAAATATCCTGAAATCAGGAAATATCCTGAAATTAGGAAAAATCCTGAAATTAGGAAAAACCTAAAATAAGGAAAAATCCCGAAAGCAGGGAAAAAATCCTGAAATCAGAGAAAATCCTGAAATCAGGAAAAATCCGGAATTAAGAAAAAAATCCTGAAATTAGGAAAAATCCTGAAATCAGGGAAAAAACTGAAACCAGGGAAAACCCTGACTCCAAAAAAATCCTGAAAAAAATCCTGAAATAAGGATAAAAATTCTGACCAAAAAATCCTGAGATCAGGGAAAATCCTGAAAAAAAATTAAGAAATAAGGAAAAATTCTGACAAAAAAATCCTGAGATCAGGGAAAAATCCTGACAAATCCAACCTGTTAGAAGTGGAAATCACAAAAAGATTTAATGCAAATTTTCTCTCCAAAAGGTGGAAATGGTCTTTGGGGGGCAACCACAGCTCGAACTTACACCGTGGAATCAAATTCTTGAGTTTCGTTCTGGTCTCCTGTGACGCGGGTCAGATCTGACAGAACCTGCATTGCATGCTGGGTCGACTGCTCGGCGTCCTTCAGGGTCGAGTTCCGTAACAGTTGAACAAAATTCTGAGACGGGGAGAATAAACAGATACAATGGGAATGTGAATAAATCCCGACTAAAAATGAGAGAAAACTCATACTACAAGATATTTTAATGCCAAAGAACATAAATTTATGAATTTAATGCATACTGAAAAATTAGAAAATGTTTACAACTGTCACAGCTGATGCGGGCCAATACACCTGCTAGCATATAAAAAAATATTCAATTAAAATCTTAACTCACTAGCATGATTTACTAGGAACCATACCCATCCTGGCAAATCCCAACACCATATGGGAAACTGCGCACACATATTTCTGACTTTGATTCTGGAGGTGTGCCAACCCAATGTAAAAGACTGTCAGTTTATTAGGGGTAATGTACCCATCCAGACAGATTCCAACAAAACGTGCCGTTGGGGTTTGATGGGTTGAGTTCTGTTAGGGTTTGAATTGCGCCCTATCCAGTGACTTTCGATGAATAGTTAGATTGTATAGTTGCTTTAGGTTTGTTTAAATTGAAAAAAAAAAATAATAACAATAAATATAATAATAAGGCTGAAAAGTTTCACCAACAGATCATTCATGTAAATTTAGAGACTGCTGAGTTTTTCACAAAAGGATGTTGTTTTATTCCAATTTTGTTTTGTTTTTTCAAGATTTTTTGGCAAGAAGTACCCAAGACTATTTTATTCTGAATGTGCAGAAGCCCATAGCGTCTGCCCGTGAGCGTCCGGCGTCGCCAGCAATGCGTTCATTTGTCCCTCCGAGTGCTATTCTGAAATTAATGCTAATGAGTGCTGTTGCCTCGTGGTTGAGGGCATTGGATTCGTGGTCTGCGGGTAAAAGCTGCAGGTTGTGGGTTCGAGTACAGCCTGGGGTCATGGTGCGTGTGGCCTGGGGCAAGACACTTTGTCGCTCATTGCTTCTCTCCACCAAGGAGTAAATGGGTACCTGTGAGGGCAGAGATGGTTAGTGTGATAGAATTATTAGCTTTCTTGCGTCTAACAGGCAGCATCGAGCTGTATACTCCCAAGGAGCCGAGATGGAATTGGAATGTTTGATGGGCCCAATGAGCAGGGGTAATAATGATGTAGCAACTTGAGCACCAGTCCTGGTGGATACGTGCGCTTTATGAAAACCCACTATTAATCCCAAACTCTCTCTTTTGTAACAATTGAGGGGGTACTTCTGCACGCAGTCCATAGGGGAATTTCTTACCCGCAACGCTCCCAGCACTGCCGCTTTAATCCGGCCGATTTCTTGAGGCGTCAGGATGGTCATCTCGTCATCTTCCTCGTCGTCGCTGTCAAACGGCGTTGTCTTGTCCGCACCATCCTCCTCATTTCTGTCATCCACGCGTCGGGTCTTGGCAGGGCGTCGGCCTACTTGGGAGGCCTGGCTAGAGGTCGGGCCGGAAGAGTGCCTCTTTCGTTTGGCGCTTGCTGTAAAAAGGTCAATACATGTACAATTTTTATCAAAACACAATTCCTGAGAAAAAATACTCATCACAAACGTGTCCAACATTCGGAGCTTTGTGGTCTAAAGTAGCGCTTTCCATCGTATCAACAATCTCAAAGCGCTTTACAATTATTACCCCGTTCATCTGGCCATGGGACCACGCGGCAAATGATATCAGCGCTCAATCGGTTCTCCATCCTCACAGGTACCCATTTATACTCCTGGGTGGAGAGAGGCAATTGTAGTTAAGTGTCTTGCCCAAGGGCACAAACACCATGTTCCTGGCCGGGTTCGAACCCACGCACCTTCGTACATGAGTCAAACACCGTAACCGCTGGACCATGGGGTTTTAACAGACTCATGTGCAATGGTATAAACTCATGTGCAATGATATATGGTTCGAACCCCGCTGGTGAACATGGTGCTTGTGTTCTTGGGCAAGACACTTTTCTACAATTGCCTCCACCCAGAAGTATCAGGGTACCTTTGAGAGCGGAGACAAGCAGCGTGTTTGATTACTTCCCTCGTGGCTACCCGTGCTCTGGTCTTGGGAATAGATGCGCATGCGCAATCTGTAGCAATTAACGAACGGTCTCGGGTTACTTGAGCTCGAGCCATAATAGCAACCGGACCGGGTCAAGAGGTCACGTGGCAATTAAATCCCCTTTGCAAAATGGGTTTGAGCCGTCGAAAGCGAGCCATGGTGGCCTCTGTACGTGCTCCTCCGAAGTGAACAAGAAATGCCAGGTCTGTTTTAAATTATCTTAACTTTCCTCCCGTCGTCTAGTACTACTAATGTGAATGGAAGCTGAGACACTTTGAGCCCCCAACATCCCAGCGTTAGACTTAGCCACCATGTTTTTAGAGGGGCCTCGTAGCCGAGCGGTTAGAGCGTGGAGCTACGGAGTGGAAGGTTGGCGGTTCGAATCCCATTCGGACCAAAAACTGAAAAACTCTCTCTGACGACCCAACAGTAAAATGGGTACCTGATTCGTTCAGGGAAGGTAAGACGGCGAGAGGAGAGGACTGGGCCCCGCCACTCATATGCCGCGCCCAAGACACAGTGGACCTCTAACATCCCACTGCCCCTACGGCCAGTAATGGCTATGGGACCTTTATCTTTATTGTGGGATACTTACCCAAGTAACTGGCTCAGGGGGTCGGTTACTTGGGTCGAGTAAGCACGAGTAAGCATGAAAGTTAATTAAATCAAACGCAGTCGTGCTTGCATGAGTAAGCGTAGGGGAAGTAATCAAACACGCTCCAGATTGCGCTAAGCATGAGCTGCTGCTGCTGCTGCAAAAAACTGGTCCTATAGCCTGATATACATTGGGTAATAACAGTAAGCACTTTGCGACTTCCGTATACGGTGCTATAAAGCTTAAAGGGAAGATACAACATTTGCAAACATCACAAAACGAAATGATCGAATTATCACGTAATACCTTACTGGATTGTCAGAGAATAACAGTCTTAAACATTCTGTGAAATCGTGGCTCCTGATGTGCTGTCATTTTCCAGAAAAATGGGATTTCTCCAACGCTGGTCGGCCGACCAGCATTGGAGAAAACTGGCTTTTTTCAAAAAGTGATCCTAATTTTTCATAATTAGCTATTCTGCATTTTCTTTGCAATTGATTACACACCTGTGAAGGGGTACAAGCCTGCTAGACTGATTCTCTGACCTTACAATTCCGCAAAGTTTATAAATTGCTCTGTTTCATCTTAAGTGGGGTCAGGGAGCCAGACTACAAGAACATGATTAGTTTTCTCGGTTTTTCCAGCATCTACAAGCCCAAATCGTGAAACAAGTCATTTTAACAATAATTGCTATAAAATAACATACTGATCCTCCAAATCCATTTATTTCTGAAAATTGCAGCAAAAGCAAATGTTGTACATTCCCTTTAACACTTTATCATTATTGTAACATTGTTCAAATGTGTCAGAGTGCGAGTTTATGGTTCGAAATTGTAATTCCTAGTTAGCTCATTCTTAGTTGGGTTGTCATTCTCACCTGGGTCTGGCCACTGCTTCAGGAGATCCACCGCCTCTTGAAACACCAACGGATGGAAAATCTTGTAGGCGCCACTCCCTAATATTTTTAAACATTTGTAATTATTCCATAATTTCACTTACACCACTTAGATTATCTTTTGTACAAGTAGAAAACAAAAATTTCAAGGTGAAGCTCAAACCAAAAAAAAACCCACAGAAAAACACACACAAAAAGTGCAGACGGAACATCTTGAAAGGCATGTATGGATCCTTTGCATTTATCCCAAAAGTAACCTATCAAATTATTATCAAAAGCTGATCGTACTGGTACTGAACACACCCGTGAAATTATTCCGTCTGGCTTGGTGTCATGTAACAGAAAATCAAGAATTGTAGGTGATTTCCAACGATCAGTCAATTGACCGACATTTGGAAATAAAGAGTGACGTTGACGAAATCATGTTCCGTGATCCAAAGGTTGTGCAAGGTCTTTCAATGCTCCTCGAAAAAGTGTAATATCCACTGAGCTGAAACTTCAACAGGTAGGGGCCTAGGGTTTTGAACATTCCTCTTTGGATTTTGAGAGGTGTTACAATATTGGAAGGGTTCGTGGTTAGGGTTCGTGACTCAGGATCAGAGGGTCAGGGGTTCAAATCCAGCTGCTGGTCATATATTGTGTCCTTGGGCAAGGCACTTCACCCCCACTTGCCCCTCTCCACCCAGGAGTATGAATGGGTACCGGTATTAGCTGGGGAGTAACCTGCGATGGACTAGCATCCCATCCAGGGGGAGTAGAAATATTCTCAGTCGTTTCATGCTACTGAAACCGGAGATAAACGCCGGCCTGATGAGCCACATTGGCTGGGGACAGACTGTACTACTACAATATTGGAAATGAACAAAATTCATATAAGCTTTTAAACCATTACACACCTGGGATTTCGTTCAGAACAAAGTAAAGGTTGGCGGAGAGCACGGCAATCTCTCGTTGTGTTGCTGAAGACAGGACTTTATCGACGCCACACATGAAGTGATGGAGCAGAGCGAGCAGTGCACGGGGGGACAAGCCACTCTCTGACAGGACACTCCAAAACCCTGGGGAGGAAGTGGGAACTAGGAGGATGAAGAAATTTTTATCGTGGTTACGTTGTAGGATTTGTGTTGGATTCTTGTTAGGCCAAGTAAAATAAAAGACCAGTTGATCGTCCCCGCTCCTTTCCTTTTTTGAGGCTGCATCAATTTTTTAAACATGTTTTAAATTTCAGCCATAACATTTTATTAAAGAATTTTTCAGACATACATTTACTTTGGGGGGGGGGGATATCAAAATTGTGCATTTAAAACCAAACTTTTGAAAAAAAAAATTAAATAACTCACCCTGGGGGAGGGTGGCAAAGTCGATCCTTGCCCATGGTACGCAGGATTCTATGGCTCGCTGCAGGTGGCGAGTGTAGGACCGATTATCAGTGACATCGTGGGCCAGGCTAGGAGGCAGCTCCGCCTTCTCGGTGAAGTCTTGTTCCCAGACTGTATCAACCCATTCTGTGTGTTAAAGAAATTGATTGTTTTGTGAAAATCTTGACATGCTTTAAATGTATGTGTTCTATGGCTGCGTCAACATGACTTGGCTATGGGTTATGGGAAGTGGTTGGGAAAGAATGTTGCAACCTGATGCTACTTCAGCGGTTGTGTACAAAGTCTTGGAGAGTCAAGAATTTTTTTTAAAAGTATTTCCTAACAAAACTGGAAATGTTTCTCAGTCCCAGATTCAAGTCTTTATCATCATTTCTGCAATGAATGACCTTCATTGAGATGAAGAAAAAATTGGCATCAGGTTGCAACATTCTTTCCAGTGGTATTTCCAGTGGTTGTTAAACAACAAGATTTTCAATGCAGAGAGCTGTCATGGCTGTGGAAAAAGATGAGATGTTCCCTAAATTCTGAATAAATTATTACCATATTATTACCAGGATAAACTACATCACCACAAATTTGATGGCAATTTGAATTGTGTCAATCATGTCAATATTATGAATGAAAAAAACCAGCACTAGCCACTAGTATCATTCATGTTGTTGAATAGTGTTGAACTTGAAGTTGAACGAGCAATGTTTAGAAATCTGACAAGCATCGTATTTCGTCAGACCCCCTAGGCCTAAAGCTATATATACGCTTTTTTTCCTACGCATTCACCTTCAATAAATGTGTATGTGATAATGCACGCATGTTGCAACAAATGCAAGCGTTACCTGCGTAGCGTAGATCTGTAGATTATTTATGGTCAAGGATTTATTTGCCAAACGAAAAATTGACCGTTTAACTTTTAACACGGTACTCCGCGGTAGGCATGGTAGGCCTAATTCAACATGTTCAACTGGTTTTGCTAAATCATTGGGAAAGAATGCTGCAACTTGACGCTAGGATCAGTAGGAAATACTTTTCTTGAGTCCCCTCGACCCTCCATAATCTGCGCAGGTAACTCATGCTTGCAATGGGTGCGCGCCGCGCTGTCACACACAAAGTGAAGGTGCGTGCGTAGAAATAATTGGACCGCGCAGCTTTACTTAGGCCGTCTCCGGACGATACACAACCGCTTAACATTCTTCCCAATCGTTTTTATCATTTCATGTTGAATAATATAGTACAAGGGACACAATTTGTACTTCAAACTTACGCTCATCTAATTCAGAAAACCCCAATTTTTGGAGGCATTCCGTGGTTTTCACAGGGTCTGCCATCTTGTTTATCGAGCACACCTGTCATTCAAAAAACCGCGCCAAATGACAGGAATGATTTAATCTAAGCGAGTGACCATTCCATTGGGTAGCAGGGGAAATTCTCATTATTTGAAGGGGTGTTGAATTTTTTAACCAAACAAATCAAATTTCAGATTAAATTTTATCCCCAACAAAGAACGTTATTTCACATTATATTGATTTCAAAATCATACTTTGAATGTATTCCTTTCATTATTTTCTGTAGAAAAGAGAGATATATTTCCATCAGACAACCCTATTTTAAAAATGGTTACGTCTAACAGTTTTCCCTACGTGACCTTTCGAGCTCAGTGGCCTACTTTTTGTTTATTTCATTTCAAATGTTACTTTCAGAAATTGAAAACGTACCCATTTCCATCAAGTCAAAGAAGAAGTCCCATTTTTCAAAGGCAATATTATATTTTTTAGGACTTCAGTCCCAAATATATTGACCAAAATAAATAAAGACATTGTGTATAAATAAGTAAACAACGCCCCGGATGCTTTGTGTGACGTGCGCGATAATAAAACCGCACGTAGACCCTTCAGTCAGACTGTGAAACCCCGAATCCGATTGGAAATAACCCAAACGCCTTCGCTAAACCAAATTTTCCCATTGGCTAATCTGGTATGCTAATATTGGTATGCCGTCATCGCCGACCAATAGCGGTTTTTGTTATTGAAATCTCGCTATTATACGCTGGATGCTGACTACCTCGGCGGTGAGTGCGATTGTGAATATTATTTTCTGATAAAATTTACAGGGAAAAGCAGGGACAAACAGAGCTCGCAACAGTTCTAAAACCTCAAACTAATCCTTCTCGTTTGCAGAAATGCGATTTTCAATGCAATTTTGACTGCGCGGAGAGGGAAGAATGGGTTTCAAAGAGTGCCGTGCGCTGACGCTTTTTGTGATAGCAGCTCGCTGATAATAAATACAGAGCTCAATGCATTAGCGTGCATTCCCGGGCTCTCGGTGGCAAGCCTGCGCGTCTTTGCGGGATAATTTGTCAGCCTTGGTCATAACTAGACTGAGTATTTCCTCCCCTTCAGAACCCAAACTAAGTCACTCCTTCTGTCTCAGTAATTGGCCGGTGATCTTTGCATGTGCGGGGCCCCGGCCAGCGTTTCGTGGTCCGGGAAAATTGAGTGTTGAAACATGAAAATGTGGGAGGGTATGGTAATGGTTGAGTGGAAAGCCCGATCCGCGCTGTTCGTGTGCACATTGCATGCAGGCTATGTGTAATTTTGTGCGAGTTGTGCTGTTGTGGGCGAACTTGTGCAAATGGTGTACGTACATTGTGAGTGGTTGTGTTAGCATATTTGCAGTTGCACAGTGTGTACAAATGTACAGTGTGTACAAATGTACTGTTTGATCATGATGTAGTGTAGCTTTTGTCATAGCATGCCTAGCTTGCTAGGCAAAGCCTGAAATTTGTGGGGGACAATGGCCAATGGCAATGCATTGCAATATTGGACAGGTTGCCTTCCAGAATCCAGTATGAAATCAAACAGCTAACCTAGGCGTATCATCAATGATCAGTCATCATGTTGAAAATCTCATGAAACACAGGAAAACAAACAAACACACACACAAAATACTTTGAATAAAATTATTCTATCATTGAGTACATAGCCATACATAGATTAGCCAGCTGAACTCACGATCATGAAAGTTTTCTGCCTTCGTCAGTTTTCTACCTTCGACCCTCCTTAATGAAGACGCCCCCCCCCCATTTTTTTTTCATGCGATCAAGTAAGGTGAAGGAAGGGTGGAAATAAGAATCTACATGTACATGTAGGCCCTATGTCTTCAATGAGGGCATTCTCAGTTTAATTCTGGCTCATCTCATACTCATAGATCTGTGTGGCGCGGTTCCTGGAGCCCACTCAGAAGTCTAACTTTAGCTTGTCCCATTTACTGCGGCCCAAATCCTGCACTGGAGCCTTTTGGCCGCTGACTAAATGAGACAGGATCATTCAAGTTATTTCAAACATTATGGCACACTGTATCTTAGGGCGTGGCTGCTATTTTGGATAGCAGATAGTACGACATCTTCAGTTGCCCGACCTGGGTGATGATTAGATATGTTGCCTCAAATTTTCTGTTGAGGACATATTGTTTCGAAACCATAAACAAAGACATTACCATTACAATTGTATACATGTAGCCGTCAACATTTGACAGGCATGCAACTTTTCCTTGGATCCGCTGATTTCCTCATTTTTGACTTCTCATGAATGCCATTGAAAAATACTGTACAAAGTCTTGTGTGATTTGGAGTTTCCTGGTTTTTTTCTCTAAATTCCCAGTTGTGTGCCTGATTAACCCTAACCCCCTAGGCCCTTGTTGCTTACAACCATCCTCAATCCTCCAAAATCCTCCAAAATTGTTCAACTCCGCCTAAATTTTTCAAAATTGTCAGACAGTCCTGCCTCAAAATGCATTCATCCTCAATCCTCCAAAATCCTCCTCATCCCACAACTTTGCACTCGTGTTTAAATGAAGGATAACCAACACCAAATCCTTCAAAATCATCAGACAGTCCTGCCTCAAAATGCATTCATCCTCAATCCTCCAAAATCCTCTCGTGCTTCATTCACCATTCATCCTCAATCCTCCAAAATCCTCATGTGCTTCAATCACCATTCATCTTCAATCCTCCAGAATCCTCATTTGATTCAATCACCATTCATCCTCAATCCTCTAGAATCCTCCAAAACCGCCAGGAGGATTTTGGAGGAGTGAGGTGGGTTAGGGTGAGTAGCCCATCAAAATTGCCCTCAATAGTCTCCTCTCAAAAAGCCAGAACAGCAGACATGTACATGTGCATCTGAAGAATCTTATACAAAACTATATGCATACATGTAGTCAATGCATGTGCACACACATGTATTGAAAGGCATGCAGGACCAATCCTGTTTTAACCCTACATGTATTCCACAAAATGGTTTGCCACAACTTTACTGATTTCTCAAAAATATATCATATTCTGCGAGAATCCAACAGTTGATCGACTCTGCACAAAGGCAAAGGTCATTGATGCCCATGTATGTACTACAATTTGTACATGTAAACCATGGAGGTTTGGAAAACCTAACCCTACATGTAACTCTCTCTAGAGGCACTTTTTTTGCTGGGATGCAACCTCAATCCTGCAAAAGCCGCCAACTGCCTCCATGTAAAAATTGGATGCAGCGCGCGTCAATCTTGCAAAATCCTGCGTTATTTTTTTTTAAGCGGTCCGAGGGGTGACCACTGCCTCAATCCTGCAAAATCCTCCAGCAATCACTGTCAATATGTTGAGGCAGAGCCAGTGACATGCTGGAGCAGTGCGGAGGATTTCAAGTATAATCTTGGTCTAAATTTATGCACGGCTGATCATAAACAACACAAGGTCCGGCCCAAGACCTTGACACAGAGCATCCTCCGAAATCAGCCACACATTTTTTTGGCCATATAGCCTCAATCCTGCAAAATCCTCCAATTTGCAAAGAGGATTTTGGAGCTAGGATTTGGGAAGGTTAGGGTTAGGCCTGGAGGTTGGGTTCCTGGTGGATTTTGAAGGGTTTTGATGGCCAGGGGTTTATAAGACTGCATCACAGATGCATAAACTTTGTTTAACCTGTCATATCCTATGCCCTGATTATAATTCTAAAATTGCTACAGAAAAATGTGTATTTCTTAACCGAATTATGACAAATCTAGACCAGTTTGCAACCCAAACTGATGGGAAAAAGATGACGGGAAATCTTGTGAAAATGCGTGTTTTATAAAACATGTATTTCAACCCTTTACACGTGTATCAGGCATGCAACTTTTCCTCGGATCCGCTGATTTCGTCTTTTACTTCTCATGAATGCCATTACAGATTGAAAAACACAGTCTTGTATCGTTGTGAATTTCCTCGTTTTTTCCCCTAAATTTCCAGTTGCATGCCTGATGTATGTCCCAGTGGTATGTATACCAGCAACAGAAGCTATACTACACCCCAAGTTTCCTGCTTAAAAAGCAAGAAAATTTATTCCATATACCATACCATGCAGCAAATGGCACGGTTGCCATTGTAAATTATGGCACACAAAAAAGATGAACACTAAAATGGCCCCCCCCCCCAAAAAAAAAACAGTGCTTGTTTTTTTAGAGATAGCAGTGACTATAGACAACACCACAATACATAATAGTGTTGAAGGTCATACCTGAAGTACAATATGTACCTCTATATAGTCCCCATGCCTATAAGAATTACATTTGTGTACCAAAAGTTTAAAAGGTCACATACTGCAAAGCATTTAATTTCCTTTTCACTGCATGCCCCTGTGGCATTGAAAATATTCCTGATATGTACATGTACACAACACATACATGTACATCCTGTTTTATCATGCCCCTTTGTGTAGCATAGCCATGATATGCATCGTGTATCCCAGTACAAGCATCGTGCACACTTGAATTAATGTGCATTGGTGGGGTGCAGTTTTGATTGTTAGGCCAACAAAAAAAATATTCGGTCTCTGGTCAGACCAAAGTTCCGGAATTGACGCTGGGATGCGGCGGCTTTTTTTTTTTTTTTTGCTTTTTTTTTTTGTTCTTCAAGCTTGGATTGTACAGACAAGGTGGGGTACTATTTTGCTATTTGGTGTCCTCATGTACATTGGTGTCCTCCAAAATTTGCCTTGGTGCTCTCGATCATTTGCCTTGGTGCAATTTCCCATTCCTTGGTGCTCTTTGGTAAAAAAAAAACTGAGGAGGTGCGGCAATAGAGGGCGCTGTTGGAGCTACCGCGGAACATTTTGGAGAAAAAAAAAATTGACGCGCATGATTAAAATTGACGCGCGCCCTGACCAGAGACCGATTTTTTTTTTTTTGGCCTTGGGGGCAGTATATAATTTTAACATGCGTCAGTGGGGTGTTCTAGCCATCAGGCACACAAAAGCATGTCGGGCCAATCCAATTTAGAAAAAAAAATTATTTGAAATTCACAGAAACGCAATCGATTCCCACCATTTTATTTTTTTCATTATTACCCCAAAGGTGTCCCACAATTTGTCTCTTAATTAAAGGGAAGATACAACATTTGCAAACATCCAAAAACGAAATGATCAAATGATCACGAAATACCTTACTGGATTGTCAGAGAATGACAGTCTAAAGCATCCTTTAAAATCGTGGCTCCTGCAGTGTGTTGACATTTTCAAGAAAACTTGTATTTTTCCAACGCTGGTCGGCCGACCAGCGTTGGAGAAAACTAGCGTATTTTCAAAAACTGCTCCTACTTTTCATATTAAGTTATTCTGCGTTTTCTTTGCAATTGATTACACACCTGCGAAGGGGTACAAGCCTGCTAGACTGATTCTCTGACCTTACAATTCCCCAAAGTCTACAATTGCTCTGTTTCATCTTAAGTGGGGTCAGGGAATCAGACTACAAGAACATGATTGGTTTTCTTGGTTTTTCCTGCATCCACAAGCCCAAAATGTGAAACAAGTCAGCTTAACAATATTTGCTATAACATTCTAATCCTCCAAATCCATTTATTTCTGAAAATTGCAGCAAACGCAAATATTCCCTTTAATTCCCTCCTTCGACGAACCTTATTTTTTCTTATTTCCAGATATATTTATGGTTCACTGGTCAGCCAGCAACTACGTATATATTTTTCGTGATTGAGAAGTGAATTGAAACTGATGTCACCATGATGCTTTTACCTACGTAGCCGCCATACATGTATACCATTTGCAACAAGGTAGGTTTGGAATACACTCATAGTCTCCACTTTTTTTTATTAAATCCTGTTTTGAAAGTCGGCATTTCCGTTAATTCTTTATCTTAGGCCAAAAAAAAAAAGTCGCCGGTTTCTGGTATGGAGCTTGCCCAAAAAGTGGTGCGGCGATGCGGCCTTTTTTTTTTTACCTGTTTTTTTTGCTTCAAATGTCAGCTGATGACTGCAAGTGGTGCCCGACTAAACCTAGTGCAAATACATGTATATGGGAGTCCGGAGAGGCCACATAAAGCTTATTCTCGATCATAACCCCATCTAAAAACACGTTAAAATTGTGCAGCAGCAGGATTCCAGTCAAACCAGTCAGTTTGGCGGTTTTGAGACATCATCTTTTATTGAACAAAAAAACTTTTTCATTTTGCCGACGCGCATGGCTACAACGACGCGCGCGCATACCAGAAACCGGAGACTTTTTTTTTGGCCTTATCTATTTGCAAAAAAAACCCTTGAAATTGCAGTTTTATTATGAAACCCTCCTATTGCAAAACGTACATTCTCTGCCACGTTGTCCTGTCAGTCAAAATCAATCAAGTGACTGTTCTCAACAGTTAAGAGCTCCCAGCCTACATAAAGCAGGATTGACTGGCTGGGACTGTTTGTGTAAGTTGATACAGCTATGCTTTGACTGTAGACGATTGATAAGCCAGCTGTGCCTACCACCTGTCTAATTTTGTCTGTTGACTGAATTTGACTACTAGTCACAGTGCTTGTTTGAAATATGATCTGACTGTTGGTGACTAGCCTGTGTGAAAGGCATTGCAGGGGAAGAGGATTGAGTTTTTGACTGTCTGTGACTGTTCAGATAGCAGGAGGGTTAATGTACTTTGCTTCCTAATTTATAATATCACCAGATAATGTGTGCCTTATAAATTGTAATTTTTTTACCCAGAGTAAAACCAGGCGTTTAAGAAAACTTTTTTTCTTTAGGCCATGTATTCATAAAAGCTTGATCAAAGAAAAAAAGTTGCAGTTAATTTGGACTAAGGAAATACATGTACCATAAGAAGTTACCATAAACAACACTTTTTTAAAAGAAAAAATCGATAAAAATTGTAGTTCTTATTTTGGAACAGTGTTGTGTTCCAGTCCCTGCAAGTCCATCGCAAGTATTTCAGTCTGAAGTCAATTATGTCACTAGCTATTCAAATGAACTGCTACAAAAGCCTTCCTTTGTCATTGTTCGTCCAGTTACTTGTGACTGGACTTGTGAAAGGACTTGTGAAGGGACTTGTGATAGACTCAAATTTAACACTTTTGCAGGGTTTTTGCCGTGCGTAACTTGAGTTGTCCTTTTCCCCACCAGGTCCAGCAGTAGGCCATGGATGATGGTCGATGCTTACTGGACGTTATTGGGTAAGTCTTTGTGGTTGTCAACCCCCCCCCCCCCCAAAAAAAAGTTTCCAGATAATCGATCTGACATCTGAAGGTCACAAATAGTTTGGTATTTGAGCCTTTCTGGACTCCTTCCAAAATGCATTAATTGATATCCATTAAATTTGTATAGGGGTGTTCCTGTGATACACAAATAAGCACCCTCCAAATCACTCTATTGGCAATCTTTGCATCCTCCAATGCACTCAATGTGTCCGGCTGTCTGAGGAAAAAATTTGCAGTTAGTTAGGCCAAAAAAAAAATATGTCGGTCTCCGGTCAGCGCGCGCGTCGATTTTAATCATGCGCGACAATCTTCTTTTTTTTCCAAAATGTTCCACGGTAGCTCAAACAGCGCCCTCTATTTCCGCACCTCCTCATTTTTTTTTTTACCAAAGAGCACCAAGGAATGGGAAATAGCACCAAGGCAAATGATTGAAAGCACCAAGGCAAATTATGGAGGACACCAATGTACATGAGGACACCAAAAAAGCAAAATAGTACCCACCTTGTCTGTACAATCCAAGCTTGAAGAAAAAAAAAAAGAAGCCGCGTGGCCGCGTCAATTCCGGATCTTTGGTCTGACCAGAGACCGAATATTTTTTGTTTTGGCCTTACATGGGTGACTGCTTTTCTGGCTCTGCCTTCCTCAAAACCAGTAAAAGCAATTCTGGATTTAGAAAGATCTTAGAGGAAGGAAAGCGAAAGTATGTTCCATTTTTGGAGCCTTTTGGTCAGTGCAAGAAGTCGTTAACGGGATCATGTGAATTATATTCCATACCTTGACCCCTCCACTTGACTCTTGCTAGATCAAGGAACAAGGAGCTGTTTGAACCCCTGCTGCTGTTTTGGTGTGGTAGGGGTATAGAAGCTTCTTACAAACAGAAATTTGGTATTCTAACTGACAGGTTGTAACAATACAAGGTCCTGCCCAAGACCTTGACTAAGTGCATTCTCAAAAATAAGCCAAGCTATATTGCCATATAGCCTCAATCTTGCAAAATCCTCCATGTTGCAAAGAGGATTGTGGCTTACAGTGTCCATGTGTTCTACTGATAGGGTACAGTGACTCGGCCATATGTCCAGAAATGCCCAAATCGGAGAAGGCCTTAGTTGCATAAAGAAAGAAATAATTTCTTAATTACCTGTTTCTTGATGATCCGTTTGATTGCAGTGACCCTATTGCCCTGGATGAGTTTTTGCAGAATGAAAGCAGACAGCAGCAGCAGCAGCTGCAGCTGAACCTGTATAACGATGCGACAGACAACGAACAGGTACTGCACACTTGTCCCCAACAATTCTATCATTCAAGCCATGATTTTTTTTAATGTTGTCAACACGTAACTAGTTTTTCCTGAAGGAAACATCAAAACGTTTGAATATGCGATGTACCATGTAGTATGCATTTACCCGTACAACACATTTATTTATTGATTTTTGTGACGCCTAAATTAAATTTTTGGAGACACCTACCAGTCCTAAATTATGTAAGTCCGTACTGACCAGGACCACTTGTGGGGTACTGGTACAAAGGGAGCGATACCCCACAAGTGAAATTTTTAGAAAAACGGTACCCCACAAGTGAAATCTTTAGAAATAATGATAAAAGGACAGCAATGCTCCTACCCTACAAGTCCTTTCCGTGATAGCATCCGTACACACCAGAGCTTCTTTTGGGGTACTCGTACAAAGGGAACGGTACCCCACCAGTGAAATCTTTGGAAAGACGGCATCCCACACGTGAAATCTTTATCACTGTATGTCTTGAATGTGTTTCTCCTTCAGAATAACTTTCCATCTAGCCATCAACTCCTCTCGCCAACTGACCTGATCTTGCCTCAGAGTGGCCCTCAACCAAGCTACCAGCAAACATCAGTTTCGACCTCTCACGAGCTTGATCTTCAAGCCGTATCAAGTACAACTCATGGTGACGATCTCGCCGGGACAGACAGTTCAACCAAGCAGAATGTTGCGGGAGCTAGCAATTACGACCCCAGAACAGGGGCACAAACGCAGTTTGTTCAGTTGCTGCAGAGCTCACAAGTTCAGGTTGCACAATCCTCTGTCGGTTCAAGTGCAATCCCAGTAGCCACCATCAAGCCATATGCTGAGACACCACCGTTACAGGTTCTGAACAGTGGTTCCAATGCGACAGGCGCTGTTGTTGAAGACTCTACAGCCCAGAGGGCCCTACAGGGACAGGCTGTCAGCCAAGTCCAGGAACAGCCGGTCAAGGCAGCCCCTGCAGCAGCTCAGACCCCTGGGAGCACCTTGCACTACCTCGCCCCGAACTCCACAATCATCGCCAGAAATGCTGCTGGTCAACCTGTCACACTCTCTAGCACAATGCTACAGGCTGTGCAAAGCATGACCCAGTCACTGGGACAGAATCAGGCAGTGGGACAACCCATCCAGATCATACCGAGCAACCAGATCATACAGCAAGGCGGTGCTCTCCCTTCGGGAAGGGTCATGACCTTAGGTCAGGTCATCATCGGAGGAGCCGCTGGTCAGCAAATTACTTTAGTCCAAGCCCCTCCAAAAGCCGCACCCAAAGTACCTGCCATGCAGACCATCATAGCCGCACCCCAGGTCATCAAAGGCCCCGCCAACATACAGCCCAAGCCCGCTGGTGGAACCACAACAAAGACTCCAATCTCTATCAGACCGGTGCAAATTTCGATTCCCACCCAGGCCCTACAGGCTGGTACAGTTCCCCAGAATTATCAGATCATCACTCACCCGACCCTGGGGCAACCTGTCATGGTCTCTACAGCGAGCCAAGACCAGACCCAACAACCACAGGTGGTCCCGCAGTTGCTGCAGCCAGCAGCAGCAACTCAACAGGAGAATAACAACAGTTCCACACAGCAAACAAGTTTCCGCTTGGTGCAGCACCCAACTTCGGGTCAAATTCTACAGATTCCTGCGCAGGCTGTTCAACAAGGTACTTCAAGCACCCCACAGCAGCAGCAGCAGAGCTTTAGAGTAGTTCAACAGCAGTCAACAGGTCAGCCACTCCAAGTTGCAGCAGCACACCCGGATGGCAACACTCCAGTTCAGCAGACCTATCAAATTGTTAACCAACCCACAACAGGACAGGCAAGTGCCTTGACGAAGACCCTTGCCCATTCACAAGGAACTGTGACATCACAAACTGGGATTATTATGCCTCAGCAGGCTGTTGTGCTCCAGAATCAGACTGTCCTAACAAACAGCGGGACCTCCCAAAAAGTGCATCCAGTCATTACCATAGGTACAAGCCAAGGAAACATCATTGTGATGACACAGTCACAGCCAGTTGCCTCCACAACCACAACGCAGTCTGGAAATGAGGTCGCACCAGAACCTGCCATTAGTGAGAGCCAGACTGAGTCAGCAAGTAGCAAGACAAAGAAGCCCTCGCGACCTTCGAAGAAGAAGAAAACAAGCACAGACATAGCCCCTAAGACAGGCGTAGTGGAGAAGGCATCCCCACTACAAACGTCAGCGCAGGCAATCCAGCGGGTTCCAACGCATCAGAATCCAGCCACAGTTGTCTTGCAGACAGATTTCACCATCACTCCGAATGCGCAGGGTATACCAACAATGACTGTCAGTCAAGCTGGCAGTCAAGCTGGCAGTCAGTTATCCGTGGCTCCTCAAGTCACTCAGTCCGTGTATCAGGTGAGCCATAACTCGGTGTCGGTCCAGCAGAAGCAAGCAGATTCCAAGGCACAGGCCTTGCTGGATGCTGATCAGCAGCAGTTTCAGCTCTACCAGAAGGTGTTGAAGTTGCAGCAGGAGAAGCAGCAAGCCCAACAGGTTCAACAACAGCAGCAACAGGCAGGGCAGCAAGTTCAGCCGGCCAGCCAATCAATCGGGCAGGTGTCTCAAGGAGCTCAGCAGGCACTACAGCAAGCACTACGACTGTCACAGCAGCAAGCACAGCAGCAAGCACAGCTCTCAGCTCAGCAGGCACAGCTTAAGGCGCAGCTGGCACTCCACCAAGCACCGACAGGGCAGCAACTTTTAAAGTCTGCACCAGGACAATCAATGCGACAGGAGCAACAGCAGCAGCAACAGCAGCAGCAAGGGAATCTGACTGCAAATCAGCAACAAGCTCAGCAAACTGTTGAACAGGTCCTGCACAGCTCCCAAATGGCATACACATCACAGCAACAGCTTCTTTCGATGAGTTCGCAAGGTTTGCAGTTACAGACGTCACAGGCACCATTGAGTCAGCCGCAGACGTCGCAGGCACCATTGAGTCAGCCACAGACGTCACAGTCCTCCAAGCCAAGTCCAGACCAACAGGCACAATTACAACAGCAACAACAGCCATTGCAGCAGCCAAAATCAGGGTCACGGCAAATGACTTTTGGGCAAGCCCTGCAGGCCCTCATCAACCAAAGCGGTAAGGGGCAGCAGATCACATCCCAACAGCAACTGCAGCAGTTCATTCAGGCTAATCCACAGATAGTAAAACAACTACAAGTGATCCTTCAGCAACAGAAGCAGCAGCAGCAACAACAACAGCAGCTGCAACTACAGCAAGATAGTCAAAGTGCACAGGACTCCCTGCTCCAAGCCTCACAAAGTCAGTCAGGTGATCCACAAGCATTAAATAATGCCTCAACAGCCCAGCAAAGCCAGGGGACATCTCAACTTGGAAACATTAACAACAACAGTGATCAATCTCTCAATCAAACTCAAATCCAACCATCCTCTGAGCAAGGGTTCCAAGTCTTGCAACAGACAAGAGTTAACACTGTTCCACAACAACAGATAGTCAACTCTCAAGGACAGCGACCATTTGGAGGGCTTGGCTCAGCAGCCATACATCTGGCAAGAATGCGCCAGCAAAAGATTCAACAGCAGCAGCAGCAGCTGCAACTTCAGCAGCAACAACAAAGCAGTACATTGTCCCTAGACCAACAAATGGCAGTCGGGAGTGCCAACTCCCAGCAGACCTTTCCCCAGAGTCAGGCGCAACAGCAAATCTCACAGGTTACACCGGGCCAACAATCTAACCTGGAGAAGCAGGACCTAGCTCTGGGTCAGCTTGCCAGCGTGGTTCAGACTCCACAGAGCCTGGATCAGGCATCACAAGGAAGCCTCCAAGTCTCACAAGGAAACATATTCCAGATTGGGTCTCAAAGTGCAACCAGTGCCCCTGCGCCTCAAATGACAGTCCATCAACAGCTGCAGCAGCAGAGACAGTTGAGTGCTGCCACTGCGGCTGCCACACTGCAAGCGCAGCAAGCACAGACTGGAGTCAACCAGGCATCCCAGGGTGGCCATTCCCAGTTGCTGGTAAATGCACCTGCAGGTAGTCAACAGTTGCAGAGTGTAGAGCAAGGAGCCAAAAATGCTGCTCAACAAGGGGTGCAGGTGCAACAGCAAGGCCTGCAACAGCAGCAGCAAGGGATGTTGGTGCAGCAAGGTGGTCACCAGCAGGAAGGGATACAAGTGCAACAACAAGGGGTGCTGCAGCAACAGCAAGGGATGCAGGTGCAGACAAATGTACAGCTGCAAGGTGTCAGCCAGCAACAACAGCAGCAGGTGCAGCAAGGAGTACAGATGCAACAGCAGCCACAAGGCGGGCAGCAAGGCAGCTCATCAGGAATCTCCCAGTTGGTAAGTTCTCCAATGCATGGCTTCTTTTACAAATTCATCCTTTTTGTTGGAATCCAAAGCCTAAAAATTGAAATTCTTGCAGGCTTTCGCAATACTGTGATCCCTGGGTTCCTTAGGAGCTCCTGGGTATTGGTCCCTGGGTACTGTAGTGAAAATGGTTTCACTGCACATCACCCCTCCCCCTTTTCAATATAAATTGTATGACAGGTTATGTGTTTGGGAGGATGTCTTAACATATTTGTGCTAAGCACTTTAGATATATGAGACCAAAGACAAGTTCGTTTAGAACTTACAGCAGGACTGTTCTTATCAGAACAACAACAAAAAAACTACTTAGCAAAGTTGATAATAAGCAGGACAAGTTCTTTTCAGAACTAATATCTTCCAAGTAGTAGTTATTACCACATGGTGTTACCGCAAACCGAAACGATACCGATACCCCACCATGCAAAGCCTCAAATCTTATATCACTTTAGATATACATCAGTTATCATCGTGACTGTCACCTGAAAATATGTAACATGCAGATCTGAAGGTCTAGCAGCACCAGGAAAGTGGTCCCTGGATACCAAGATATAAATGGTTCACTCCCTCTGCCCATTTTATGACTGTTATTTCTCCCCCTTCTGTCTGCCTGAATCGTGCAGTCAAGCTCCACCGCCAACACCCGGCAGCAGGTCATCCAGCAGATCAGCATCCAGACCCAGAAGCAGCTGCAGGTCATCCAGAGCCACATCCGGCAGGTCAGCGCCATTGTCAACCCCACGGAGCAACAGAAGAACATGCTGGCCCAGCTGCAGTCGCTGCAGCAGAAGATAGTGCAGCAGGCGCGCCAGCAGCTGGCCCAGTACCTGGCCTCGGGAGGTGAGTGCCGTCGATCTGGGGCCGACTCAATTCTGCTAAGCACGGAAGACATTTGCTTAGCGAAAACAGGTCACCAGCCAAAGTCTCATTGCATGTTCGTTGCTGTTGACTGGTACTCTCCCATGTAAGGCAAAAGTTTTCTAACTGTATCAGTTTATTATTGTATGATGGAATTTTGTGCCTGGGAGCTTCAAATTTAAAAAGGACTTTCGCACTTCTTCTTTCTGCCCTAATAGATAATACAATGCCGCCAAAATATAACCAGAATTAAAATGGCAGGGTATCCTAGGAATTGCCTTTCCATTCCCTTCTGTTGTTGGTAAAGAATTTGTGAAACAAATTATGAATTGGCTGTTTGGACTCTGTTCATAAGTACCTCCTGACTGGTAATATGTAGCCTGATCGTTGTATCCAGAAACCGTTTGGTATTGTTTGCCTTTTTTTTCATGCTGGAGTACATATATGCGTAGATTTTATGAATAGTAAGCAATATATGTGATGCGATCAAGCTAAATGAGTCGTTTGTCGAACCTGGTCAAATTTTTGCTGATACCATCTTTAGTTCAAAAATTATGGAAGTCGGAACAACAAGACGTGATTAAGTGATGTGATGAAGTGGCTCTATTTTGGCCTGTATCTCCAAATAAAAATTCCCGACACACGACTCCTGTAGCTTGATCGCATCACATATGTGAACCCTAAAAGTAAAAAAAAAAATATGGTTCGTTTTCCCCCAGGGTCGCGGCAACAGAAGTCTGTCTCGGCATCCCAGTTGGTGACGGCTGCCACCCCATCGTCCCAGCAGTCCCAGGTTTTAAGCCAGTCCACCCCTGCCTTCTCCTCAGCTCAGCAGCAGTCTGCAGCAGCGGGATCCAGCCAAGTCCTGTCTCAATCCCTCGGTGGTAAAGACACGCTGCAACAGCAGCAACAGCAGCAGCAGTTGGCCTCAGCTGTTGCAACAGCGGCAGCGATACAAGCCTCGCCACAGGTAAGGGACCGTGACCATTCAGCCCCGGTATGAAAAGGGCCCCCCGGTAAGCTCGTCCCCTCCCAAGAAGTCCTTTCGTACCGTCCCAGCTACCGGCCCAGGAGCTGGTCCGGTTGCTAATCAGGAACTCCTCTATCCTGGGGTCTATTGTTTGCAAGTATTGACACATGTAATATATCCCAGAAGAAACCTGCTTGTGGTTTTCATCTCTCAGCGCGAAACAATAGAACACTTTCGTCGGCACAGATCAAAACCCCTGCCATGCGGTTTCGCGCACAATGGGGCCGTAAATTAAAAAGGCGTTTGGAAGGATTTTATCTTTAATCCGGTAAATCTGCTTTTGTTCTGCCTTGGACGTTCTCTGAAGGGCAATAAATTGATGCACCTGACTGACTTCAAAACTTCTGGTCAGACAGGACCATGTACCGGACGAGACTGGGCTGAAGACCGGACTGGCTCTGGACCGGACGAGGTACCGGGGGCCCTTTTCATACCAGGGCTGAATGGTCACGGTCCCTAATGGGGGTCTTGGAATGCAACTTGCTTTCATGGGTTAGGCTGTTTATCCCATGTTTTTTTCATTCTGTTTGGATTTTTGTTGTTTGCAGCTGCATAAGAGTTGTGAGGCCTAGTGGCTAGGGTTTTGTAAATCCCGATCAGAGGGTCAGGGGTTGAAATGCGATGCCTGCCGCATGTTGTGTCCTTGGGCACGCCACTTCACCAAAGTTTCCTCTCTCCGTCTCCGAGTAAAAATATATACCAGAATTAGCTGGGGAGTAACCTTGCATCCCATTCAGGGAAATGGTAAAAGTCTCAGTTGTTTCATACCAAGGAAGCCGAAGAAATAAAACACCTGATATAGCAACAATGACGTATGCATGGTACAGTCAACTCTCATTAGTACAAACACTGTTAATACAAATTCTGGTTATAACAAACAATAAGCCTTGGTCCCGACTGCATTTTTGTGCACAATGAATGGGACTGATGTTCCTCTTAGACAAACATTAACGAGAGTCGACTGTATTTGCAGAAGTATTGGTTCAAGGAAGTCTTACTTTCTTGCAGGATATGACATGTCACATTATTGTTTATTTCTGGTAATGAAACCAAGGAATCCTTAAAAGCGCCCCAGGCACTGTAGCTCGCAAGCCTGAAAAAACCTGTAGAGAGGAGACAATGAGTAGAAACTACAGTTTTAGAGGGTGGGAGGAAAATATCAGAAGAACATTCTGGGGAAAACCCACGGAATCAGGTAGGGACTGAAAACCCAATCCACATGTTGGCTCAGGTGGGATTCGAACCCGGGTCACAGTGGTTGAAGGCGAGGAAAGTACCGGTACGCCAACCTGACTCCCCACGCCAACCTTACTCGACAAATGGTACATGGGTTTGTCCAAAATCTGTCAAAATAAATGTGTCATGTTTTTGTTGCACTGATTGAGAAAAATTGAGCAGCAGCAGGGATAAAATGCTGGCTCAAACCAAACAAAACCTGAACATTTTGTTGTCTTTCATCATCAAAATATTCCGACTTTGGCATGTTATGTTTGGGTTGTCAGGGAGCAGCCCAGGCAGGTGGTCCAACCACCAAGCAGCAGCTGATGGTCAAACAGTTGCAGGAGCACCTCAAGAAGATGACGCCAGAGCAGCTGCAGCAGTTTTCCAAGCATCACCAGACGCTGCTGCTCAAGATGCAAGCACAGGTATGCGTTTGGACTTTGGAAGGCACAATTGCAGAATACCCCGCAACTCGATCTATCCACCTCGTAGCCGGCTACAGAGTCATGGTTGATTGCCCTCAAAAAGCCTTCTCAGTGCTACCTGCGTGTACACGCATCACGCTGCACTGCACTCCCACTCCGTATCCGCGTAGCCGGCAACGGGGTAGTTAATTTGGACTTGGAATTTTTTCAGCAACCCCCACTCATTTTGTATTGCTTCTTAACCCCTTGACGCCGGGGAGCGGGCATAGCCGCCAACCCACTTTCCACAAATCCTCACTGGTATGCGTGTGAGCAGTGCTTGTGCTGCGTTCGCCCCACAGATGGTAGCGGACAAAGGCCGCTGTGCAGTCATGCGTGTTAGCCGGGCATTTAAAACCCATCCGCAAAGGGTTAAGGGGATTGGCATTCAGTATCCATGTAGCCGGCAAAAGGGTAGTTAATTTGGACAGCGATTCCAACCGTGTAGCCAGATGATTTTAGGGGTGAATTTCCAAGCGGCGGGGTATTCTGCAACTACTCCCTTTCGAATGCTGTGCAGTGTCCCTTTTTCCAATATCCTTAGAAGTAATACAGTAGAGCACGCCACTCTAACAATCACTGCAATACTGAACATTTGGCTGTTACGAACATACCCTTTCGCCTCAAACTTTAGTGTATTTTTTTTTTTTTTTTTTTGGAGCCCTAGCAGCCGATCTCGCTGTAATGGGCTAAGTTCGGGCAAGGACCATTGGTCGACTAGTGGTTGATTTGTGACGTACCTTACGCCTGCGCACTGATAGCAACGTGCGAACGTCTCTAGTCAAACGCTGGTCAAAATGTCATCGCTAAACTTCTGGATCTTGGCTCTCTGCTAGCGTTATGAATGTACGCGGCTATTGGTTACCAGCAACGCAACCAGCCCCAGTAGGTTGGTTCCAAATAGTCAACTAGCGTAGTCGACCACCATCGTCGAAACGGCGTTCGGGCAAGCGTTAGTCGAACTATGGTTAACCATTGGTCAACTATAGTCCTTGCGCGAACTTGGCCATGGATGACCACTATATGAAACAATCTATTGTGGACCTCATGGAGTGGGTTCTTGATACCCACTGATATTTTGTCTTCTGTTTACAGGGAAGGATGAGTGGCAACCAGCCACAGCTGCAGCAGATCACCCAAAAGGTCATCACGAGCAGCCCGGCAAAGGTACGGGACTTTTGTTACGTTCGTTGTGTAACAGCGCCCTCGGTGGTTTAAAACGGGAAATGTGAACTCGTTAAGTGAAGGCATTCGGCCCCACTTTTCTGTTGGAACCCTCTGATTGAGTGTGTGCGCATTCGGTTGAACATTGTTTGTGAATAGTGCGCACCATTTGCTCCCATGACCAACACATCCCAGTCTGCACAAATAGGTCATATGACAATCTATGCAGTTTAGCTTTTCCTTGCATCAGCTGATTTAATAATAATAATAATAATAATAACTGGATTTATAGAGCGCCAAATTGCCAAAGGATACAAGGCGCTGAAACAAAGAAAGAAAGAACTACAGAAAGAACAACAGAAAAACAACAAGGGCGTACGACCAGCTATGGTGTGGGGGAAAAAAATGGGTTTTGAGAGCCTTCTTGAAGGTTGGCACAGTATCGGAGTTTCTGATAGGGATGGGTAGACTATTCCACAATCGGGGAGCAGCAATAGAGAAGGCCCGATCACCTGCGAGTTTATTTGTCCTCTGGACAACAAGAGATTGCCCATGAGAAGAGCGAAGGGAGTGAGACCCGGTTCGAATTGAGAGAAGAGAAGAGAGGTAATCAGGGGCAGAGGAGTTGAGAGATTTGTAAGTGTGGACCATAGTACAGAATTGAATGCGTTGTGCAACTGGACGCCAGTGTAACTGGTTAAGAAGGGGAGATATATGTGTGTAAATGGGCATCTGGAAAATGAGCCTAGCACATCTGTTTTGAAGCCGTTGAAGACGAGAAAGATCTTTCTTTGAGATACCGTTAAGTAAGCAGCAGCCGTAGTCTAATTTCGAGAGAAATAAGGCGCGGACTGCGCCTTATTTCCTCATTTTTCTTTTGAAGTCATTTTAAAGTGAGGAAAAAATGTTGGGGAACTTTCTTTTCTTTTTGTGTGTGTGACTTCCTAGTTGTAGTCTGACAGTTGTAGGCGGGGCCCATTACTCAAAAAAAGATAAACCCTAACCTCTAGGCTATTTTGAATAAAAACCCTGCTGAATGCAGCAACATGCAACACTTGTCAAATATGACAAGCTTGCCCGGTGTAGCAAGATCCATCAGATCACAAATCTCCAGGCCAAACGGCCTCAGAGTCTGCGGTCACCAAATGCAGCAGGATACAACTGTGGCATTGTTCAATGGGCCTAGCTCTCATTGTCTCAGAATTGGCCGTTTATGCCCTGGTGTTGGTGGCTCAATGCAGCAAGGTCCCACGGACCTTTACACTTGATGCAGTGTGTTGCGTCTGGCAGGGTTAGGGTTAACGATTCTCCCGTTTGTTCCTTGTACCGATAAAGATTTTAACTTTGAACTTTTGTTTCGTTTGTGATTTGCAGAAGAACATCGCCATCAAGCCGGCAATCATGTCCCAGCCGGTCGCCCCCAGGGAGTCCCCCAAGGAGATCCTCCCTAAGCAGGAGAAGGAGAAACACAAACACAAGTCCAAGCACAAAGACAAGGACAAGGAGAAAGACAAAGATAAGGACAAAGAAAAGGACAAAGAAAAGGAAAAGGACAAACTATTCAAAAAACCAAAAGCCACCCCGTAAGTGCTCACCTTTTATTTATTTATTTTTTTTGTTCGCCTCGATTTTGTCAAAATCTTGCGCCTGGTTTTTGATGGAGTTTGATGGATCCATGCTGTCGTGCTATATCACAAAGGCAGTGTCTCAAAATTTTGTTAAAAGGTGCCCCAATTTTTTCAAATTTTGTTGGATGTTCCTTGCAAAAATGTCGCGCCACAAACAGTTGGTGTACTACTTAATCTGTGAAGGAATCCCCATCATAATCCAGTGCTTTGTCTTGTGCGAGCTCCCTAGATATCAGACTCCATCACTGTTGATTGTGGCGTAGCAAGTGGGGGTTTTGGGGGGGGTTGAAACTCATACCCTCCTCCTCCCTTCCATGAATAAAACAAAAAAGGGGAAGGGGGAAAAAGGGAGGGGTAGCCACGCATTTTATCAACATGCTGAACATGCTCTCTGCACTCGGCCCGTTTGGGAATGTTGTCCGGCATATTGAACAAGTTTTCGGGAGAAAATTGTAAAAAAAAAAAATTAAAAATGTTTTAAAAACCAACAAAATAATTTCTCGATATGCCACCAACTGTTGATGAATGCCGTCTCTCTTAATCGTGTGCGGGATGCACAACTGAAGAATTTGACGGCCTTGTGGTAGCTCAGTCCATCACAGGCTGACAAGTGATGGACTCAACAAAATTAACACTAACCGCCCTGAATCCTTCAAAATCCTCTTTGCCAAAGTGGAGGAATTTGGAGGATTGAGGTTACATGGCAAAAGTGCATTACTGATTTCGTAGGATGCACTTTGTCATGGTCTTGGGCTGGACCTTGTGCTGTTTTTGCTCAGCCATGCATAAATATAGGCCTGGATTATGCTTCAAATCCTCCGCACTGCTCCAGGATGTCACTGGCCAAGCCTCAAAATATTGACAGTCACTGCCGCAGGATTTTGCAGGATTCAGGCAGTGGTCACCCCTCCACGGACCATATTCAAGAAATAATGGAGGAATTTGCAGGATTGAAGCCGTATGCTATTTTTCAATGAGGCCAATTGAAGGATTTTGCAGGATTAAGGCTACATCCTAGCTAAAATTAAGGCATAGGGAGTAAGGGTTAAAATGAAAAAAATGTTTTAAACTTATATAGTGCTTTCCATTGTATCAACAATCTCAAAGCGCTGTACAATTCATCAGGCCATGAGACCACGTGGCAGCCAACATCAGTGCACATTCGGTCTCTACCCTCACAGTACCCATTCATACTCTTAGGTGAGAGAGGCAAATGTAGTTAAGTGTCTTGCCCAAGGGCACAAACACCATGTTCCTGGCAGGGTTCGAACCCACGTACCATCGTACATGATCCAAACCATTAGACCATGGCATTCAGCACCGGTTTGACTGGTGAAACAGAGGTGTTGCGAAAATCCAAACGATCTTTGCTCTTCCTCTTTCAGCGTTGCCAAGCAGCTGGCCCAGGACCAGGCCAGCGTGGAGAGGACCGACACCAAGAGACCCTTCACCGTCCCCAGCAAAGCCATCAAGAGACTGCTGCCGTTCCACTTGTTCCAGGACAACACCGCCACCGACAAGCAGCTTGCCACAAGTGAGTTCCCTGCGCCTGTTGGTGTCTTGAAGCTGCGTCCCGGATCTAGGTTCCTGGGCCCTGAGTGGATTAATACTTACAAATTGATGGTCTCCTGAATTGCACAGAAACTCTCAAGGTTTTCCCTCTTTGTAGGAAGTCAATATTCAGAGCAATATGTAAAACCCTTGAAAAACCAGGTCAATTTCAGGTGAAGGGATATGAAGTGTTACACAGAGAGTCACTGCATAAAAAAACAGCACTGGTTGCCTTGAGCTTAATCACGACACAAAAGGATTGTGCAGAGTTTTGAAGTACATGTATTATCCATACTCCACAGAGGTTTACTCCTCAAAGAAATTTTAAGTGGGGGTGGTAACTCTATGGGCACAAGTGGTTTTGCAAGACTTGGAAGGGTTGTGAAGTGCAGAAGACGAGGAGGTTTAAAGGGAATATACAACATTTGCAAACATTGAAAAATAAAACTACCAAGTTTTTACGAAATACCTTACTAAGATGTTGGTAGATGACAGTCTCAAGCATCCTGTAAAATTATGGCACCTGGTGTTAAGTCATTTTCAAGAAAATGGTATGTGTGTAAACATTTCCAACGGTGGTCGGCCGACCAGCGTTGGAAAAACCTAACTATTTTTCAACTACTGCTCCAAATTTACCATTTTTTCAGTCTAAATTTTGTTTGCTATTGGTTACATGTTCCGATGAACGGGTGCAGGCCAGCTAGACTGGTTCCCTTACCTTACAATTTTCCATCATCTATAAATTGATCCATTTTATCTTTTGTGGAGTCAGGGAACCAGACTACTTGAACATTTTTGTTTTTCTTGGTTTTTCCAACCTTTTCGAACCCAAAACTTCAAAAATGTCAGTGTAACAATATTTGATCTATTATACTAACCCCTCAAATAGTTCATTTCTGAAAATTACAGCAAAAGCCAATGATGTACATTCCCTTTAATTTACTCTTAGACCCCCAAAACCCAAACATGAAATACGACATACAAATGTAGAATCCATCGGTGACGCCACAACCCAATAAGGAAAGATCAATTGTTGTGAATAAAGGTAACATACAACATTTGCTTTTGCTGTAATTTTCAGAAATTGGTGGATTTGGGGGTTAGTATTTTATAGCAAATATTGTTACAACTGACCTGTTGAAAGTTTTGTGTCCATAGATGCTGGGGGAAAAAAAGAAACAAATTTTGTTCTTGTAGTCTGGTTCCCTGACCCTACTTCAGACAAATTGAGCAATTTATAGATGTTGGGGAATTGTCAGCTTGGGGAACCAGACCATCTATCTTGCACCCATTCATGGATGTGTAACCAATGGATTAAAAAAAATTGGTTGACAGTTGATTTGGGGACAGGGTTTTTTTTTCAGTCAAGTATTAAAGGTATTTCTTAATTTTTTTGATGTAATATCACCTTTAAAACTCGCTTTCTTCTTGTGGCCTGACAGCTGACGAAATTTTTGAAGCCAAATGCATCGGCTTGATGGAGAAGAAACAGCGAATGCTCAGCAAGTACCAGCTGCTGCTCTACAACGAGAGCATGGTGAGTGGAGCCTGCAGAAAATATAAATCAATCCATGTCTGTATATTGTGTGGTTGATCCTCAACTTTCATAATGGCAATTCCACGGTTACTCACGTTACATTTTTGATGTACTTTTGAGTTTCCTTAGGCTGTAATTACCTTACTGAAAAGGTTTAATAGCTGTTATCCCCATGGTAGATAGAGTAGACCTAGACCTACCTAAGCACCAAAGATGACATCCAGAAAAATGTGCTATGTATGATAAACAAGACGCACAAAATCAGTTACTCACGTTACGAAAATGTAACGTGAGTAACCGTGGAATTGTCCATAACTGTCTGGGTTCAAAATCATCGTCCAGTGAGTGTGATTTGTGTATGCACATGCGATGGGCTGTAGCATTGGACAGAAACTGAGAGGCGTTGAGCTCAAAATACTTTATGGATCCAGATTTCACACCTAAAGGTTCATTGTTTGAAAGATGCTAAGCAACAAAGAGGAACTCACTGGTTGGCGTTGTGCCTGTAGTGAGCAGGAATCCACTGTGTAGAATTTGTACACTTTAAACCTTTTTAAAGGTATAGTCCATCGTTTGTAATTTGTGCATTTTGTTCGTTTGAAGCAACAAAAGTGCTCAAGATCTAAAGAGGGGTGCTGAACAACTAACCTGAAGAAGTTTCAGCTCAGCTTTAGCTGTACATTTCAAGAAAATCAATATTCCAGGATCTCGATTTCAAATCAAAAGTTGCAGAATCATGCTTTGAATTGGGCCTGAATTCAGCGTCCGAGACACGTTCTCGCTGAGCGGATTGCAGCTGCGCGATGTCGCGCACTGATCCGACAAATTAAAGCAACCGCCCGCGCGCGCTTCGCAGAATACCAAAACGAACTACTAATTTGAATTTCCTATGGTGCTTCTTAAGAAGCGCCATTGAAAAGGCCTTCTTTTGTTGATTTCTTCAAAATGACAGCTTGCCAGAAAGAATAATTTCACAGGGAGTTTAGTCCCCTTACTGTCTTTCAATCAAGTATGTTTTTCAACAATAATTACGCCAGTTTCTTTTTGGATAGCTGCAAATGATGGACTCTGACTTTAAGTATTCTTCTGAGATGTTTATTCCAATGCCACTATAAGGCATAATGGATAATTTATATAGCGCTTTTAACTCTTTCAGTGCCCGCGAAATTTGAAAAGTTTAACCCTGAAGTGCCCAACTTTGAGCGTTTTTTTAATTGTTCAAAATTCTGTAAAAAAAAAAAGTTAATAAGTTTTACTCACCAAATTCGTTGTCGTTTCTCTCTGGTATATCCTTGGTATATTGAAAAGTCAACAGAAGTCACGTACATAGTGATACACCCTGAAACACTGTCCTGCACACAGGGAAATTCCGCACTTTTTGCAGAAAATACGAGTGTCAGTGCTGTGCCCTCTCGCAAGAACTCAAATGAAACAAATAAATACCTGAATGAAAATGATATTATTAGAAAGAGCAAGAGCGCCCCCTTGTGATAGCATGCTTACTCTACCTCGTACATGTACGAGGTTTGGTGATTTTAAGTACGAACATTACCTCGTACATGTACGAGGTTCGTACATGTACGACTTTGGCACTGAAAGAGTTAACTGGTATCAAAGTGCTTTACATATGTGATGCGATCAAGCTAAATGAGTCGTTTTTTTTATCCTGATCATTTTTTTTTTAATGGATTTGAAAAGAGCACAATTACAGGATTACTGTTGTGAAAACCACATGCTGATACCATCTTGAGTTCAAAAATTCTGGAAGTCGGAACACCAAAAGATGTGATGAAGTGATGTGATGAAGTGGCCCTATTTTGGCCTGTATCTCCAAATAAAAGTTCCCGACAAACGACTCATTTAGCTTGATCGCATCGCATATATTGAAATGGTGTGACATGTGCCACAGTGAGCCCCATGTTGGAAAGTTACAGTTGCTTGGCAGGATAGTCGTGAATCGGCAAAGAAACGGTGCATATCCAGGCATTGATTTGTGTAGCCATTTCTACCGAGTCTGACAAAATCTTGTTGTTATTTTGTTGTTATTGCTGTGATTCTGTTGCAAAACATTTCTAGCACGGGGAATTTTGCCCAGGATTTTGATAGAAAGTTGAGAAAGTCTTGAGCGTCTAACAGCAAAAACAAGAATCTAGGAGGATGGGTCTAATGATACCTGCTTTTGACTCCTTACAGAGGCTACGACCGTCGGCAGAGGTGGTGATGATTGAGCGGATGTTCCTCAGCGATGAGCGCAACAAGCTAGAAGCCGACAAGAAACTCATCACAGCAAGCCAAGGTACAGCGGCAGACCTATCTTTTCGAAAATAGTTTCTCCCTTGTCTAGCTTGACAAAAGTTGTGCTGTCTCGAAGATGGAGGTGGATCTGAAGAAAAATCAGAGGTGTTAAAAGTTGATTAAACCAAACCCAAGTAAATCCTTGTCATTTGATTGGAGGATTGTATGTCATGCGGCATTACCCAAGTAAATCCTTGTCATTTGATTGGAGGATTGTATGTCATGCGGCATTACCCAAGTAAATCCTTGTCATTTGATTGGAGGATTGTATGTCATGCGGCATTACCCAAGTAAATCCTTGTCATTTGATTGGAGGATTGTATGTCATGCGGCATTACCCAAGTAGATCCTTGTCATTTGATTGGAGGATTGTATGTCATGCGGCATTACCCAAGTAAATCCTTGTCATTTGATTGGAGGATTGTATGTCATGCGGCATTACCCAAGTAAATCCTTGTCATTTGATTGGAGGATTGTATGTCATGCGGAATTACCCAAGTAAATCCTTGTCATTTGATTGGAGGATTGTAATGTCATGCGGCATTACCCAAGTAAATCCTTGTCATTTGATTGGAGGATTGTATGTCATGCGGAATTACCCAAGTAAATCCTTGTCATTTGATTGGAGGATTGTATGTCATGCGGCATTCACTAATCAAACCATTGCATGGCCCACATCATAAACTGTGCATTTTTGGTTCCATTCACCGTACATTTGATTCCATCCCTTTTGATCTATTGCACACGCACGCTAGACCAAAGATCATATAGTGCCAGGCATAGACACGCATCGGTGCTGTACGATCTTTGCGCTAGATCATAGACCACATCATGCGTTTTATACAGCAGTACAAAACTTGCTTTTGAAGCGGGTTGTTACGAACTGAACTTGCCTTGCAGATTGTTTTGCATTGTTTTAAGGACTTACATAAAGTTTTCATATTGTTCATGTTTGGACTTTTAAACCTTTAGCTTCGAACAAGCTGAAAAAAAATAGCGGATGCCAGAATTCAATTTTTTAAATTTTGTATATTTGAAAATATTCTCATATAAACATTCATTATTTGTATAATATCCAGTCACTATGGTGACCGCCATGTCTTCTGGGTCGCAACGCGCCACACTATTGTTTTTGTTTTTTCTTGCCAAGCTTTTATGAGTTTGTAGACTGATACATCGTGGTTGGTTCATATTTTATAAATTGTAAACTAGGATATTAGGAATAGAACCGTGGTTTTCAAAATCTTTTATGAAACCCTTCACGGCCCTTGTACGGTTAAAGGGAATATACAACATTTGCAAACATCGCAAAAATAAAACTTCCAAGTTTTTACGAAATACCATACTTCGATGTTGGTAAATGACAGTCTAAAGCATCCTGTAAAATTACGGCACCTGGCGTGAAGTCATTTTCAAAAAAATAGTATTTTTGTATACATTTCCAGCGGTGGTCGGCCGACCACCGTTGGAAAAACCTAACTATTTTTCAACTACTGCTCCAAATTTACCATTTTTTTTTTTCAGTCAAAATTTTGTTTGCTATTGGTTACATGTTCATGAACGGGTGCAGGCCGGCTAGACTGGTTCCCTTACGTTACAATTTTCCGGCATCTATAAATTGATCCATTTCATCTTAAGTGGAGTCAGGGAACCAGATTACTTGAACATTTTGTGTTTTCTTGGTTTTTCAAGCATTTTCGAACACAAAACTTCAAACATGTCAGTGTAGCAATATTTGATCTATTATACTAACCCCTCCAACAGTTCATTTCTAAAAAATTACAGCAAAAGCCAATGATGTACATTCCCTTTATAACTTGGGAATCGTTCAATTTGATGATGTAGTTTTCAAATGTCCTTGGCCTGCAGAGCTTCTCAACAGCGTTGCCCCGGTCTCCAACACCTTGACTGTATCAATCCCATCAAGTAATGTAGGCACCACCACCACTGTGTCATCGTCTTCAATCAGACACACGTCAATTTCCACTACAATAGTAAAGGCAGGCCAAAAAATTGTAAGTTGATTTTGTTTTGTTTTCCATCGCAGATCGGGGAAAGAATGTTGCGACCTGACGCCACATTTTTTCTTCATATATCATCTCATTTAAGGGCATTCATTGCAAAAATGATGATAAGACATGAATCTGGGACTGAGAAACATTTCCAGTTTTGTTAGGAAATACAGTAAACTCCGGCTAAACCGACATCGTACAACTCGTCAAATCGCTCAAGTCGGCCGTCTGACTAAAGTCCCGATTGTCCGTAGTGCATTTCCATTGAATTTTTTATTTCCAAGTCGGCTTTTTATAAGTCCCTTTTCCATAAAAAGCATTACAAAATCCTTTGTGTATGTCGGCATTCAACAAATCACGCATTGGCATCGACTTCCTGTACTGTGGTTTGCAAAGTGTCGAGTGAAAAGTGGTTTCGCACGGCACCCCCTCTCGGCTGTACGCATGCGCTCTGTCCATTTTGGGGTCATCTTATTGAATGACTACTGCTGCAGTCAATGCGTGCGTGGTATATACCGGCCGGACCACGCATGCATTTAATTCGTTAGTGTGCACGTACATATGTATCGCGGTCTCCCCTATCAATACCCCAAACGTGATGATGCAATTCGAGGATTAATTTGCTGGATTCAACTCGAGCATTAAAGAGGTTGTGAAATGCTCGAAGACATTTCCGTCATTTTTCAGGTATATGTAGCCTAAGGTGTGATGAAATAAAAACGACTATTGTTTCTGTCATGAAATGAGTACATAAGGTACTTTTGAGAGCTGTTTTTCAGGTCCAGTTTCGACCCGAACGTTCAACTGTGTAAAAGTCGTCGTTGCGGGCAGCAAACAAAACACAGTAAATCGTGACGTAATAAACAGGACTCCCGATGCACAGAAGCATACACGAGTCCTGTTTATTACGTCACGATTTACTGTGTTTTGTTTGCTGCCCGCAACGACGACTTTTACACAGTTGCACGTTCGGGTCGAAACTGGACCTGAAAAACAGCTCTCAAAAGTACCTTTTGTACTCATTTCATGACAGAAACAATAGTCGTTTTTATTTCATCACACCTTAGGCTACATATACCCGAAAAATGACGGAAATGTCTTCGAGCATTCCACAACCTCTTTAAGGAGATAATTCAGGGTAAATCGAAGCCAATTAGTGCAATGAATCATGTGTGCAAACGACCATTCGTGTAAGTCGGCAAAATGACGACTTACAGCAGATGTCGGCATACGCGTAAGCCGTCACAAATTCTCGGGTCCCGAGAGTGCCGACTTTGCCGGAGTTTGCTGTACTTAGGAAATGTTCTTGACTCTCCATAGACTTTGTACACCGTGCATCAGGTTGCAACGTTCTTTCCCAGATCGGTGATATTGAGGCGTAATGAACAGCAGACTTGCTTCAAATTTCTTGTGTTGAAGTCAGTTCCATCTGTTTTATCACAAGTCAAGTAACAAGCAAGGTCACATGCAGGGACCACAACATACCGACAAAGGAATACCCTTATCACAGTTTATTTAAAGGAAGAGTAGATCATTTGCAGCTATCCAAAATGTAACTGACCAACTTATTGTCGAAAAAAGCGTACTTGGTTTAAAGATAGTAACGGCAATAAACTCCCTGTGAAATTATTCCTTCTGGCATGCTGTCATTTCGAAGAAAACATTGAAAGAAGGCCATTTCCAAGATGAGTCACGTGACTTATTTTCAGTAGTTTGTAATAAGGCGATTTCATGATTGGGTGCGCACAGATGTTGACATGACGCACACACCTGCGCGGTTGCTATTATTTGTTGGCCGAGTGCGTGGCATTGCGTAGCTGCAATCAGCTGAATGAAAACGTGCTCCGGATGCTGATTTCTGGTGCAGTTCAAAATATGACTCGGCAACATTTGAATTGAAAACCAGATCCTAGAATCTTGTTTTCTTGGAATATACAGCATTCACAGAGCTGAAACTTCATCGTGTTAGTTGTTCAGCACCCATCTTTAGATTTTGAGCACTTTTGTTGCTTTGACAAAACAAAGGACAGCTGGTCTACTCACCTTAAAATAGCTTTTCACTTGACTTGAGACTGACTTGTGCTTGACTTGTGAGTGCCTGAGTTCAACTCTGTATATTGTGAGCCTGGAAACTTTTAAATTGAATTTCGTTTAGTGTTCCACGGGAAGCTGATTATCCTTACATTTGTACTTTCCCTCAGGATACCCCTATTCTTCGCGAGTTGGTGACCTCCCCGTCAATACCGCAGAACCTCCTCTCGCCCAAGATAGCGGCCGTCTTGACAGAAGCTGTCGCAAGCAAAATGGCTTCCACGAGGCGCAGTCTGGACAGTGAGGGCAGCACGACCGCCAGAGAAAACGGGTCCCTGGAATCGTCCAACTCCGAAAGCGGCGACAGCGTTAAAAACGGCGGCGGCGGGGATGGTGCCGGGTCCGGGTCGCCCCGGTTACCCCCAAAGAAGCGCAAGATTGACATGAGCGCGTACCTGATTGACGAGCAGGTCTCATCTGAAGGAGGCGGCAACATTGAAAACCATGTCAAGTTAAAACTGAAACGAAAGCCTGCTGTCGAAATCGATCCAGAAAAATGACCCAGCATCTTGGCAACAACGTCCCCCCGGCTGGTAGCGACCCCAAGATTTCCCTTCCGTCCAACCAAAGAAGGATGGTGCCAAACCGGAGAGCCTCCTTCCACGAGGCCTTTCTGAAATCCATCGGAATGGAAGGGAAGGCGAAGAGCAACAGTGACGCACCGACAAAGGAGGACTTGACAGAGGACAAGGAGATGGAGGATGAAGCAGTCGATGATTATAGTGACGAGGACGACGAAAAGATATCCGTTGTTGACTTACAAGAGCAAATGGAGTGTGCCATCAACAGCATTTTGGACTTACAACGCCAGGAGTCGCTCTCCAAAAGCCCCGTGCCCAAACTGCATAAACCTCTTGACAAGGTCCGTACAGTTCAGCCGCCTGTCCCCCAGGCCGGACCCAGCCTGCTCAGAGAGGTACAGGAACTTGGGAGCGACGGGATGAACTTCGACGACCAGTCGGCGCTCTCTGAATTAGACTTTGAAAGTCATCCAAACTCCATTGAGTACGACCTGGAGCACATGGGGGACGCCTTCCCGTTTGACGCCGACGACCAGACCCAGTTTATGCCCGAGCAGAATGCAGACATTTTCCACACGGACATCAGTAGCTCCTCCTACCCACCCGCCCCCGTGACCACGGTAGTCGATGCAAGCCCGCCCCCGGAGCAAACGATGAACGATGACACCGAGTCCAGCCTCAACAACGGCGACGCCTACTCGGCGGTGGACAAGCAGTACCCATCCTCTGGACGGATGCAAGATGGCTACGGAAACAACGACGACGACTCGTCACTGCTAGACGAAAGCTCCGTTGTTGCGCAGTTCCAGAACGAACTGAGCATGCTCCAGAGTCGGCAGGCCGTAGAGGAGCAGGCAACTCAGGAGGAGTTTCTCGCAGGTGGAGCTTCGGGGGATGCCAACGCTGCGGAGACGGACCCTGATCTAGAGGCGGCAGTCAACAGCATCCTCTTCTGAAGGACGTCAAATCAAATCCATGTCTCGGCCTGTAACTGCACGTGCAGGAAAAGAACCCAAATTATATCACTAGAATTTGGAAGGTCACAAAAACCTTTGATTCCCCCCCCCCCCCCCCCTTAAAAAAAAAGGTATCCACATTCTCTCAATCGAGCAGTGACCCCCAAGACTTGCACATTTTCTTAATGGGGTTGTATTCCTCTCTGTGCAACATTGCATATTTGTTCAATGCTTTGGCAAACCTCTTCTGGGGGACGTTGGATGGTGGGAGTCGAGATTCAGACTGACATTCTCTCGGAGCAAAGCTAATAGAGCTTTACAGGAGGATACCTGTGCAAGGCCCGGAAGTTCAGTGGTAGATCCCCGGAGGTGTGTCGTCCATGGTTGACACCACTGATCTCTATATAAAGACTGGATAGCTAATAAAGAGCCGCACAATGTACGAATTTGACGCCATATTATATTGGTGAGACCGGCTGGTGATCTACAAAGGACAAGTTGCCGTCTTTATAGACAGCTTGATTTCTTTTGTAACGTCGCGGCTCACGACACTTATATTTTGACCACCACCACTGACCAACTGACCAAGGTTTACTACAATTTTTCTAACGTAGTGGTTACTTTTATAATGCCGCAAATCACTTTTTCGGCGTTTTTGAAATAATAATCACTACGGAAATGTGTTCCTTTTAGAACATCATAATATGTGTACGTGACCAAAATGCGCGTCAACTGTTGATACAACGCGCGCGTATTACGCGTAGAACGTTCGTATTATACGCGGCCATCTTCGTGAGACCGGGGGCGAATTGGTCAATATGCAAAGTCTACTGTGTGAATGTTGTATGCATATCCGCTATCCAGTCTTTATATAGAGATCAGTGGTTGACACCCAGTTCAGTCATATTTCAAGTGCTCACCCAAGTTCAATGAAATATTGCGGTCATTTTGAATTTTACGAAGTTGAAGCTCATTTGCTTCACTTCACACATTGTTTGCAGACTGTAATTTCTTGTGTTTGTTAAGTTGTTTTTTTCCTGTCTTTAAATCTTTGACAAATTGAAATATTTTGGAGGGTATAGCGACACGGCAGTTAACCCTGACCTTGACATGAAGCAATTCTGCTAAAATGGCTGCTGTACACAAAAGAGGCTTCTTCACTTGTTTTCCAGATTCGGATGCCACAGAAAAAAAAAGATGCATTGTTGGCGTCTAACCCAGTTTTCTAACCCCCTTTTCCCTCACCAACCCCATTCCCAACCACCCCCTCCCCAACCCTAACCGCACCACCCCTGACCCACCATTTGCCCCACCACCCCACCCCGCCCACCCACCCATCCCACCCCAATTCGGGCGATTCACAATGCAGTGTGCCACCAAGAGTTTGCCATGGAGAGTTCATTTTCCCAGTGCATTGTGGGAGATGGTCGACAAATTCGCAGCGCGGGACATTTAAAATTGTTAGTTTTTCCGGTCAGTAGTTTCGTAAGTGTATGATTCGAGTATCTGTTTGTCCTTTTGGTTCTTTTGTATCAATATGGTGTTTTTTTTTGTAAGGCGGCAGAACGCTACGCCCCAATCTATAACAAATTAGCTCAAGTTGTCTACTGACACTCATTCAAATTGTTCGTTTTGTCAACCGTAAACTTGAAAAACAGACTCTCCATGGCAAACTCTTGGTGGTGCACTGCATTGTGAATCGCCCGAATTCCTCAAGAATCCACTCTCTGTGTATCCGTATCACAAAATGACCCATTTGTTTTTTTGGAAGCCAGATTAACTATTTTTTTTTAATGAAAACGACTGTTGTACTTGTTGCTGTATGTTTTGTGCTCGGAAAGTAAGCCCAAGCTTTGCCTGTACAGTTGTATTTTTGCAAACATAATGTGCAGAATGTATGCAGGTCCAATCAGAAATCACTGACAGTTCCCAAATTAAAGAAAAAGTATTTCAAAAATTGGCTTAGTAATGTTTATGTGTTGAAAAAAAATTGAAAGAAGGAAGTGCTGACACGACCAAAAAATATATTAAAATTGTGTGGATATCGAAAAAGTATTATTTATGACTATTTATGAACCCTAATTATGGTTACAAATTACTTGTTAGTGTGTCCATCTGTTGATTAAATAAATCAGACTCAGGAAATTGGCGATCGACATGGGCATGCCTGAATTTATTTCTAGAAGTTAACTAAGTTATTGTTTTTCTTATCATGGGCTCCGTGCGCCAATAAAAGAGGGCGCCCTTATCTAGCAACAACGCCCCATGGGCGGGACATTTAGAAAGGCCAAGTTCGCGCAAGGAATATAGTTGACCAATGGTTAAGTAACGTTTGCCCGAACTCTGTCTCGTCAACGGTGGTTGACTACGCTAGTCGACTATTTGGAATTATATAACTGACATACAGATCCTAGTCATTTGATTGGTGGAACTCACATCACATGACATTCGTTATTGCTCCCATTCACGCCGCGGCTCAAAAAGTACTATCCGCCCATGGGGAATGGGAAATACTATTCAACAGTTAGGATCATAACGCGGTATTTGTGTGCAAATGCATGCTGGTGTGCGCGTTCAGCGTTGCGCGTAGCGCGTATTGTTCCAAAGAGCCAGCGTTACAGCGTTGGGTTCAAACATTTTCGTGAAGGGGTGGTTTGGACTAGAGATATAGATTTTCCTCCAGTTTCGTATTGAAAAAGAGTTCAAATGTATCAAATGACAAGGATCTATATGTCAGTTATATAAAACAAATATTGAGTGGCTTTAAATTGTGAAATGGGAGGAATATTATCGCTCGGTAAAATCTGGACTTTTCCAGTTCACTCGGCTTCGCCTCGTGAAATGGAAAAGTCCAGATTTTACCTTGCGATAATATTCCTCCCATTCCACGCTGAGCCACTCAATATTTGTATACCAGCCTACTGGGGCTGGTTGCATCGCTGGTAACCAATAGCTGCGCGCATTCATAACGCTTGCAGAGAGCCAGGATCCAGAAGTTTTGCGATGACATTTTGACCAGTGTTTGACTGGAGACATTCGCACGTTGCCATCAGTGCGCAGGCGTAAGGTACGTCACAAATCAACCACTAGTCGACTAATGGTCCTTGCCCGAACTTGGCCCTAGATGACGCGCTCCGTTCCTTGTGTGTGCCGCACGTACACCAGGGGATATGTACTATGTACACGCATTGGTACGGCTGCTTGTCACTGCAGGCAAGATGGCGTCGGTCGGTCACCCTCTACTGTGCTTTCTTTGCCGGTGAGGGGGTACTTGTGAATGGCCGCTTCATTCATGTGATCACAGTATGCTCACGAGGCCCCCTTCAATGGAGAAACTATTGTGCAAGCTATTGTACAAAGCAACTGCCTGGTGACAGATTAAGTTATCTGAACAATAGCTAGCACAATGCTTTCGCCATTGAAGGGGGCCTTCGTGACGGAATTGAAAGCACGCCTGGATTCAGACAGGGCTCTGGAGTGCCCTGAGACGTGCTTAATAACTGAATCAGGTCCACTTTACTCACAGTTTAGCCAGCAAATTTCTCCAAAAAATCCACCGAGGCAAAGAAAATGTCCTCAGTATTTCACCAACCAATACTCAATTCAATCTTGTTCTTCTTGTCTGTTCGTCCATGAAGCCAAAACAGATGCACACAGCAATATATTCCAGGTTTCCCCCCTATTATAAAGACAAATTGTTTTTGAGGAGAATTCTAAGGAAGCCTGGTGGCCGAGTGGTTCGATTCGTCGTCCACGATTCGCGGAGCCTGGGTTCGAATCCCGTCTGTGTCTTTTTGCTTTTCAACACACGCGTTCTTTTCAGTCATTATAAGATGTTTAAATTCCCGTCGTAAGATACCAACTGTACCTTAGCTTAATCGGTAAGCACTGCGGCTGGTACTGTCCGTGAGTTCCAGGTTGGCGTCTTCGTACAGGTTCAGGGCACGTGGTCCACTCGGAGGATCAAGGCTTAGGGTGCCGCCCTGTTCCTCCCTTAGCTCCTTGCTTTTACATGGTGCCTGGCCCTCCGGGGTTATATGGATGGACAGGGAAGGAAGTGTGTATTGGCCGGGACCCCCCGAGAGCCCAGAAGAGAACTAAGGGATTGGCTGGGGCATTGTTATGGCTCAGACCGATCCCTGAAAGCTTGGCTAGCACATAACTTTTTGATTTTTTTTTTTGATATTCTATTTTTTTTTTTTTTTTGATACTTTGGTTTAGTTTGATATTTACATCTGCTCGGCAGGCTTACCATTATTAACGGCGCAATTTTTAATGGCGTAAGACACGCCGAGAAAAAATGCACATAACTTTTTGATTTTTTTTAAGCCTCTATTTTTTAAAACTTTGGTTTATATAGTGTCATGATTACATCTGCTCGGCAGGCCTATGGTAGTATTAAAAACAAAACAAAGGTCTATGTAATAAATCAATGAATTTTTTAATAATTGACTATAATCTAAACGAAGTTTTGTTCCAACAATATGACTATGCCATTATTGATGTCGCAATTTTCAATTGAAGTAAGAAACTCAGTATGCAATATTGTACCGGGCAAAAATACAAATGTACATTCTAATGTGTTTATTACATGTTTCAAAATAACGTTTCTTTAATTGTGAACATTCCCCAAATATACAGATATTCGCAAAATAGGAAAAAGCAAGAAAACAAAGCCTCTCACCCTTAAAACTGGAAATACAAAATAGAACAACAAAGTCAAGTGGAAAAACCCAATGTACCTTGAATTAGAAAATTCCATAACATGGGGCTTTTACAGACTTGCCTTTGACTGTAGTCACGGATCCAGAGGGGCTGGGGCGGGGGTCGAACCTTCTCCTGCTCTCACACAATAAAGTATGTACATGTGTATCTGAATCTGACGGGCCTGAACCACTCCCCCTCCTCCCAACCATATCCCCGGCAAAAGTTACTAGATCCACCTCTGACGTAAGTTGGTACATTGATATGAAATGTGACATCGACTTATCACTATATTTATCGACTTATCACTATTTTGACCCAATCTGGACTTTTCCAGTTCAGTCGATTTCGCAGGCGCGGAACCAGAGGGGTCGGGGGGGGGGGGGGGGGGGGGGGGGGGGGGGGGGGGGG